GTTGGTGAGGGGAGCTGGGCTGCGATTGGTTAGCGAGGTGAACAATCTGACGAGGTGTGAAGCGAGGGGTGCGAAGTAAAGACAAATCGCAAGTTCAGTCCGAACCAAGCAAGGCTCGGAAACTGGTTCGGTGACGAAGCTCCAATGCCTGCAATTTCTCGTCACACAAAACAATCTCATGTACCAGCAAAATGTTTTGCATTTGCTCTAGGGGCAAAATCGTGGGTGTGCCGCACGCTCACTTTCCTAACCAGCCAGTCAATTCGCCTACAAAAATAGGGTAACAAGCGCTGCAAGTGTTTTGCAATTGAAGGCCAATTCTCTTGCTTGAGATCCTGGTTTTAAAAGGTTGCCGCGAGGGGGTTTTGGTGGTCTGGATTTTGGCGAAAGATCCGAATTCGTTTTTTCCGTTTTTTTCGCCAAACCCAGCCTGCCCTCGTATTTCGCCCTGGGGGTTGGTTCAGTTCCCAAAAGTCCCAAATTGCAGGCTGGCTTTTTTTCAAACCTTGCAAACACTAGTTCGTCAAGTTTTAAAAGCTTGACCCGCGCGGCCCGCAATTTGGGCCGCGGGCTTTAACCATGAAAGGACATCATGGTAATTTGGCTTAGGATGTGCCGTATGATGTAAGCATTGTTAAATGGTGTAGAACCTTCAAACAGGGTTCAGACCACACCTTTTTATCATGCATGCAAACAAATTGCTCCTCTTAGCAAATTGTTAGCCACACCTTTCCTCCAAACAAATTGCTCCTCTTAGCAAGGATGATGGAACCTGTTCCGGTCCACCTAGAAGCAGAATCAAGGCGTCCCTGCTGACGGAACACTCTCCTTAGCAGCTGCTCCATTACCGATACTAGCACCCGGCTGCTGTCCAACCAGCCTCTGCAGCAGCAATTGGGCTCGTTGCAGCAAGCGCGACGTGAGGCCAGGGCGGCGAAGAGGTGCCGGATTGAGAGCCCTGATGGAGTTGAGGCAGACTAGAAGTGTACCGCCCTCGTGAAGCAACACCTGAGGTAACATTTGTAATGGGAACAAGGGAAAAGAAGCGGGAGCAAGTGAGATGTGAGGCCGGGGCGGCGAAGAGGTGCCGGGTTGAGTGCTCTGTTGGAGTTGAGGCAGACTAGAAGGGTACCACCCTCGAGAGGACAAGTGTTGAAAAGTGTTTCGATTCAAATATAAACACACCCCACTCCACGAGCCAGAGGGGTATGTGTCCCAGAAGTGTTCTGAATCGACTCCGACCACACCCCACCCCACCCACCCCACCAAACTCCACCGAACTCCACCCCAGCCCACCCAACTGCACGCACCGTAAGCCACAGTGGCATGTGCCCCAGAAGGGCGGGGAGGAGCGCGAGCAGAATGCATGTGAGTGCGAGCGCCACGCTTTGCTTCACCTGGAGCACGCAAGGCCAGGGACAAGGAGGGGCTTGGGAGGGGCTTAGGAGAGGAATTTCTGTATCTGGGTCTGATCACATGGCATTCTTAGGGGCCAGAACGTGTGCTTTTGAGGCGCCTCAAAAGGCATTCTGAGGGGCCAGAGAACGTGTGAGATCCAGACTCCAGAGCCACAACCTGCTTCATTGGAGCACTAAGGGAGACGCTCTTACAATGAGGGTGGTTTGCCGAGCCTTGGCCACCAGGAATGGGAGCTCGGAGATATTGTCCTTCAATAGAAGCACATCTGCTGCTGCCACGGCTGTTGCACTCGCTCGCTCCGCCAGCACCACCCCGACCTGCCGGGCGTGACACAAATAAATAATTGTGACACAAATGAATAAATGTGAGACAAAGAAATAAATGTGACACAAATGAATGTGGAAGGGCACAACAAGTTTGCCCTTCAATAATAGCACGTCTGCTGCTGCCACTGCTGTTTCACTCGCTCGCTCTGCCAGCACCACCCCGACCTGCCGTGTGTGACGCAAATGATTGATACATAAACAAGGGTGACGGTAACGGATGACATAGACGAACTTCGAGCAGGCGAGACAAATTTGTGTAGCAAGGAAGCACAGAAGGGGCTCGAGGATAGAAATAAGTCGTGTGACTGACATTTAACAAGAGGAGATGCACTTACAAGCACATTCATTCACAGTAGAGCTTTGAGATGTGTCAAGGGGCTCGCTGTCAGTGGTAGAAACACGAGTCCGACGAAACACGGTGACTTTTGAGTCGACTCAATCAAAAGTCGCTTTGAGATGTGTCAAGGGGCTCGTTGTCAGTGGTAGAAACACGAGTTCGAGAGTTTACCCTAAACACTTACCGTGGCAGCAGCCAGAGCAGGCGCGTCATTGATCCCATCCCCCACCATCAGCACGCCTCCCCTCCCCTCCCTCCCCATCCTCCCAGTCATCGCCTCAACCGCCCTCAGCTTGTCCTCTGGTCTTAACCCCGCCTCCACCTCCCCTCCCTCAATCCCCACCGCTGCTGCCACCCGGTGTGCCGAAGCTGCATGGTCCCCAGTGAGCATTTGGACTTTCAGCCCCCCCTGCTGCTGCAGCTGCCGAACCACTTCTTTAGCTCCGGGCCGAAGCTGGTCTTCGAAGTGAAAGAGGGTTACTTTTTGCCCCACGGCGAGTGCTGCCCGGATTAGGTCGCTCGGGGGGAGAGTTGGGGGTGGTGCGAGTGGTGAGAGGGGTGGTTGGGAAAATGGGGTTGACTGGGATACATGTGGTGTGGCTGTTGCTGCTGCTGATGCTCCTGCTGCCTTTTCTCTGTCGCTGCCCCCTCCTGATCCTGCTGCTCTGCTGGCCCAATTATCTTCTGCCACCTCAGCGATGAAATCTAAAGAGCCAATGCGAGCCGCATGCGGGCCCCACTGGTCGCTCTGTGATTGGCCCAGAAGGTGGGGAGTGCGAGAGCAAAGGAAAGGGAGGAAAACGTATCCACACTTGTGGAGCGGTGCAGAGAGGTGATGGGCGATGGAGACCGGTGTTGGAAGGCAAAAGTAACGAGGGAGAGGAAAGAAGAAGACAGGAGAGAGACGAGAGAGCCCTCGCGCAGGAACTCACTGAATCAGCACTGCACCGCACCACATTGCAACAATACACCTTAGTACCACACAGCACCGCACCCGTATCAGTGGCAGCAGTGAGCCCTCGTCCTAGAACCACCTGGCACCTGCTTGCACTGATACGGTTGCACTGCTGCCACCTGACCATAACCCCATCCACTCAATCCGCACCGCACTGCACCACAAATGATAACACACCTTCTATACTGTACCACACAGCTCTGCACCGCACTGCACCCACACAGCTAGAAATAGTGGCCGTGAGCCCTCGCCCCGGCACCAGCTGCATGCTTACCATGTCCCCTGTCACCGCTCTAGAACTTTCAGCACACCTCAGTATCGCTGAGGACCACACTGCACCCACTCACCTCGCCGGGCAAGCTAGAGATGGTGGCTGTGAGCCCTCGCCCCGGCACCAGCTGCAGCTGATCCACGTTCACCCCAGTTAGAGTGGCTCTCCTGCTATCCGCATACTCTTGAAGGGCCCTGTGAATGGGGGAGGGAAAAATAGCGGGAGAGAGGGTGAGCCCTCGCCCCGGCACCAGCTGCAGCTGATCCACGTTCACCCCTGTGAGAGTGGCTCGCCTGCTGTCCGCATACTCTTGTAGGGCCCTGTCAGGACAAACGCGGGGGAACAAGAGCGGGAAGAAAGGGGGGTGAGTCCTCGCCCTGATACCAGCTGCAGCTGATGCACGTTCACCCCTGTTAGAGTGGCCCGCCTGCTATCCGCATACTCTTGTAGGGCCCTGTCAGAACAAACGCGGGGGAACAAGAGCGGGAAGAAAGAGGGGTGAGTCCTCGCCCTGATACCAGCTGCAGCTGATGCACGTTCACCCCTGTGAGAGTGGCTCGCCTGCTGTCCACGTATTCCTGTAGAGCCCTGTTGATGGGGAAGGAGGAGAGGTGACGAGAAGGGAAGGGGGTGTTGGCAGCACATTCACTCCAGTGAGAGTGGCATGCCGGCTGTCTGCATACTCTTGCTTGCAAGGCCCTGTTGGAGGGAGGAAGGGGGGGAGAAGGGGGGAAGAAAGGAAGGGGCTGTGAACTTGACGCCTGAATGTGTACCCTGGTTTTGGGACTGAAGAAGGCTGGGTGGCTGGGAACGCACCTGGCAATGGGGTGGGTAGCGGCTTGCTCCAGAGCAGCAGCCACTGACAGCGCCTCCGCCTCACAGCTCGCACTGCTGCACTCCACCACCACTCCTGTCTCTTGCAATGCACACTGGGAATGTTCTGGACCAACCCACACACAATGCACCTGGCAATGGGGTGGGTGGCTGCTTGCTCGAGAGCAGCAGCCACTGCCAGCGCCTCGGCCTTGCAGCTCGCACTGCTGCACTCCACCACCACTCCTGTCTCCTCCAATGCACTCTGGGAATGGTCTAGACCTACCCACTGTCACACACACCCATCATACCTGGCAATGGGGTGCGTGGCCGCTTGCTCCAGAGCAGCAGCCACTGCTAGTGCCTCCGCCTCACAGCTCGCACTGCTGCACTCCACCACCACGCCTGTCTCCTCCCACTCGTGGCTGTGGCTGTGGCTGTGGCTGTGGCTGTGGCTGTGCATTATCCCTGTATCATCCATTGCACACGCCTCCTCCCATACACCCTCATTGGCACGAGGAGAGGAGGGCGGGGAAGAGGAGGAAACGGAGAATGGGGAGGAAGAGGAGGAGGAGGAGGAGGGAGTGGAAGGTGCGGAGGAGGGTGTGAGGAGGGAGGGAGTGGTGTGCGGTGCGTGGGAGTGCAGAGGCTGGATGAAGCGCAGGGCGAGTTGGCCGGTGGTGAGCGTGCCGGTCTTGTCAAATGCCACTGTATCGCACGCTGCTGTGGCGTCCAGGGCATGGCCGCCCTTCAGCAATATACCCTGATGGGAGGAAGAGGGGGAAGAGAGGGAGGAGAAGGAGGAGATGAAGGAAGGGAGGAAGGGCGAGTTGGCCGGTGGTGAGGGTGCCGGTCTTGTCAAATGCCACTGTATCGCACGCTGCTGTGGCGTCCAAAGCGTGCCCCCCCTTCAGTAGAATACCCTGATGGGATGGAGGAAAGGACAAGTGGAGGGAGGAAAGGGAGAGAGGGAGGAAGGGCGAGTTGGCCGGTGGTGAGGGTGCCGGTCTTGTCAAATGCCACTGTGTCGCACGCTGCTGTGGCGTCCAGGGCATGACCACCCTTCAGTAGAATGCTCTGATGGGATGGATGGGGGAGACATAGAGGGAGGAGAGCAGAAAAGGGGCGGAGAGGAGGAGAGGCTTAGGGGAGGAAGGGAGGGTGCCGGTCTTGTCAAATGCCACTGTGTCGCACGCTGCTGTGGCGTCCAAGGCATGGCCGCCCTTCAGGAGTATGCCCTGATGAGAGGGATGAGGGGAGAAGGAGAGGGAGAGGAAGGAAAAGAGCAGTTTTGAGAGCTCTGAAAGCACGCTGCTGCTGCTATGGCGTCTAAGGCATGGCCACCCTTCAGGAGAATTACCAGATGGGGAGGAGACGAGAGAGGAAATCCAGAAATACGCGAGGGGAGCGACAGCAAAAGTAGAACAAACAGAGAATGGCACTTTCACAGCAGGGTCTCACCTTGGCAGCACAGGCGGTGAGAGCACAGAAGTAGGCGAGGGGAGCGATAGCGAGAGCACAGGGCGACGCCGCCACCATCACTGCACATCACAGCGGCACATCTAGAGTCTCACCTTGGCAGCACAGGCGGTGAGAGCGCAGAAGTAGGCGAGGGGAGCGACAGCAAGAGCACAGGGGGAAGCCGCCACCATCACTGCCAGCGCCCGATACAGAGACCCGCGCACCCCTGGCGAGCTGAGATAGAGCTTTTAGCGCTCAGAGAGTCTCACCTTGGCAGCACAGGCAGTGAGAGCGCAGAAGTAGGCGAGGGGAGCGACAGCGAGAGCACAGGGCGATGCCGCCACCATCACTGCTAGAGCCCGATACAGCGACCCCCGCACCCCTGGCGAGCTGAGCACTGGCCAGCCGAACAGCACCGGGCCTAGCACAGCCACTCCCACAGACAACCCCACCACGGCTTGACTGTATTTCTCGGAGAATTTATCCAGCCAGCGTTGGAGAGGCGGTTTTTGGGATCTGGCTTGCTCTGTGAGTTGCATGATGCGAGCTACGGTGGAATCAGACCATTTCCGGGAAGTTTCCACGACGAGGAAGCTGTCGACGGTGCGCGAGCCGCCCGGGAGGGAGTTTCCGGGAAGCTTCTCGACGGGGTGCGCCTCGCCGGTGAGGTGCTCTGCGGTGACGAGGGAACGGCCGAAGTGGACGGTGCCATCTAGGGGGACGACCTGAAGGGTGGGGGGAAAATATGAAAGAGCAGAGCAGCAGGGAAGGAAAAAAAAGGTTGGTGCCGGTGAGGTGAGGTGCTCTGCGGTGACGAGGGAACGCCCGAAGCGAACGGTGCCGTCTAGAGGGACGACCTGAGAGGGGGAGGGGAGATAAAGGGAAACTTAGGGCAGCAGGAGGAGGAGGAGGAGGAGGAGGGGAGGGGTTGGTTGGTTGTTGTTGGGTTAGAACGGAGTCCCCAGGTCGTCCCTCTAGAAGGTAGGGCAGCGCACACATCTCCTGCTGTGACCAGCACCATATTTCCCACAGGCACATCTGCTAACGGCACTTTGGATTGGACCATGAAAGAGCAGTCAAATCGTTCTGAGGCACATAGACACATGCACTAGTCTGTCTCCCTTTCACCTCTTTCACCCGTAGCACTCACCTCTCCTGCTTTCACCAGCACCATAGCCCCCACCGGCACATCTGCTACGGGCACTTCGGACCATGAGAGGGCAGCCAGACCCGGAAACACCACCCCGCCTTCTCTCCTTTCGCTCCCACCGTCGCCGCTGCTGCTGCTGCTGCTGCTGCTGCCGTTGCTGCTGCCGTTGCTGTTGCTGCTGTTGCTGCCGCCACTGGCGCCGTTTTCAGAAGCAGCAGCAGCAGTAGAAGCACCGACAGAAGAGAGGCAGGAGGGATCGATGAGGAGAGCAGTGGAAGGGTTGTTGTCCTGCAAGGAGCGCAGGTCGCCCAGAGCCTTTTCGGTGAAATAATGCTCCGCTGGTGGGTGGGTGGAAAAGAGGATTGGTCATGGTAAGGGAAGAGGCAGGAGGGATCGATGAGGAGAGCAGTGGAAGGGTTGTTGTCTTGCAAGGAGCACAGGTCGCCCAGAGCCTTCTCCGTGAAATAATGCTCCGCTGATGGATGGGTGGAGGGGAGGGGGAACGGGATGGGGAGTGGGTTCGAGGAAGGACGGGGATGAGGAGAGGGGGGGGGAGAGAAAGTGGCAGGGGGAAGATGACGGGCAGGAGGGATCGATGAGCAGGGCAGTGGAAGGGTTGCTGTCTTGCAAGGAGCACAGGTCGCCCAGAGCCTTCTCCGTGAAATAATGCTCCGCTGATGGATGGGTGAAGGGGGGGGAAGGGGGGAGCGGAAGAGGGAGGGGGGTCAACCCAAAAGGGCAGTGGAGGGGTTGTTGTCCTGCTGGGAACGAAGGTCGCCCAGAGCCTTCTCCGTGAAATAATGCTCCGCTGATGGATGGGTGGAGGGGGGGAGTGAGGAAGAGGGGGGCGGGGAAGGGGTAGGGGAAGGGGTAGGGGAAGGGAAAGGGGAGGGGAGAGGCAGGAGGGGTCGATGAGGAGGGCAGTGGAGGGGTTGTTGTCTTGTAAGGAGCTGAAATCGTTCTGAGCCCTCTCAGTGAAACAACTCAATGAACTGAGTACTACCCCTCCACTGCCCTTTTGAGTTGACAAGGAAGAGTCATTCGAAAGGAGGCGCACTAATGCAGGGAAAGGAGGCGCACTAATGCAGGGAAAGGAGGCGCGCGCGCTTATGCAGGGAAAGGAGGCGCGCTTATGCAGGGAAAGGAGGCGCGCTTATGCAGGGAAAGGAGGCGCGCTTATGCAGGGAAAGGAGGCGCACCAGTATGGGAGATGGAGCAACCTTTTGGAAATTCAAGTCGCACCTATACGAGAAATCGAGGCGCACCTATATGGGAGATGGAGAACATGGCGAGCAGCAGAGTCCCTTCGAGGGCATTCCCCATGGCCACTGACGCCAGTGCTGCCACGGTCATGAGCACATGGATGTTCACTGCGACCCCTACGGTCCTACCCATATGGGAGATGGATGTCACTCACTCCTATACAGGGTATCGAGACGCACCTATATGGGGTATCGAGTCGCACCTATATGGGGTATCGAGTCGCACCTATATGGGAGATGGAGAACATGGCGAGCAGCAGGGTGCCTTCCAAAGCATTCCCCATGGCCACTGACGCCAGTGCTGCCACGGTCATGAGCACATGGATGTTCACTGCCCCGCCTGCTATGTCCACCAATGCATCCATGGTCGCTGGGATCTGAGGGGGGGTGGAGAGAGAAGGGAGGAAATGGGAGCAACTGAGAACGGCATATGGTGCAGATCTGGCCACTGACGCCAGTGCTGCCACGGTCATGAGCACATGGATGTTCACTGCCCCGCCTGCTATGTCCACCAATGCATCCATGGTTGCTGGGATCTGAGGGGGGGTGGAGAGAGAAGGGAGGAAATGGGAGCAACTGAGAACGGCATATGGTGCAGATCTGGCCACTGACGCCAGTGCTGCCACGGTCATGAGCACATGGATGTTCACTGCCCCGCCTGCTATGTCCACCAATGCATCCATGATTGCTGGTATCTAGGATGGTGGAGAGGGGAAAGCAGATAAATTCATTTAGAGAGTGGGGATGTGGGGGGGGAGTGGCTGAGCACATGCATGATGCATATTCACTGCGCCCTCACAAAAGCCATAACTGAGTCATAAAGAGCGGCTTACAGCAGTGAGAGGGAGAGCTGTCGCCACTAGTCCCGTCTGCAGCATCTGCACCACCAACGGCTGGGATTGCATCTGGGCAGCGAGCGGCACAAGAAGCGGCACAGCGTATGCAGCAAGGCAGAGCGCGAGGGAGAGCGAGGCGAGGGGCGCGCTCTCCCTCATGCGGTCGGCCAGAGGGGCGAGGCGGAGGAAGGAGAAGAGCGAGAGGAGCGAGAAAGAGACTGTGAGAACAGAGACAGGGAGAGAAGCTTACAGCTGTGAGAGGGAGAGCAGCTGCCACAAGCCCCGTCTGCAGCATCTGCAGCACCAACGGCTGGGATTGCATCTGGACCACGAGCGGCACGAGCAACGGCACGGCATATGCAGCAAGGCAGAGCGCGAGGGAGAGCGAGGCGAGGGGCGCGCTCTCCCTCATGCGGTCGGCGAGAGGGGCGAGGCGGAGGAAGGAGAAGAGGGATAGGAGGGCTCGCTGGGCTGCGTTGAGAGTGGTGGGCGCGGGGCAGCAGTGGTGGTGGTGGTGGCCGTGGCTGTGGGAATGGTCGTGGGAGTGGGCATGGGCATGACTGTGGTTGTGGGCATGCGCATGTGCATGGTCATGGTCATGGGATTGGGCATGGGAATGACTGTGATTGTGGGCATGGTCATGGGTGTCGTTATGGCTGTGGGCATGGTCATGCGCATGGGTATGGGCATGGGCATGGTTGTTATGGCTGTGGTTGTTATGGGCATGGGCATGGGCATGGGCATGGTCATGGGCATGGGGGTGCTGCTCGCTTTGGTGATGGTGTTTATGATGGGACGCATGTGCTTCGGGTGCACGTGAGTGCGTGTGCTCATGATGCTCATGATGCTCATGATGCTCATGATGCGCATGGTTGCTATGGTCGTGGGCATGGCTATGTGCATGGCCATGATGCTCATGATCATGATTCTCCGTGTGCTGATCCTGATGCTCATGATGGTGCTTATGGTCATGGTGATCCTCCTCATGCTCATGGTTGTGCTTATCAATAGCAACAGCACTCTGAGCATTTGCATGGCTCGTATGCCCATGCCCATTTTCATGACCGTGCCCATGACCATGATCATCCTGCTTCTCCTCATGCCCATGTCCAATCCCTCTCGCCTTCGTCTCTCCCTCTCCCGCATTAGTCACCAAATCCCCAGCGCGGATGCCATCTGAACCACCAGCGCCTGCGCTACTGTGACATCGGATATTAGCACGCCTGCGCGCGCCAGCCCTCGCGCCCGCTACAGGCGTCCCCGTTATAAGCGGGACCGACGATTCGCTGCGGGTGCGATTCCCCGGGAGTTCCTGCTTCTGGGGAATCAATGACCGTGGAGCCGATACGGAGCTGTTTTTGTAATGTCTCGAAAGAGGGCAGGAAAAAGACGCGCGGAGCCTGCCCGGCGTTCGAACGGGCAGTGACGAGAAAAGTCTGATTCCCGTGGAGCGGAGGTGCTGGTGAGAGGCTGGAGAGGGGACCGCGAATCGATGAGACTTGCAGATTCGACACACCGCCACGGCGCTGCTGCTGCTGCTGCTGCGAGAGCACACGAGGGGAGCGTGCGACGTGTGCGACGCCGGACCCCCAGCATGTGTCTGCGCCTTGGACTTGAAACTCCATTGTACAGACCGCGCCTGCGAGGAACGTGCCTGCGTTTGTGCTCTGGGCTTGAAAATCCTCTCTGCTGCCCGAATCAGCGGCGCGGTGCTGGCGGAACGAGCCACAGAGGCCGCCATGGCGAGCGCTGCCCGCTAGTTCGTGACACCGCTGCCAGTTAGGAATCGGAAAGCAAAGGAGCGAACGCGGAAACCGGGGGGGAAGAACTGCTAAAGCAGGAGAGAACGTGTAAAGAACTATTTGTCTATTTCAATTGTCCCAGAGTGGGCTCCAACCAGCGTGTGAGGAGCCGCAAACAAGCAAATGTCTACGAACCCAGGAATCACGAAACAGGCATTGCACCTGCGACGTGGCGGGACCTAGTAGGCTGAGGGAGGCAGCCATGGCGGAAACATGTAGCTTCAGAAAACCGTAGGGGAAATACGTCCTAGCTCTGGTGAAAAAACGTATGTGACGTACAAGCTGCTGATCACGTACATTCACGAAAAGGTTTGGCGTAACAGCGTTCGTAACCATTCGTCAAGCTCATTAACGAGAGAATTCTGGGTCTCCTGGGTGCAGATTAGGATACGCGACACGTGTGATGGTAACACAAAGTCGCGAGGTCAGCGCAATTGCCGAGTGCCACGTGTAGTATCAAATCACACCTCGAACATCAATCAGATGCCCGGTCAGCTAACACAAGTCCGTTTGAATCTCAACTGCCAATCGGCAGGACCTGCTTAGCTTTGAGCCAATCAGATTTGTTTTCGAATGTGAACTAAAATACTGGACAAGTGAAATGAAATATCCCAACCTCTGACGGAAAACATACAAGCCACAGAGAACCCTGATACACAACTGAAGCAACTACATAGTGGAAGGTGATTGCATCACTTTTACTGACCTAACACAAATCAGCATTCTGTTAGTGTACTACTTGTACCAATATCAAGATTTACTCCTAGTTCAGCAACATGCCCTTTTCCCATAGCAGTCCACATCTAGTGTAAAGTTCCTTGGCCAGCGGCTTACTACTCGTCAATGGTTTGGCCAAGCCAGGATCGACCCCGGGAGCGAGACGTGTTGGTGCGGGAATTAATGCTTGCACATCTCAGAAGCTTCTGGAACTCGGGCAGGCTGATTCTGCCGTCCCCGTCCGTGTCGGCTTCCGCTATCAAATTATCCAACGGGAAATTAACCTGGGCAGCCTGGGGTATTTACAAGGTGGGATAAGGTGGGAAAGGAGAAACACAGATGTGCTTGCATTCGATAACATGTGAACCGGGGAAAGCTCAGCTCCAACCAGCATGGGGGGGAGAGGCAGGGTTGGAGGGATAATCTGAGACTTGATACAGTACTTGAAGCCACTTATCACTCACAGATAATCTGCTTAGTATACCTGTCGTCATCATGGTCAGCACTGAAGTGGCGTCAGCACTGAAGTGGCGCCTTCCACCTGTACTCTACCTACCTCAAACTAGAACACAATAACAAGTCGACAGCCCCTCACCATACACAGCTCCTCGGCATCGATGTACCCGTCGTTGTCGCGGTCAAACTGGGCAAAGGCGGCCAAACACGTGTACCATAAGCTGTAACATACTCAGTTACAGCACTCAGCTCACACCCCTTACTCACCATGCGCAGCCCCTCAGCATCGATGCACCCGTCGTTGTCGCGGTCAAACTGTGGTGGTGCGGTCGACCACCTGAGATCGGATGGAACCTACGTATACCACACTGCACTCAGCATTCAGCAGACTTACCATCCTCAGCTCCTCCGCATCGATGTACCCATCATTGTCACGATCAAACTGGGCGAAGGCCGCTCGCGAGCGCTCCTGCCACTTGGTGGAGTCGGCCTCCTCTAGCTGCTGCACGTGCAGCGTTGCTGCTACGAATTCATCGAAATCGATTATGCCGTCGCAATTGGTGTCCATCTGAGCATTGGCGGGGGGCGGGAGGGGGGAGGGGGGGACGGAGAGGAGAAGGCTTGAAGGAGGCATTTCGAAAGGTATAAAACAGAGTAGAGGGGAGGGGGTAGGCCAGCCTCTAAGGAATGGCGCTCCTGTCACTTGGTGGAGTCGGCCTCCTCCACCTGCTGCACGTGCAGCGTGGCCGCCACGAATTCGTCAAAGTCGATAATTCCATCGCAGTTGGTGTCCATCTGATTGGTGAAAAAAGGGGGAGATGGTTGGAGGATTTGCAAATCCAGGCAAATGACAGAGGCACTGACGCATTTCATAAGGGGCATCCCAAATCCGGGTGCTTTTAAAACAGTCACAGAGAGCACTCACCGCTTGAAGGATCTGCAGCACTCTCGACTCCTTGTGAGGCATTTCAAGGCAAGTAAGTTGACAGAAGCGGGCATTGAGGCGTCTCAAGTTAGGGCTAATACTAGTATATGAGACATGCACTGAGCAATCACCGCTTGAAGGATCTGCAGCACTCTCGACTCCTTCACTTCGAATGGCAGGTCGTGACTCAGTGCCTGATGAAGGGGGTGGGGGGAAGAGAAAAGGGGGGAAGGAAACGGGGGGTGTGGGTTTACTTTGTTGACTTCAAATGTAAGGTCATGACCCAGTGCCTGATGTAAAAAGAGAGGAGGGAGGAGGAACCTGCACCTCCCTCCTTCCCCCTTTTTCTTTGCTCCCCTTTTCTCCCCCCTCCAGATCCCCCCTCCTTCCTCCCTCCACTCCCATCCCTTCTCCTCATCCCCCTCCCTGCTCTACTTCCCTACCCTCCTCCTCCCCTCCTCACCTGTATGATCTCATCGATCGTGATGGTGCCATTCTTGTTGATATCCATCGCATTAAACTGGTCCCTCAAAGCCTGCTTCTCGTACTTGGCCCTGCCCACTCCGGTCTCTCCCTTCCTCCTCCCTCTCCCTCTCCTCTCCCTCTTCCCATCGTTCCCCTCACCTGTCTGATCTCATCGATCGTGATCGTGCCATCCTTGTTGATATCCATCGCATTGAACTGATCCCTTAAAGCCTGCACCTCATTTTCCTCCAGTGTTGTCGCCAGGGCCTGTGGGGGAAGGAAGGCAGGGAAGGAAGGGTGAGTGTGGGCAGGAGAGAGTGGGGGGGTGGGGATGGAGAGCAGGGAGGAAGAAGCAGGAGAGCATGTGCCTGCACCTCATTTTCCTCCAGTGTTGTCGCCAGGGCCTGTGGGGGAAGGAAGGCAGGGAAGGAAGGGTGAGTGTGGGCGGGGGGTGTGGGGTGGCGGGGATGGGGAGCGGGAAGGAAGAAGTTGGGGCGGGGGGGTGTGGGGTGGTGGGGATGAGGAGCGGGAAGGAAGAAGCAGGGGATCGAGCAGGGCAGAAATGTCCGTTCCTGCCGAAATAGACCAACTGGTTGAGCTGAACTGGTCCCTCCAAGCCTGTACCTTCTGCCTGCCCCCTCTCACCTCCTTCGTGTGTGCGTGCGTCCCTGAAATTCCCCCCACCCACCTTGAGCGCCATCTGCTTGAGGCGCGAGTACTTGACAAACTCGCGCATGTTGGACAGCACACTGTGACGTCTGAGTGATGGCTCCATGAACCAGACAGACCAGCCGTGTGGCACTGCCCATCAGCTACACACACACATCCCCCCACCCACCTTGAGCGCCATCTGCTTGAGGCGCGAGTACTTAACAAACTCTCGCATGTTGGACAGCACTGCTATGTCCAGCGGGACTGACGACGCAGCATTGGGTATGGCACCTCTCACCTTGAGCACCACATCTGCCTGTCTCCCGGCGTGCATGTGTGTGTGCTTGCATACATGACATGCCTGCCCGCACTCATACCTTGAGCGCCATCTGCTTGAGGCGCGAGTACTTGACAAACTCTCGCATGTTGGACAGCACTGCTATGTCCAGCGGGACTGACGACGCGTCTCCTCCCTCCTTCACCCACTTGTGCGCTGAGAGGGGTATTGGGTGGGGAGGGGGGGGCATGGGAGGGGAGGAAGGGAGGCGTTCAAAGTTGGTTGGACAGCACTGCTATGTCCAGCGGGGATATGAATGCCTTCTTCCCTCCTTCACCCACTTGTGCACTGAGAGGGTTTGGGAGTGGGATGGGGAAGAGAGACGGGGGAACAGGGGAGAGGAGGAAGGAAGGCATTCAGGGGCGGTTGGACGGCACTGCTATATCCAGAGGGACTGACGACGCATCCCTTCCCTCCTTCACCCACTTGTGCGCTGCGTGGTTGGGGGTGTGTGGGGGTGTGTGGGGGGGGTTGTAAGTGGCCAAGCGAGGGGGGCAGACAGTCAGGGGTTGTCTGAAAGCACAGTTACTCTGGGCGCTGTTATGTCCAGCGGCACTGAAGACGCGTTGCCTCCCTCCTTCACCCACTTGTGTGCCGAGCGGAGGAGGGAGGGAGGAGGGGGTGGGGGGAGGGGTTGTTGGCAAACGCAACACAAGTCTTGGTTGGCGGTGGGTCAAACAGAGATTCTCTCACAACCAAGCCTTGTGTTGCAACCAAGGATTTTATTTCTAGCTGCTATTAGCAGAGATTTGGTGCAGGTTGGTGCGCTTGACTCAAAGGGTGTGTACTCACACAACGCTTGGGCGGCGGTGGGTCGAGCGCGGGGGTCCTTCTTCAGAAGCTTCTTCACAAAGTCCTTGGCGATGGCAGTGGCAGTGCAGGATAGTGATCTCGCTAGTCCAAAAAATGCATGCACATGCACTCGCGCACACACAGCAATACTAGCAGCCAGCGCGTTGACTCACACAAAGCCTGGGCGGCAGTGGGTCGGGCGCGGGGGTCCTTCTTCAGAAGCTTCTTCACAAAGTCCTTGGCGCTGGATGACACATTAGGCCATGGCTTCTCCCTGAAGTCAGGCCGCTTCTTCAGCACCTGAAGAGCAGTGAAGAGTGGTGGGGAACGGTAAGGTGCAGTGAGGTGGGATAAGGAGCGGTGATGAGTGGTGATGGGAGATGATGAGGGAAAAGGAAGTAAGGCCGTTTCCTCAGCAGCTATGTGAAGGGTACGCAGTGAGGGGTGCTGAGAGGTGGGAAGCGGTGTGGTGCAACAATGAGCAGTTATGAGAGGGGGGGGTGGGGGGGGGGGAGAATGTTGATGGGGCACAAAAGAGCTTGGCTCTGATAACACGTGATGTCAACAGTGTCCAACCCTTCCCTCACAATATCGTCCCCTTTGTTTCCTTTCTACCATCTCCCTCTCCCCCTCTCACCACCTCGATGAATATCCCCGCCTCCGTTCTATCGCAGAACGGCCGCCGGCCAGACAGTAAAATGTAGGTGATGATGCCGATGCTCCACACATCACTCTCCCTTTCTATCTCTACCTCGCTTACCACCCCTACCTACCGCTCCATTCCCCTCCCACCGCCCCTGTCACCTCCCTCGCCCTTCCTCTCACCTCATTGAATATCCCCGCCTCTGTTCTATCCCAGAAGGGCCGCCTCCCTGACAGCAAAATATACGTGATAACCCCGATGCTCCACACGTCACTCTCCGGCCCCGACCGCCGCTTGAGCACCTCAGGGGCGACATAGTATGCACTGCCCACCACGTCCGTGAAATGCTTGCCTGGGGGGCCAAAAGAGGAGAGATAAGGGGGGTTGTGGGGGTCTGTGAAGTGCTTGCGTGGAGGGAGAAGACGAGGGGAGATGGGAGAGTTGTGAGAAAGGAACACATGCGCCAATAGCACACACACCCGGCATTGCCATACCCACCCACGTGCAGCACTCACCGGGTTTTCTGAAATCCGAGAGGCCAAAGTCGGTGGCTTTAAGGAGCGCATCTTCTGCCTTGGACTTGAAAAGAAAATTCTGCAGGGGTGGGAGGGGGGGGGAGGGACAGAGACCGGAGAGGGGAGAGGGGGGTGGAGGGAGAAGGGGAGGGTGAGTGAGGTAAGGGAGGAAGGAGAGGAGAGGGATTGGAAAGGAGGTGACAGTGGATGAAAGGAGGGAGCAAGGGGAGAGCGAAAACATGAGGAGAACCAGAGGGGAAGAGGGGGAGAGGGGAGGGGGAGGAGGGAGTGTGGGAGTAAGGGAGGAAGGCAAGAAAGGCACGGAGTTGAATGATTCTGTGCAAGTGGCACTTGGCCACCACGCTCAGCAATCTCGTGTTGTGCGTCCTACGTCTCTCTTTCTTCACGCCCGTCCCCCCCTTGCCTCTCCCTTCCACGCCCCCCCTCTCTCTCTCTCTCTCGAATGGTCCTTGCATTACTTATATGGGTGGTACAATGGAAGATGCAGACACAAGCAAGACAAACATCCAAACCGGTATCCTATCCACCACTAGTCCCCTACCTACCCCCCCCCCCCCCCCGGCCGACCCTACTGGTCGAACGGGGCCTCGATCAGCTGGTGCCTCCCTCCCTCCCTCCCTCCCTCCCTCCCTCCCTCCCTCCCTCCCTCCCTCCCTCCCTCAATCCCTCAATCCCTCAATCCCTCAATCCCTCAATCCCTCAATCCCTCAATCCCTCAATCCCTCCCTCCCTCAATCCCTCAATCCCTCAATCCCTCAATCCCTCCCTCCCTCAATCCCTCAATCCCTCCCTCCCTCCCTCCCTCCCTCCTCCCTCCCTCCCTCCCTCCCTCCCTCCCTCCCTCCCTCCCTCCCTCCCTCCCTCCCTCCCTCCCTCCCTCCCTCCCTCAATCCCTCAATCCCTCAATCCCTCCCTCCCTCCCTCCCTCAATCCCTCAATCCCTCCCTCCCTCCCTCCCTCCCTCCCTCCCTCCCTCCCTCCCTCCCTCCCTCCCTCCCTCCCTCCCTCCCTCTCTCTCAAACGGTCCTTTGTATTAATTCAGCAGGGGTACAAACATGCGGTGCTATCCATGATAACCTCCATCCCTTAAGCCCCAAAACTCACCACTCTTCTCCCCCCCCTGAGTGACCCTCTAGCCCTCCAGCGTGTGGAGGATGTCCCCCAGGTGCAGCGGCCAGGGGTCCGCTGCCATCTGGGGGTGCGCTGCCTCGATCCCAGCCCTGGCCTTGGTGTGCAGGGCATTCGCCTGGGAGCGCTGGAGGGCCACTGACCAGCGCTGGCTGAAGTGGCAGGCCATCTTCTTGGCCGATTTCGCCAAGGGGTTGGCCCTGAACCGGTTCCTAGCTGCTGCTGTGGCCAGCAGCTTCAGGAACGCAGTCGTGGTGGGCGCGTTTGCCCCGTAGGTCTCGACGGCTAGGGCGCAGAACACCACGTGTTCCGTGTGTCGGTAGTACTCCCGCCTCCTTCCGCCTCTGTTGGAATCCCTCTCTCTCTCTCTCTCTCTCTCTCTCTCTCTCTCTCTCTCTCTCTCTCTCTCTCTCTCTCTCTCTCTCTCTCTCTCTCTCTCTCTCTCCTCGGGCTTTAAGTCACGGTGCACAACCCTGTGCAGGTGGCGTTTGGCCAAGTCGCTCTGTGGTGTGCGCCTTCTGTCTTTCTCTCTTTCTTCCATCTGCCCCCTTCTCTCTCGGTTCAAGCGCGCCCGTCCCCTTGCCTCCCACTTTTACCCATCTCTCACCTCGGGCTTTAAGTCGCGGTGAACAACGCCGTGCAGATGGCATTTGGCCACCACGCTCAGCATCTGCCGCACCACTCCTGCTGCATCCTTCTCTGAATACCGATTTTCGCGCCTGCTCGCGTTTAACCCCAAAAAAGGAAGGGAGGGGGGAACGAGAAAATGGGGAAGGCAACAGGGGAAAAAGGGTTAGCATGCTGAAACGATTTATCATAACTGCTTACTCCCCATTCTACATTTCCCTTCCCTGCCAATTTCATCCCCTCCCTTCCCCTTGCTTGTCTCACATTCGGTCCTGGCCCCTGCACCGTCTTCCTTTGTTTCCCGTCCCCTGTAAAGTTTACTTCCCACCCATTCACTTTCCCTAGTCTTGAATTTTATCCCCCAAGCTTACTTGCTAAGGATTCGGTCGAGGAGTTCGCCACCCTCGCAGATTCTGCCAAGGGGGAAGCGAGGGGAGAGTGAGCGGATGGGGGGTGAGGATGGGGAGGAGAGGAGGAGAGGAGCGGTAAGGAAAGGACGGGAAGAGAAGTAAAAGGAGCAGTCAGGAGCGAGACGGGGGGAGAGAGAGGAGGAAAAAAGGAGAGGGCGGTGGAAATGACGTGAGAGGATGGGAAGAACGAGAGCAGAGATAGAGTGTGAAACATGCGTTTATAATGCACTCACTCCTGCAAATGTACATAAAATAGGTGCCCTCAAAGATGTCGACAAACTGCACCTCAGTACACTCCGTACCCAGTATAGCATAGTGCACTCACTCCATGCAGGTGTACACAAAGTCGGTGTCCTCAAACACGTCAATGAACTGCACCACGTTGGGATGGCCCGACATCAGCTTCATTATCGCCACCTCAGTACACTCCATACCCGCCATAGTGCACTCACTCCCTACCCGCTATAAGCACTCACTCCATGCAGATGTACACAAAGTCGGTGTCCTCGAACACGTCAATGAACTGAACCACGTTGGGATGGCCCGACAGCAGCTTCATTATCGCCACCTCCCTTCTCACGTCCTCCACCGCTATAGGCAGCTTCATCTGGTAAGTTGGGGGTGGGGGAGAGTTGAGTGGTGAGAGAAAAGGGTTTGAGAGCTGCGTTTTACACGACCGCTTCATCCTCCGCACATCCTCCACTGCTATAGGTAGCTTCATCTGTTAGTGTGGGGGAGCGATGAGTGGTGGGAGAGTTATGGGGGGAAAAGACGTTACATGTCGATACGTTAGTAATCTATCTTTTTTTTTCTTTCGTTTTGAGACATTTCGAAACACATGCCACTCGCGTGCACGCACTGATTCGTTATGAGCACCTCCTTCGTACGCACTTGCCACTCGCGCGCTGGTGAATGCTGAACTGACTCATAACTGACTCAGCTGCTTCTTTCACTCTCGCGCTGCGCACCTGCTTCGTTACACGCACCTGCTTCATTATACGCCTGCCTCGTTACACGCACCCGTCTCGTTACACGCACCTGCTTCTTCTCGATCGCCTTCGCTGCTACCCGCTCGCCCGTGGCTAGTTGAATCGACTCGTACGTGGTGCCGAATTGCCCGTGACCCAACTTGCTTCTTTCACTCTCGCTCTACCGCTTGCCTCATTATACGCCTGCCTCGTTACACTCACCTGTTTCATTATACGCCTGCTTAAAACGCACCTGCTTCTTCTCGATCGCTTTCGCTGCCACCCGCTCGCCCGTGGCTTGTTGAATCGACTCGTACGTCGTGCCGAATTGCCCGTGACCCAGCTCTCTGCCCAGCTTATAGTGTGCCTCGAAGTCTCGTTTATAGCCGAAATCCGTTCGCAACCCTAACGGGATCGTCGTGTCGTTCTTATCGTATTTCGCGAATTGTAACGCGGCTCCGTCAACCGCGGTAGCAGCACCCGCGTTATTTTCCGCTTCTTTCCCCGCTGATGTTCCTGTTGGTATACTCGCATTTGCATCTGATCCTGTGGCAGTCCCTGCTCCTCCTCCTGCTGTTCCTGCTGCTTCCGCGCCTCCCGCTGATGCTCCTCCCACCCCATATGAACCCTCATTTCCACTTTTCCCTGGACTTGACGGCCCGGCAGCTTTCACTTCATCTGTACTTGCCGGCTTCGCATGCACGGCAGCTGGAGCCGTCTGAGTTGCGTCGGCACCGGCTGGCGGTGCTTTGGACGCGTCAGGCCGCCGCTCCTTGCTCTTCGACAAGCACGAGCCCATGCTGCTGATTCCCTACTGGTTCCTAACCTAGCGTTCGCGCAGTAATATAACAGTAGTGTTCGTGGCGTAGCGTCTATAGTCGCTGTACAGTAAATAAATACGGAACGCACAAGCTCCTTTCTGACCTAGACAGTGCCTGGGAGTTCAGGTATACAGTGCGTGCACCGCTGGTCCTATTTTTTGTCTACGAACGCAAATGTACGAGGTCAACGAAAAGACTACGATAATCTGTTTTTCCTAGGACCTTTCTGACCTAAGCTGTGCGTGGTCAATCTCGGTTTCCGACATTGACGGGAAATTGAACAGATGAAGCCAGCCGTTTCATAATTCGGGAGCACATCTCAACTCATACAGTGCCCTCGATTCCGTGACTCAACGGGAGCAAGCGCTTTTCAATTCTCCCAATGTCAGTGTGATGATGCCAGGCAACGTAAGTGATAGTGCTCACTGCAGAGTTGGCCTAAAATATACAAGGACGCGGCATATTCTGTTTGAAGTGAAGACGAATCAGGGCAATGTTGCGTAGATACTCGAGCATCAAACAGGAGGAACTGTGGACCGTGGAGGATGTCCAAACGAAGGAAACGATTTGTGACCGTTTTTGGAAGTCCAATTTGTGAAGGGGGAAGACTGTTCGGTTCGGGGAAACATCTGGGCTTGGAGAGGTGTAGGCGGAAGAAGAGTGTTGACAGAAGAATTGTTTGCGGAAGATTTGTAGGCGGAAAAGCTGTGGCCGGAAGGGCTGAGTGGGACGTGACTGGACGGGAAAAATGCAGGCGCGAGCTCAGTCAGCCGGTTAGCGTATCGTTTTTTTCGCAAAGACCATCTGCGAGGGGGACGAAACGGAATGGCTGCCGCTGGAGCAAAATCTGCCACAGTTTCTTCTGTCGAACCTTACTGTACATGCCTTTTCCGTCCACTACAAGAAACATGAGGGCTGGCGTGGCGTGCCTGAGCATAAACGGTGGGTCGCCGAATGGGCAGCTAAAACGTCTGCAAACGGTTGCTAGAAACGGGAGAGCGGTAGGTTTTGACTGGCGGGAGGGGGAGGGGAGGGGGGGGGTGGGGGGAAGAGGGGATATCCCGGGAAGCTGTCTCAGGAAGGAGGGAAGACAGGCCAATAGGAAGGGGGAAGGAAGGTGAATGGGTGGGTGGTTGCGCTGGTGCGGGGAAACTGAGACTTTTGTAGCGCTCTGATATTCGTCTTCCGCCTACGCACTTGCTTGGGGGGAGTTTCGAAATGAATTTCCGTGTCGCCCACTGGCAAAGTTTCTCGTGGAATTGGGGGGACCATTTCGTGTTGACACGGCCTCAAGCAAGATAGTGGAGCATGGTCAGCTCTTTATAGTGCAATGAAGTCAGCACTACACCTGTCAAATATAAATGATATAGATTCAGTTATATACGATAAACATTGGCAAAGTAATTATAGAGTTAAAAGCATTTCATAATACATTTACGATCATATAATCGGATAATATATAGCAGAAAAAACATTCTAGCTAACATATTAAGTCTGATTGACTACCTACTTGTACATATGGGAGATGGTATGGTAAGCATTATGTGTGGTTGTGCAGTCATACTGGCTGTATCGTCATGGCAACACTGCAGCCACTCGAGAAAGGTCATATGATCAATAATCCCTGCCGCTCGTTATAGGCAAGTGAAACTGGGCTGCGTGTGGTGTTGAGTGATTGTAGGCCTGCGCCTCGCGCATATAGGAGCATTTCATGTTGTTGCGATTGGTCCATTCGCTACTGTTGCGTCTGCTGTAGCGTCTGGACCAGTGGCTGACGTCACATCTCAAGCCTCGACCAATCGTTGATTGGTTGTCCCGCGCCTTGGTGGCCATTGCCCAAGTTGATTTTGCATCTTGTTCGGGACGCGAATCGGCTCGAGCCGAGACAGACACGTCATAAACGATACGCGCACCATGTACAGTATCGGACCGAACAGCTGTCACACATTTCACACCACGCAGGGCAGGTACACCCTCTTTCTCGCCATACTGACGTCCGCTATACTGACTTCCAGAGTGAAAAAGCTCGGTTGAGGCTGGTTTATTTAGGTTCTGGTATGGTTTATTTGGGCAAATCGAATAGGACAAGGCCAGCCTGCCAGTTACGCGCGGGTCAGTGTAGCGAGAAACAGGGTGTAATAGAATCACCGCCGGGGGTGTCTCGTCACCCACCCTTGGGATGGCGTTTCGGAAGCTGTGCATCAATGGCACACAAGGGAATTTTCATAGCTGGTATATCCCCTTTCAGTGAAGTTTTTGACGGGCCCAACTAAACGTTCCCCCATCAATACGCATAAACGGTCAGTCACAGTGTGTTTCCCTCGCTCGCTCATGATTCGTATTCATTCCAAACCCTTTTCGAAACATTTTGGTTCTAGCTACAAGGTTTACGTGAAAGAAGCCACTCTGGGATGGGTGTCCCAGACTTCATTATCTTTTCGTTCCACATTCCCCACATTCACACTCCCCAATCTCCCCCCCACCCCCCCCCCCCCCCCCCCCTCTCCCCTTTTCCCTTCCCCCTCACCTCTCCTTCCCCGAAAACGAATTTGCAAAGAACCTTCCGCTCTCACCAACTCATCCCCCCTCCTACCCTCCCCGCCTGTGCGATTCCACAACAGCTGTGCGCTCGACTCTTTCGCGCATTGTTCCCCACAGCACGCACACGCATCTCCCCTCGATTGGACCACCCGCGTCGAGTCTCGTCTCGATTGGAGTCGAGTCTTCCAAACAAACCGACTCCAACCCAACTGATTTGAGCTTGTTTTCCCAGCTGCTTCAGCGCCGAACGGGATGAGCTGCGCGTAGAGACAAGCGCGACTCGACGAATGTGATGTGGATGTGATGCAGAACAATTTCCCGCACCCTGCTCGCTCTTCCCCAGGGACTTTCCACCACGACTGAAGGCAGTCGGGCGATTCTCTCGAGTGTATGCGGGTGTTTGCGGAAGGGTGGAAGGAAGGCGGTTTCCGCCAGAAACACATCGGCGGAACATGGCAATGCCTTTGTTATTGGGTTTGAGTGATTGGCTCGTCTTTTCCCTCTTGGAATCTCAGAAATACATTAGCTTGCGGAGGTCGGTCTATGACTGTTGGTCAGTGAGCCTGTTCGGTGGGTGCGATTGATTCATGCGCTCATTGCTCGATCGAATAGACCAACATATAGATTGAAGCACCTCCATTCGTAAAGCTGGTTGCGGGTGCTTACGGGCAATCGAGTCGAGACGAGACCCCCGATCCGCCTACTTGATTGACGCGATACTGTTTTCAGCTAGTGTGATTTATCGAAGTCAAGAGTGCTAGATCATACGCTCAAGTCCAGTAAGGAGTCTCGAGAGTTCGTACCGCCTTAGTACTAAATCATACTTTACGCTATACGGTAGTTCCTTGGGCGTCTTCGCGATTGGACACGTCAGCTCTGACAGCCTTATCTACAATCATGGACACGTCGGATCCAGTCGTTTTCGCCAGCGTAGCCACCGCGGCGCTCGTGCTCTTCCTGTTTATATGGCGTATCGTCTTCTTCTTTACCGCGGACGGTACGAGCTTCCCATTACCCGTCCTGCTCGTCCTATTCATCCGCTGCGTTTTCGTCTTCCCCACGGCTGACGGCAGGAAGTTCAAACGTGCTAATATTGGATCGATCTGTTTGTTCTAGAACCTTGCTGTCCGTCGTGTCGTGGTATTCTTTACCGCGCCGCGTGGTACGACTTAGTCGCCTAAAAAATGGTTGTCTGGCGTATCGTCGTCTTCTTCGCCGCGCGTGGTACAAAGTTCGTTCTGCAGTGTCCCGTGCGCCACCTGAACGACACGTGCACTAAACGTACCGCAAGTTCGTTCTGCAGTGTCCCTTGCATCTCTTCACCGCATCTCTCCTTCGCATCTTCTCCGCATCTCCCGCGTATCTCCCCCGCACCCCCCCACTCATCTCCCCCGAATCTCCCGCGCATCACGTGTCCCTCGCGCTCCCCGCGTTACCGCAGCGGACTTGACGCTGCTCCTCAAGGGCCCGCCGCCGGAAGGGGCGTTCGAGGACAAGGTGGTGTGGATCACGGGCGCCAGCCAGGGCATCGGTTAGTGTGGCTTAGTCATAGTGCCAGTCCTGGTTTATTCTGAGTATTTCGAGTCGTCTCACTCACACCACCCAAGGGGCGTTCGAGGACAAGGTGGTGTGGATCACGGGCGCGAGCCAGGGCATCGGTGAGTCTCATTCAGACTTAATACCAGTCAGGTAGTGTCTCGGAATACTCAGAATTAGACGTCAGAACCATCGATGCTCCTCACGGGGCCGCCGCCCCAAGGGCCGTTCGAGGACAAGGTGGTGTGGATCACGGGGGCGAGCCAGGACATCGGTGAGTCCCATTCAGACTCAGTACCAGTCAGGTAGTGCCCATGAAATTCTCGTGAACTAGACTTATGAATCATCGTTACTCCTCAAGGGCCCGCCGCCGGAAAGGGCGTTCGAGGACAAGGTGGTGTGGATCACAGGGGCGAGCCAGGGCATCGGTTGATGTAAATGACTCTCCTCTACTTTGCAGGAACTGGGAATTGTTCTAAACGATAGAGCTCTGTCTTAGCTTTCCAACGAGCCGTCAATTGCTTCGTTCGCCTGAGAAACGAGCGAGCTATAGCTGGAAACGTGAAGACTATGCTCTATGTTGAAGGATAGGAATCTCTCTGGATTTTGTGTTCGAATGCACTTCATACAAAGTGATTCAGAATGTTCAGTATATCATGCAATACAAAAGCAAACACATTTATATGAACTGCAAAACGTCGAATCGCACATGTAACCTCGAATCGCGGAACACTCGAATGTTCGAGTAACATCGAAGGGGTGAAATTCGACTCTCGAATTTCACCGAATCGAATTCTCCCTGAGTCTCGATTCATCTTGTGTTGCCATGTGGCACCAATCGAGTGGGTCTTCCGAAGTCAACCCACACACTTCGTGAAACCTGCAGCTCTCTCAAGCGGTGAGCACCGAAACACATTCGGTGGGTTGGGGGCATATTAATTGCCCCACCACCGTTTGCTTCTAACTCACGCGACCTCCAACACTCCCCCTTGCACCCAACCCACTAGGTGTGCAATCCAACATGCTCGTAGCATGCACGGGACGGATCTTTAGGGGGTAGTTCCATGAGAGGATCCATGTGTTCATCATCACCCATGGTTGCGAAGCAAAATGCCGCCCCCTCCTTATCCAACTTCCCAACGGCTACCGTAGCATAGTCGGCGTACTTGGAGGGAGGACGAACCTCACGACGCTCGCGGGTCAAGGCCAATGGTAGGGAGGAAGGTGTGGAGGTAGTTGCCGCCTCGGTAGGTGACACCTCCACGACATCATCAACGCTCTCCTCGTTGTTCTCTCCCCCTCCATCGGCTTCCTTCTCCACTTGAGGTGGAGTCTCACTCTCTTCAACCTCCTCTTGTGGCGGAAGGATGAAAGTGAGTTGTTGAGTGGGTTTCTCCTTCGACGGGAACTTGTCTTCATCGAAGACCACGTCCCGAGACGTGACGACACGCTTTTCACCCAAGTCCCACACTCGCCATGCACGCTCGTTTGGCGCAACTCCCAAGAAGATCGCCGCACGAGCTTTTGGTTGCAACTTGTGGCGAAGAGGATCCGGTATATGGTAGTAGCAAAGGCACCCAAAGGTGCGTAGGCGGGATAGGTTCGGCTTCGTTCCGGTCCATGCTTCGAACGGATTCATTCCCGGTAGCACCTTTGTCGGCACACGATTACGAATCCATGCCGCTAGCGCACTCGCCTCTCCCCACCACTCGTTCCCAAGCTTGGAGTGTTGAAGTAGTGAACAAACGGCTTCCACCAACGTGCGATTAAGCCGCTCCGCCGCTCCATTTTGTTGGGGTGTGTAGGGTGTTATGACGTCGTGCTTTATGCCCTTGCTCTTCATCCATTTCTCAAGTTCCGCGTTCACGAATTCGCCCCCACCGTCGGTGCGAATACACTTGATCCGCTTCTTGTTGTCGTCGCAAACATCGAGCGCCCACTCTTGAATCGCCTTGGCCGCATCTCCCTTAGCCTTCAAGAGTCGGGTCCAACACATCCGCGTCGCGTCGTCGAGCATCACCAAGAGGAACCGCGCTCCTCCCTTTGATGCATGTCGCATCGGTCCACACACGTCCATGTGAACAAGCGCAAGTGGGTCCTTAGCGAGGGGTGACGTTCGGCTACCAAATAGCTTGCGAGCCATTTTTCCTTCGACACACGCCGCGCACACGCCCTTCTCGTCGTCGCCGGCGATCACGTCAAGTCCCTTCACAAGTCCTTTGTTGGCCAACTCCTTGACCGAGTCGTAATTGGCGTGCGCAAGTCGATTATGCCACGCCTTAAGAGTTGCCTTGGAGCCTTGCGCCACGTTCGATGAAGCCACTCTCGGGTACGTCTTGAGTTGGTAGATATCTCCATTGAGAACCCCTTGCGCGAATTGCTCCCCCTTCCAAAAGAGGTTCATCTTCGCACCGTCGATGGTGGCGATCACGCCCTTCTTCGCCAGTTGCGGGACGGATAGAAGGTTCACCTTCACCCCCGGGACGTGAAGCACGTTCGTGACGTCCACCGGTCCGCTATCGACGATGAGGCGCGTACTCCCAACTCCAACCACCGGTAGAGATTCGTTGTTTCCGAACACGATGCTCGTGACGTCTCCCGGAGCGCCAATGTTGTTGAGGAGCGACGCCGAGTGCGTCATGTGTTGCGTTGCGCCGGTATCGAGGAACCACGCGTCGCTTGGAGTTTTGTTCCCGTTGCCGGCCACTAACACGAGCGACTCGTTTGAATCATCGGCCTCGCCGAATGCCGTGTGCGCGTTGCCCTCTTCGTCCCGCGCCTTCGATGGAGTCCAATCGCTCGGGCGCTTCCGACACTCACGCCAAAAGTGTCCCGGTTTGCGGCAATAGTGACACTTGCCGCGATGCTCGCTCCCACCCGACGATTCATTCGTCGCACCCTTGCTCCACTTGGACTTCTTTCCGGAACTCCCTCCGGAGTACATGGCGGTCCCCTCGCTCTCATTCACGAATTGTCGGCGACGTGATTCCTCATGGAAAAGCCGACCGACCACCATTTCCTTCGTCCAAGTGCCTTGCACGCTATCGAGTGTCGTAATCACCGTCGACCACTCTTCCGGAAGGCCGCAAAGCAAGGTGAGAATCCAATCCTCCTCCGTGACCGTTCCACCGAGGTCCATGAACGATTCCCCGAGTTCCTCCACACGAGTCGCATACTCGTGCATCGATTCGCCCGCGCGCATCTTCACCGTGTAGAACGCATTCCGGGCTAGGATCTTGCCGTGGAGAGTCTTGTTCACGTGGATGGTCTCGAGCCGCTTCCACGCTTCATGCGCCGACGCTTCGAGCTTGATGCACATGCGCACCGAGCTCACGAGATTGATGCCGATGCGCGAAATCAACGTAGCGAACGCCTTTTGGTCCTTCTTCTTCCATGCCGCGATGTCGCTCTCGTCGTCCGGCTTCTTCTCCGTTCCATCGAAGAATCCCCAAAGTCCCCGCTCCATCATGAGCACTTGGAACTTAAACTTCCACGCGGAGTAATTTTGTCCCGTGAAAATCGGTACCGCCGACGTGTCGAACATCGTCGCGGTTGCCCAGGGTTCGCCGGTATTTACAACGACACCATCCAACGAAGTGCGGGAGGCCTCGCTTGACGTCATCATGCTTGCTCCTTGTCGCGCGCGTAGACTCCTCCGACCAGCTCTGATACCACTGATGTAAAGGACTCTCCTCTACTTTGCAGGAACTGGGAATTGTTCTAAACGATAGAGCTCTGTCTTAGCTTTCCAACGAGCCGTCAATTGCTTCGTTCGCCTGAGAAACGAGCGAGCTATAGCTGGAAACGTGAAGACTATGCTCTATGTTGAAGGATAGGAATCTCTCTGGATTTTGTGTTCGAATGCACTTCATACAAAGTGATTCAGAATGTTCAGTATATCATGCAATACAAAAGCAAACACATTTATATGAACTGCAAAACGTCGAATCGCACATGTAACCTCGAACCGCGGTACACTCGAATGTTCGAGTAACATCGAAGGGGTGAAATTCGACTCTCGAATTTCACCGAATCGAATTCTCCCTGAGTCTCGATTCATCTTGTGTTGCCATGTGGCACCAATCGAGTGGGTCTTCCGAAGTCAACCCACACACTTCGTGAAACCTGCAGCTCTCTCAAGCGGTGAGCACCGAAACACATTCGGTGGGTTGGGGGCATATCAATTGCCCCACCACCGTTTGCTTCTAACTCACGCGACCTCCAACATCGGTGAGTGTAATTCAGGCATGTAGGTATAAGGTTAGGGAGTGGACGCCCGTATCCTATCTAGGGCTGTCCTTGCCACCTCTTTCCTCTCCCCCTTTTCCTTGCCCACCCCCCGCGCGACCTCCCCTATTCCCTCGCCCCCCCGCCACCCCTTCGCGCCCCGCTCTGGCCCTTCCGCCTACCAGGGCAGGAACTGGCGCAGCGTTTCGCGGCGATGGGCGCGCGCCTAATTCTCTCCTCGCGCTCCGCGGAGCGCCTGGAGGCGGTGCGCGAGACGTGCCGCGGGAAGCACGCGCCGGAGGGGATAGTGGTGCTGCCGTTCGACCTTAAGGGGGGCGCGGACGTGCTGCGCGGCGCAGTGCGCCAGGCGGAAAGCGCGTTCCTCGGGGGGGAGGGGGCGTGCGGAGGGGGGGAAGAACCCTGCGGGGTTGACGTGCTGGTTCTGAATGCTGCCCATCTGCGCCCGGTGAGTCCCCTATCCTGAACGCTGCTGGTCCTGAGGCGCCTCAAATGTAGGCGGAAATTGCTTTTCGCCAGGCGGGAGGGAAGGGGGGGTGGTGGGGTGGGCGTGGGGAAGAGGAAGAGGGGGTCGCGCGCGAGGTGGGGGAAGGGGCGTGCGGGGCTGACGTGCTTGTTGTCATGAATCCGTGCTTGGTTAGTGGCCTATCCTACGTACAACAACCCCCTCCTCTCCCCTCTTCTAGTCTCTCCCCGCTTCCCTATGCCGCCACCAAACGCGCTCTGCACGGCTACTTCCCCTTCCCCCCTCCCTCTTCCCTCTGTCTCTCTCTTCTACTGCCGTAGCCTCAGCCTCCCTCCGTCGCACTCTCCCACTCACACTTCTCCCATCCCCCCCCCCCCCCCCCCCCCCCCTCCTCGTCTCGCTTCGCCCCTGTGCATAAGCTCACATGTGAGGACACTCCAGAGGACACTCTTCGGGTAAGCCCCCCTCTCTCCCAACTCTCGTCTCTCTCTTCTGCCACGTGCAGAAACAGAAAGCCACGTGTGAGGACACTCCCGAGGACACTCTTCGGGTAAGCCCCCCTCTCTCCCAACTCTCGTCTCTCTCTTCTGCCACGTGTGAGGACACTCCCGAGGACACTCTTCGGGTAAGCCCCCCTCTCTCCCAACTCTCGTCTCTCTCTTCTGCCACGTGCAGAAACAGAAAGCCACGTGTGAGGACACTCCCGAGGACACTCTCCGGGTAAGGTTCACTTTCCTTCCTCGTTGTAAGCACAGAGAAACCCCCCCACCCCACCTTCCCCCCCCCTCTCCCGCCACCCCCGCCCCCGCGTATCTCTTCTCTCATCTGCCGCCTAAGCTAGCGCACATGTGACGACCTTTGAGAAGGAGACGGAGGGATGACTTTTGAGACGTCTCAAATGACGTGAAGATGGAGACGGAGGGAGAGAGGTCTTTTGAGGCGCCTCAAAAGTCGTCTAGCACAAATGTGACTTTTGAGGCGCCTCAAAAGTCGTCTAGCACATATGTGACTTTTGAGGCGCCTCAAAAGTCGTCTAGCACATATGTGACTTTTGAGGCGCCTCAAAAGTCGTCTAGCACATATGTGACTTTTGAGGCGCCTCAAAAGTCGTCTAGCACATATGTGACTTTTGAGGCGCCTCAAAAGTCGTCTAGCACATATGTGACTTTTGAGGCGCCTCAAAAGTCGTCTAGCACATATGTGACTTTTGAGGCGCCTCAAAAGTCGTCTAGCACATATGTGACTTTTGAGGCGCCTCAAAAGTCGTCTAGCACATATGTGACTTTTGAGGCGCCTCAAAAGTCGTCTAGCACATATGTGACTTTTGAGGCGCCTCAAAAGTCGTCTAGCACAAATGTGACTTTTGAGGCGCCTCAAAAGTCGTTTAGCACATATGTGACTTTTGAGACGGAAGGAGGGAGGTAGTGCTAGCTCATCTCACGCACGCACCCTCACGCACTACCTCCCTCCCTCCGTCTCCTTACTAACCGCCCCTCCCCGCCCATCCTCTCCCTCCTCCACCCCTTCCCCCTTCCCATCAGGGCATGTTAGAGGTCAACGTGGTCGTCACCATTGGGCTCACGCGCTACCTGTCCCCCCCCTCCTCTTCCGCACACCCCCCTTCCCCCCTCTCCCTCCTCTCCCTTTCCTACCCCACTCGTCCCTCTCCCCCCATCAGGGCATGCTAGAGGTCAACGTGGTTGCCACAATAGAGCTCACGCGCCACCTCCTGCCGTGCATGATGCAGCGCAACAAGGGGCAGATTCTCGTGGTGAGTGGTGTTGCTGGTGGTGGAAGGGACTGGTGAACGGGGTACAATACAAGGGAAAAGTATGTGCTGTCTTGTGTAGAGCAGCTCACGCGCTACCTACTGCCGTGCATGATGCAGCGCAACAAGGGGCAGATACTCGTGAGTTTCCCAGCGGAATGTGCATGCATGAAAATCTTTAAGGCAGACGTTTGGGTAAGTGCACTTAGGTACAATATCCGTGCACCTCTGGTTCCCCCCATCCCAACCCATCCCATCCCATCCCATCCCATCCCATCCCATCCCATCCCATCCCATCCCATCCCATCCCATCCCATCCCATCCCATCCCATTCCAGTCCCTCCTGCTTCTTCCTACAGGTGAGCAGTGCAGCGGGCAAGCTCCCCGCGCCCACGCAGGGCGTATACGCCGCCACCATGCATGCTCCTTGCTCTCTTCCTCCTTTTGATATCCTCCTCACTCCCTCCTCCCCCTTCCTCTCCTCCCCTAATCAGGTGAGCAGTGCAGCAGGCAAGCTCCCCGCGCCCACTCAGGGCGTATACGCCGCCACCAAGCACGCCCTGCATGGGTACTTCAACACGCTGCGGTACGAAGCGGTGCAGCACGGTGTGGCTGTCACGCTCGTGTGCCCCGGCCCGATCGCCACTGAGGGCTCGGCTGAGGGGGCAATCAAATCCGCCTAGAAGCAACCTGCTGATCAGGCACATGCCGCAACTGCTGCTGGGGAAGACGAGAAGGTGAGCGGGGGGTTGGAGAGTGAGTGGCTGTGCTGAGTCTTGAGACGTCACAAGGGCCGATCGCCACTGAGGGCTCAGCTGAGGGGGCAGTCAAATCCGCAACCAAGCCCTCCGCTGATCAAGTACATGTTCCTGCTGCTGCTGCTGCTGCTGCTGCTGCTGCTGCTGCTGCTGCTGCTGCTGCTGCTGGGGGAGATGAGAAGGTGAGCTGGGAAACTGAGTGACAGGGCGGGTGAATGGGTGAGTGGGTGAAGGCTCAGCTGAGGGGGCAATCAAGTCTGCGTCCAAGCCCTCCGCTGATCAAGTACATGTTCCTGCTGCTGCTGCTGCTGCTGGGGGAGATGAGAAAGTGAGTGCGGGACTGTGTGGTGGGTGAGTGTGGGTGGGTGGGTGGGTGGGTGAGTGGGCGAGTGCGTGAGTGGGTGAATTGGGTGGATTTGCTCATGCCTTTCCTTCCTTCCCCCCTTCCATCTAGCCCTCATTCCCCACACCTCACTCCCCCCACATATCTCTCCCCTTTCCATTTCCTCTTCTCAGGCCTCGCGCATGCCAGCATCGCAATGTGCTGAGCTCATTGTGAGCGCTGCTGCTTGCTCCTCCCTCTCCCATTTGAGTCTGCATCCCACCCACTGTTCTGCCTCTTGTCCCCCACATCCTCTTGTCCCCCACATCCTCTTGTCCCCCACATCTCGCTCCCCATTTCCCTTCTCTCTCCACAGGACTCGCGCATGCCAGCATCGCGATGTGCAGAGCTCATAGTGAGCGCTGCTGCTTGGAGGCTAGAAGAAGCATGGATCTCCAGACATGTGAGTAGGGACAAAGTAGGGGCAAAGTAGGGCAGTACTTTGCTGCCTGCCACGTGCTCACACTGTTTTGAACCTCTGCTGAAGCTTCTCCCATTTTCATGAAGCTGAACTTCATGAGCCTCTGCTGAAGCTTCTCCCATTTTCCCACTTCATGCACCGGGTGCCCTTCATCTCATGCTGCTTCTCAAGCACCCGGTGCAGTGCCTTCCCCCCATCCGCACCCCCCCATTCGTGCCTTTCAACCATCCTCCTTTGTACTCCCCAGCCGGTGCTGCTACTCATGTACCTCGCACAGTACTTCCCTGCCACCTGCTCATACTCCTCTCAACCCCTTCCCCTGCCCCCATCTGTGCCTTCCCCCATCCCACCTGTACCCCCCAGCCGGTGCTGCTACTCATGTACCTCGCACAGTACTTCCCTGCCACCTGCTCATACTCCTCTCAACCCCTTCCCCTGCCCCCATCTGTGCCTTCCCCCATCCCACCTGTACCCCCCAGCCGGTGCTGCTACTCATGTACCTCGCACACTACTTCCCTGCCACCTGCAGCATACTCCTCTCAACCTCCCCCTTCCCCCCTCTTTCCTCCCTGTCCCCCATCTGCACCCCCCCATGCGTGTCCCCCCATATACCCCCCAGCCGGTGCTGCTACTCATGTACCTCGCACAGTACTTCCCTGCCACCTGCAGCATGCTCTTCAGAAAGGTGAGCGGATGAGAGTGCTGATAGCCTGGTGAAGTGCCTACAACCGGGTGACAGGGTGAGTGGTGAGTTGATTCACAAGACACCTCATGTACCTCGCACAGTACTTCCCTGCCACCTGCAGCATGCTCTTCAGAAAGGTGAGGGGATGAGAGTGCTGATTGCCTGGAAACTGTTTCTGAGGTACCTCGACTGAGGTACATCTTAAAGGGCTTCGAAACGGGGAGGATAGAGCCAGTCAGAACGCTGCTGACAGGGTGGCTCTCAATTCAAGGGAGTGTAGTTAGCAGCAAGCTCTGTTGCCCGACTAAAAAGTGATCCGAATGGGAAACTCATTATTGATCAAAACAGGGAGGATAGAGCCAGTCAGAAGCCTGCTGACAGGGTGGCTGGGATGTAGTAAATTGCACTAAGCACTTAGTGCCCCCTCTCACCCTTCCTTCTCCCTCTCTCTCCCCACCTGCCGCAACAGATTGGTCCCAAGAGAGTGCAAGCACTCAAGACCGGCAGCAGCAACATGTACTCTACAAGCCTCCTATTCACCCGCACATCCTCCCCTTCTTCCTCATCCTCTTCCTCCTCACTCACCTCACTCTCCTCCTCCTCCCCCGTCTCCATCTCCTTTACCTCTTCCTCCAGCCGCTCACCCTCTCCCACACACCTACCCCGCGCCATTAAACCCCACAAGTCCCTCTCTTTCTCATCCCTCACTCACACACCCTCTCACACATCCTCGCACATGCCAGTGCGAAGATCCACCACCCCCTCCCCTCGTTCCTCCCCACCTCGCTCCTCCTCCCCTCTTTCCTCGCTCTCCTCTCCGTCTCTCTCCCCCTCGTCCCTCTCACCAGCCCTCTCTCCCCGCCGTTCACCCATCTCGGTCCTCCCCCGTCCCTCCTCCTCGCATCAAACCTTGTCTGCTACCAAGCCTCCCCTTGACTTGTGCAATTGAGAGAGCAGAAATGCCTGCCAATCCTCTCACCAGCCCTCTCTCCCCGCCGTTCACCCATCTCTGTCCTCCCCCACCCCTCCTCGCATCAAACCTTGTCTGCTACCAAGCCTCCCCTTGACTTGTGCAATTGAGAGAGCAGAAATGCCCACCAATCCTCTCACCCACCTTCTCTCCCCGCCGATCACCCATCTCGGTCCTCCCGCACCCCTCCTCCTCGCATCAAACCTTGTCTGCTACCAAGCCTCCTCTTGACTTGGCCAACTGACAGAGTTTTTGAAATTCTCTGAAGAAGCAGCTCCCCAATCCTCTCGCCAGCCCTCTCTCCGCACCGGATCGACCATCTCTGTCCTTCCTTTGTCAACGCTACCCCCGCCCCTGCCTCTTTCCTCAGCCCCTGGCCCCTGCTGCCCCTGCACCTGCACATTCGTCTGGTTGGCAACTTGCTAACCCAGCGTTTAACTCAATGTCAAACCCTAGCCAATCTTCCCCACCCTTGTGTCATCTAAGACCAACAGTGGCATTGGTATTTTGCACATCACCGTCATCACCACTGTCGCCACCATCGCCGCCACCATCGCCGCCACCATCACCACCACCCACTGCCACCCTCCATCACCCTTGACCACCCTCCACCACCTTCGACACAGGGCCGCTGCAGCCCAGGTTTCTCCTCCATTTAGGGTTCTCCGTTTTGTAGCATAGTAGAAGCGATGTTTGCGCAATGTGTTGAAAGCAATTTCCTAGTGGCATCGTGGGAGGTTAGAATCTCAAGTGCTCACTATGCTGATCAGTACTATCCTCGCTGTTCTTAATGAATCATTTGTTGTACCTGCCCTGCTGATCAGGGCCTGCCCTGCCCTGCCCCCTGAAATGCTGTACCTTGACATAAGCACTTGAAGGGCAATAAGAGGTATTGCTATGCGGATAGCGCTGTGAGGTAGCAGCCGTACCTTTTATGAATGCTCAGAAATTGAGGTGGATCTGCTTGGGTGGCTGTGAATAGTGGGCACAGGGGCCGACTGGCTCAGTTGAATAATGCGGAAAGACTGTTACCGTACGTACGTACGTACACCAATGTTTTGTAGAAACGAGTGTCCACATTTGTCCTTCGTGGGTTCAGAAAAAAAAAAATATTTTGGACCAGGCTTGCCAGCCATTCGAATGTATTACGTACGTACCACAAGTGTTTGGTAGGCAGACATTCGAATTTTGTGCCTACAGTTTTCTTCCCCAGTAACATTTGGTCAAGATTAGGGTTTCGGGAGTAAAATGTAGACTCCCGTCTGAAGAAATAGAGCCAGTAGAATGAGGAGTAGAGCTATCACTGCGAAGTAGCAGCCATGCCTTTAGAGAGGGCCAGGAGAATGAGGAGCTGGATCTGCTGCAGGGTGGCTATGGAGGGCGGCACTGGTAGGGCATCATCGGTTAAGGGTGGCTGAAGTAAACACTAAACGGTTTTAACAACAGCATGGGCTAAGGGGTGGCATTAACAGGTATCGCTATCAGGCAGCAGCCATGCCTTTGGAAAGTGCCAGAAGAATGAGAAGCTGGATCTGCTGCAGGGTGGCTATGGAGGGGGGCACTGGTAGGGAATGCACTAGGAAGTGGCATTAACAGGTAGCACTATGCGGTAGCAGCCATGCCTTTGGAAAGTGCCAACAGAATGAGCAGCTGGATCTGCTGCAGGGTGGCTATGGAGGGCGGCACTGGTGTCGCCTGGCTTTCCTGAAATGGGGGAAAGTGGGGGTAGGAGGGAGGAGGGGAAGAGGGGAGGAGGAAACTCTAAAGGCGCTAAGGGAATAAGAAGCTGGATCTGCTGTAGGGTGAAGTGACTATGGTGGGGGGCGCTGGAGTTGCCTGGCACTCTCGAGAGGCAGGGAGGGGAGGTAGGAGGGAGGAGGGACGTAGGAAAGGTGGGGGATGGATGAGGATGGGAGAGGCAAACATTTCATGCTCAGGTGGTACCTTGACAGATAGAACCTGATCAGGATATCACCTGGTCAGATAAAACCTGGCCAGAAAGCACCTGGCTGGGTCGTACCTGCTTGGGTAGCACCTGGGCAGATAGCACCTGACCAAATTGCACCTGGTAAATAAAAAACCTGGGCAGATAGCACCTGACCAAATAGTACCTGCTCCCTCCGCACGAAGTCGTAGTCCCTGCCTTGGTCGAATGCTGCCTTGACGTTCTGGTAGAGGCGAAGAGGGGTGAAGAATGGTGAAGAGGGGTGAAGAATGGTGAAGAATGGTGAAGAAAGGTGAAAATTTGTGATGGGAGGTGGTGGGTGGGAGGTGAGAAAAAGTAGAGGGGTAGTAGGTCTAGCAGGTACGATCTGGCCAGGTGCTTTCTGCTGGAGGAGCAACTGGTCAAATGGTTGTTGTCCACCATTCCTCTTCTCTCCGCCCCTCCCTCCCTCTGGAGTACCCAAATGGTAGTCTTGCAGAGCAGCGAAAGAAACCCACGATTGATGCCATACCGTCCTGGGTTGACAGCGTGCCACACCAGAAAGAACGGCTTTTGAGGCGCCTCAAAAGAGCAGCGAAAGAGACTCACGATTGATGACACACCGTCCTGGGTTGACAGCGTGCAACGCAGTTGCTTCTCAACCCAGAGAGAACGGACTGATCCCGGTGCCACGCAGTTGCTTCTCAAATTCGTGAAATGTCACTCCCAACCGCTGCAAATGCACAACGAACCCACTTATACCCCTGCACCACACCCACCTGCTGCACGAACCCATCGGTGGGGTCAGGAGGTTGAGAACCGTCTGCTGACACAACTCCCTCGTACCCCTCTCCACTCCTTATGTTGTCCACCTGGTGGCACCGTGAGTGGGGAGGTGGGGTTGGACATGCATGAGTGAAATAGATGGACAGTCAGTGTGCCTTTTGAGTCGACTCAAAAGTCACCTCATTACAATGGGGATGGACATGCATGAGTAAAATAGATGGACAGTCAGTGTGCCAGACGGTAATAATAATGATATTAATGATGACAATAACAAGAACAAGAATGATGTTCATGTTTGTAAGCGTATCGGCGTACCATGTTGAGTGTGGTGTAGACTAGCCGGACCCACAGCGTTCGAACCCGCACCTCCTGTAAAGAACCGGGGGTGAGAGGGGGCGAGAAAGGGAGGTGAGAGGGGTGGGAACAGGAGATGAGAGAGGGTGAGAACGTGAGGAGAGAAGGGGTGAGATTGAGAACGGGGTTGAGAACGGGAGGAGAGAGTGAAAGACTGCACTCATAACCTTCTGTGGATGACGAGAATGAAGATTGTGTGGTTGGAGGGAAAAGAAGGAGGAGGGAAAGGAAGGAGGAGGGAAAGGAAGGAGGCGGGACAGGGAGGCAAGCATAAACAGTCACACTACGAACAGAAGACATAAGTGATAAGCAGCACACACAGCGGTGCCCAAGCCAACAAACTTACCTGCCTCGTGCACACACAATCCCTGTGCCCATCCTCCCACACCATACCCATCCATCCATTCCATACCCCCAAGCCTCCATGCCCCCCTGCCTCATACTTCCATGCCTGCATACCCTCCTAGGTGACCCCTCCAAGTGTAGAAAGTGAATTTTTGAGACGTCTCATACTTGCAGCATGCCTCAAAAAATCACTTTCTACACGTGGCCCCTGTTTCATACTTCCATGCCTGCATACCCTCCTAGGTGACCCCACCAACCTCAGCCAAAAAGGGCCCTCGAAGGGCTTTAAGTGCGCTGCTCCTTCTCTCATCATCACTATCCAAATCCCCTTCCACCCTCTCCCCCCCTCCCTCCGCTCCCACCCCCTCCTCATCTCCCTCCTCTCCCCTTCCTCCCCCATTCCCATCTCCACTCCCTGCCGCCCCTCCTTCCACCCCTTCCTCTCTCCCCCCTCGTCTCCCCTTCTCGTCACCCTCCTCTCTTGCTTCTCGTTCTCTCCCACCCCTTTCCCCTCCCTCCTCCCCCTCCTCCCCCTCCTCCCCCTCCTCCCCGTCCGCCCCAGCGCCAGCGCCCATCATCATGGAGAAGGGGGCGGGCAGAGCAGCCTCTGCCAGCAGCAGCTTCAGCTGGAGGTCCTTAAAGCCCAAGAATTGACCCCTTGCTGCCATGCACGCATCCACAAAGTCCTCCAACGCCTCCTGATGGAAGAGCAAAGGGGAAGGGAAGGGGAGTGGATCAGAAAAAGTAGCTTCCGCCAGCAGCAGCTTCAGCTGGAGGTCCTTAAAGCCCAGGGAGTGACCTCGTGCCGCCATGCACGCATCCACGAAATCTTCCAGCGCCTCCTGAAGGGTTAAAGGTTAAAGGTTTTATTAGGTCGTGACCTGTTACAAACATGCAATGCAACTAGATGAGGAAACAAGCATAAGCCCAGCTCCCCGTGGGGAGCACGTGTGAACAAGTCATCCTCCCGTGTTTTGAGTCGACTCAAAACGTGAACACGTCATCCTCCCGCTACTAGAGCGAAGTCATCCAGGGATGGGTTTCTAGTTGACATGTGGCAAAAGGGGGGAGAGGGTGGTCCCAAGGGGGGCGGAGAGCGTCGTCAAGAAGCCAGGTGGCTCGAAGCAGCGCCTCCTGATGGGGTGCGAGGGTGGGAGGCGGGTAGGGGACAGGATCAGAAGACCAGCTTCCGCCAGCTGGAGGTCCTTAAAGCCCAGCGCCTGCGCCCGTGCTGCCATGCACGCATCCACAAAGTCACCCAGCGCCTCCTGATGGGGTGGGGGAGTGGGAAAAAGAAGGAGAGCAACGGGACAGAGCAGCAGCTTTGACAGTAAGAACCCGTGGCTGGACTGCACATGTGCTGCCATGCTTTTTGAGGCGCCTCAAAAAGCAGCAGCTTTGACAGTAAGAGAGCCCATGGTCGGACTGCACATGCGCTGCCATGCCTTTTGATGCGCGGTGACTTTTGAGTCGACTCAAAAGTCACGTCGACTCAAAAGTCACGTCGACTCAAAAGTCACGTCGACTCAAAAGTCACCTTTTTTAGGCGCCTAAAAAAGCAGCAGCTTTGACAGTAAGAGAGGCCATGGATGGACTGCACATGTGCTGCCATGCATGTGTGTACAGACTCACTTAAGAACACACACTCACTCACACACCCACGCACTCACCTCTCGTGGCTTCCCCAGCCCTTCAATCCTGGCCTGCACAAACGCCCGCTGCAGCGCCAGCGCCAGCTCATGCCCTTCCAACCCTCTCCCCATCCCGTCCCCGCCTCCCCCTCTCCCTCCCCCTCCCCCTCCCCCTCCCCCTTCAGTTCTAGTTGATGATCGTCCTTCTGCTCCTGCTGCTTCTGCTGCTGATGCAGCTTCTACCGAAGATGTGTTGGCAGAGGCAGCAGCTGCAGCACTAGCAGCAGCAGCTGCTGCAGCTGCAGCAGCCTTAGCCACTGCTCCCCCTGCCTCTGCGGCTGCAGCAGCGGCAGATGTAGCAGCATTAGCGGCTGCTGCAGCTGCTCTTCTTGAATCTGAGCCAGTCCTTCCGCTTCCCCCTTCCGCCCCTACTGCTTCCGCCACCTCCCCCGCTGCCCGCGCAACCTCCCCCACCGCGCTCGCTAAATTTCCCATCACGCACAGAAGCTGCGTCAGCGATCTCTGCAGTGACGTTAGCTGCTCCGCTGCTGCGGGCGCGGATTCCTGCCCCCTTTCCCCGCTGCTTCCTCCAGAGGTAGCTCGAGTAACAGTAACACGACATGGTGACGTGGCAGTCCGTTTAACACCTAACGGCGCACGAGCGCGGCTTTGAGGCGCCTGAAAAGTCGCACGACTGGACTGCTGCTCGTGACGAAATAATGAATCAGCGAGCCATGGCTTGTTCTCCAGGGGACTCCGAAACCCGCCGGCCCTTGCTACAAGCCTCCCTACGGGTCTCCTCCTCATGCGCTCCGGTATAAGGTTCTTTCTCGACGAGGAACTTGAGAAAAATGCGGGCCTTGTATCGAGTGGACTTGCGACGGGACCTCTGCTAAGGACTGGATTTGGTCCTGATAAACTGAACGGCATTTGGGAACGAGAAAGAGCCATGTTAAAGCCAGAAGCGCTTAAAGTATGAGACTTGAGCTGTAAAAGGGCCACTACGCTGAATGACGTTGCGAAGCGCTAAGCTTGGGCCATGTCTCTTGCGAGTCGTGGTGAAGGTAATGCTGGTGGATAAGATTTTGATCGGAGGCACATCACCGGTCCAGTCGGCCAACACATACGCGCTAATCGTTGTTCTTTTTCGAGGCAGTGAAAGGTTTGCACTTAACAGCACAGTAAAAGGTGTGTGCCTGTTGAATTTACTTGCTCTTCTATATTCAGTACTTAGTTGTAGTTTACTATAACATAGGGAGTATCAGGGTGCTCAGTTCAGTTGATTGGTTGATGAGTCAGGTACACAAAATTGTTTTGACTGCTGATTAAGAGAGTTCTTTCACTTACTGATTTAACTGCTTGGACATGAACTAAGACTTGTCTACTGTGTATAGCGAGAGATTGTGCAGTTTAGAGATTGCAGTTGTGTCTAGCGAGGGATTGCACATTGGATCTCACACTGGAGCGGGGAAAGAGACAGTGGGGTGAGAGAAAAACAGGCAGGCGGATAGTGTAGTTGGAGAGGTGAGGAACGGGGAGAGGGTGGGGAGTGGTGAGATAAGAGGGAAGCGGGGAGGGGTTTGAGAGAAGGAGATTGGTAGAGCGAGAAAGCGATAGAGAGAGATGAGCGGGATGGAAAGGGTTCGGGGATATGAAGGAGGAACGAGATTTGGGTAGACAAGAGAGGGAAAGAGAAGGGGGAAGATAACAGGTGGAGTGAGAAGAGGGGGGAAAAGAACGAGGGGGGAAGAGAACGATATGGAAGAGAACGAGGGGGGAAGAGAACGAGGGGGGAAGAGACGAGAGGGGGGAAGAGACGAGAGGGGGGAAGAGAACGAGGGGGGAAGAGAGCGAGGGCGGAAGAGAACGAGGGGGGAAGAGAATGAGGGGGGAAGAGAACGAGGGGGGAAGAGAGCGAGGGCGGAAGAGAACGAGGGGGGAAGAGAACGAGGGGGGAAGAGAACGAGGGGGGAAGAGAACGAGGGGGGAAGAGAACGAGGGGGGAAGAGAACGAGGGGAGAAGAGAACGAGGGGGAGAACGAGGGGGGAAGAGAACGAGGGGGGAGGAGAAAGAAGGGGGAGGAGCAAGAAGGGGGGAGAGAAAGAGGGTGAAAGAGAAAATGAAAGAGGAAGAGAGAGTGGGGAAGCGAACGAGGGGAAGAGAACGAGGGAGAAAGTGAAAGAGCGCCAAGAGAAATTTTGGGAAAGGGAAAGAAGATAAAGAGGGAGGAAAGCTGGGACGAAGGAAGAGCGGAGTCCCCCGACTAACGTAAACAATCGTCTCGGAGATTCGAAGACAGCAGCAGCGGTAAGTATGCTAGGAACCCCAGCTATGACTGGCTGTGGAGGAGCATGTAAGGGGAAGAATAGCGTCAGAAGAGTGCTGACAATACTGAAAATAACGTTGACACGTGAGCGGAAGATCTAATCAAGTCAACCGAAACGCTAACCAGTCTAACTCAACCCTAAGCGTGAAGAGAAAGCTTGCAGCTCCATCCCTTTTGAGTAGCACAGACTGTATCCCCCACTTAGTTCAGCTGCATCAAACACCAGATCTAGAAGGACAACGTCCTGCAATAACTTAATCCCTCTTGGCCCGCTTGCCACCCTTGGCTGCCTTTGCGGCCTTTCCGTAGTTGCGAATGTGGAAGTCGACGAAGAGGTAGAGGAGCGAGGAATTGAAGAAGAGGTTGAAGCAGAACGACTCGAATCCGGCGCAGCCAGTCGGCCGGGTGAAGTGGAAGTAGATGAGCGGGAAGGAGACGAAAGTGCCGACCATGAACTGCAATACATGAATCACGAACGGTTAATTTAGGCATTTATCAATAAAGTTTCGTTTGCGAAACCAGAACAGCAAGGTTTGTCGAGATTTATGAGAGCAATGCAACCAGAACAGAAAGGTTCTTGATTAGGAAACCATGAAATAGAGAAACGTACCTGAATGATCTGGCTGTTGGTGACGAACATCTTCCATGGAGGAGGCATGCCAATGCTGTCGACACGAAATTCACCAAACATTCGACGTCAGATGCCAAGGTTTGCAAAAGAGCAATGTACGCAACTTTATGTTTTCCTCGGAAGTTCGATAAACCAACTGGAGAGCGACGTGATCGCAACTTTTGATTCCATACCTATGCATGAAATAGTAGAAGTACATCATGACGTGGATCCCGGTGTTGATGGTGATGGCGATGACCTGGAGAGACTGCGTGTTCTGCTCACAAAAACAGGAGAAAACAAATATGAGCAAGCTTTCGTGCCTGTACAGTGGGGATTGCATGGTGCGTTGATTTACTCTGTTAATCCAGAGTTTCCTGATCGGATCGTAGTTCGTTGCTAAGGTGGGGTCCCTCGCGTTCGTCTCAGTTCGGCTAGTCGAGTTACTCACGTTCTAGATCGGTTCTTAGACTCTACATTTGTGGATCGCAATATATCGAACAAGCTTGTGCTGGATGAATGGAACTTAAGACACGACGGTGTAGAAGGTAAGAAGAAGAACTCACTGTTAGCCACAGCCAGCAGAGGAAGACGATGGTTGCATGATGGTACACGTGGAGGAACGACAGCGGCTTGTTCTTCAGCACCAGGATAACAGTATCCAGGAGCTCGTAGTACTTGCTGAGGTAGTAGATGTAGCTCCAGAACCACAGATAACCGACTGGCTTGACGGTGGAGGGGAAACAAAGAAGCCACGTGTACTTGCCCTGCAAACAAAGAAACGAAATGCACCGTCAATCACCGAATCTGACGTGATCTGCTGAGCAATGAACAGCAATGTCGCCTGACGCCGTACCATGCCGGTGTCATACTTGTTGATCTCGGAATCCAGAAGCATTGCGTGGATCGTTCCCAGGAACATTGCCAGGGACCAGAGGCACAGGATCAGGTTGTGAATGGCAGGAAGGAAGCCCAGATTTACTGGTGCCATCTTGTTCTTTGTCCGGTACCATTTCAGCCCTAGAATGAACGCGACATAGCCTATACATGTGCAGAGCATCAACGGAAGGTTCGACACCGGCGTCTCATCGACCTTCCACTCGAAATTCTGCGCGAGAGGCTCCGTCGCGGGCCAGACATAGTAGAATGGCGTATCCCTGCTCATGGCGGCTGTGAAGTTAGAGGAAGGGGATGCTGCTTGAGAAATGACTTCAGTCTCCACAGTCATGGTGATCGGCCTCCCTGAGCTGGGAAATCTGAAACAAAGGATTACTGCGAAATACTTCCGACTTACACCCACTTCAGTGGGAAGGCTCAGATTTCGTTTGGACTGGGGAGCATCAACAGGCTAGGGGAGAAGGTATAGATAGGGCAGGGCTGGAAGAAGAAAGGCACAACTCCCACCCTCACTTCCAGCGGAAGGGCCGTCGAATTTACCGGCATTCAGACGGTCGAGATTGATTGTCGTGTGGCGATCTACGCGGGAGCATGCCACAACCACAAATCGGAGCTCTGATCGCGGGAACGTTTTGGCGACGACTATCTGTGTGCCTCAGTTACCGCGCTCAAGAGCATTACACCCCTGGATTTGCTGGCGGTAACAGCAGCGATCCCAGCCTTGCTCACAGGCTTGGCATGGAGTCGCAGCGAATTAGAGCCTTCCGTGTGGAGTGTGTGGGGACCGCAGGGACACAACAGCTGGGGTGGTTGGGACGAACGTGGCACCTTCGAGAAGATGATCTAGACTAGACCAACCCCAAACGCGAGGCACCGCCTACGACGACCTGGTCCGGGCCGAAGCGTCTGACAGGGGGGTCTAAGCAAGCAAATCTGGCCAACCGCACACCGCGTGTGACGAGCCTGAACAAGTTGGGGACCTGGTCAGGTTCCTGGTTTGGTCTGTTTGGCCCAGGAGCACCCATGGCACCTTTCACTCCCAAAGAAAGATACTGAATAAGACTTACACTTCTTGTTACAGTATATAGAAACCCAATTAGTATGTCAAATTACAATGTGGAGCTTAGGATAGATTCGTTTAGCCCAGTGACTATGCATTGGTGCAATTCTTGTCCACAAGCAAACAGTAAGTACAGTTACCGGCTCCAGAGCTCTCAACACTGTAAAGCTGGAAAGTAATATACTATACTATACTACATACACCATAAGGCTTTTTGACCTAGAACACCCAGCCTGCACGGTAACATCTAGCCATAGTGTACAGCCCATACGCATCTGGAGGGTCACATCATTGCCATATATTTACTTGTCACATGTTGCGAGCTGAACTCCACTGCATCCTTAGCCCCCAAATAAGGCTGTGCTGCACTCTTGGCCCTCGTAACCCCCTTCCCTCCCGCCTTCTTCCCCTTTGCCTCTTTCCCTTCCCCTGCGCCTGCATCCTTAGCCTTTCCTCCCGCCTCCTTTGCCTTTCCCACCCCACTCCCACTCTTCTCCCCAGCCTTTTTCTGCGGCACTTTTGGAGCTGGCGATTTGGGCCGAGGGGCCGACTGTGCTCTGGGAATGGGTGTGGCAGCAGCAGCAGCACCGGTCGGGGCACTAGTTCCGATGGTGGGTTGGAAGTTATACTTGGGCTCTTCCCCCTGGATGTGCAGGTCTTGCACCTTGTGCTGGATGGCAGACAGGCGTGTAGCCACCTCAGCCATGGTCGGCCGCTGGGCGGCAGTCTTTTGGACGCACATGGCTGCCACATTGGCGAATGCTTTCATTGCTCCCGGTGGGTAGTTGTTTTCCAAGGAAGGGTCGACTACTGATTTGAGCTTGCCTGCTGTTATTTGGGGAATGGCCTGGATGGATGGGAATGGGGAATAGAGAGAAGGTAGGGAGATGGCACGTGGGGGACAAAAGTCTGCTTATAGTCTGCACGATTATCGATGCCCTTCACACCTGCTTAGCACACGTGCCTTAGGAAAAAAATACCGACTTCAAAAGAAACATACATCTGTCCAAATCTGAACAAACGCACACAGGCCAACACATGCAAGCACTCAAGCCAACGAACATTCCCACACATGCCAAACACGCACCCACCCCAATGCATTACACTCACCCACTGCACAAGAGTGGTTGTGGCGCCTGGCTCCATGGCATTTGCTTTGGCGTTGCGCTTGGAGCGTTGCAGCAGCGATGCCACGTTGCCCATCCCCCCACGCCACTCACCAACATTTGCCCAACCCACACACCCGCGAGCCCAGCACACACACTCACCCATTGAACGAGCGTAGTTGTCGCCCCTGGCTCCATGGCGCTGGCTTTGGCGTTGCGCTTGGAGCGCTGCAGCAGCGACGCCACGTTGCCCATCCCCCCACGCCACTCACCAACATACAGCCCAAACCAAATACCCTCACACCCACGAGCCCAGCACACAAACTCACCCATTGAACGAGCGTAGTTGTTGCCCCTGGGCTCCATGGCGCTGGCTTTGGCGTTGCGCTTGGAGCGCTGCAGCAGCGACGCCACGTTGCCCATCCCCCCACGCCACTCACCAACATACAGCCCAAACCAAATACCCTCACACCCACGAGCCCAGCACACAAACTCACCCATTGAACGAGCGTAGTTGTTGCCCCTGGCTCCATGGCGCTGGCTTTGGCGTTGCGCTTGGAGCGCTGCAGCAGCGACGCCACATTGCCCATCCCCCCACGCCACTCACCAACATACAGCCCAAACCAAATACCCTCACACCCACGAGCCCAGCACACAAACTCACCCATTGAACGAGCGTAGTTGTTGCCCCTGGCTCCATGGCGCTGGCTTTGGCGTTGCGCTTGGAGCGCTGCAGCAGCGACGCCACATTGCCCATCCCCCCACGCCACTCACCAACATACAGCCCAAACCAAATACCCTCACACCCACGAGCCCAGCACACAAACTCACCCATTGAACGAGCGTAGTTGTTGCCCCTGGCTCCGTGGCGCTGGCTTTGGCGTTGCGCTTGGAGCGCTGCAGCAGCGACGCCACGTTGCCCATCCCCCCACGCCACTCACCAACATACAGCCCAAACCAAATACCCTCACACCCACGAGCCCAGCACACACACTCACCCATTGAACGAGCGTAGTTGTTGCCCCTGGCTCCATGGCGCTGGCTTTGGCGTTGCGCTTGGAGCGCTGCAGCAACGACGCCACGTTGCCGAGAACCACTGAAGTACCCACATACAGGCCAGGAAACCCTCCCGCAAAGCCCAACGCGCCCAACGCACACACTTACCCACTGCACGAGAGTGGTGGTGGCGCCTGGCTCCATGGCGCTGGCTTTGGCGTTGCGCTTGGAGCGCTGCAGCAGTGACGCCACGTTGCCCAGGTTCATCCCCGTCTTCTGACTCGGCTCCGCCAGGATGGCCCGTCGGCCCGTAATCAGCTCCAAAAGGACCACTCCAAAGCTGCAGAGACAAAGGGGGAAACAAAGAGACACACAGACAGAAGGAGCTCGTTCAAGAAGCGTTTGGGTGCCTCAGCGCCTCAATTCTCAGTGGTAAGTCACGATGCCACGTTGCCCAGGTTCATCCCCGTCTTCTGACTCGGCTACGCCAGGATGGCTCTGCGCCCCGTCACCAGCTCCAGCAGCACCACTCCGAAGCTGTAGATACAGAGACAGACACAAAAGGGGTTTTGTGAGTATGAGGAGAGGTTTGAGGATGCCTCGGCGCTTCTATGTCGGGTCTGCTAGGATGGCTCTACGGCCCGTCAAAGGGTGGTTGTGCGTATGAGAGGAGGTGTGAGAATGCCTCAGTGCCTCGGTGATCAGTTCGCTGCCAGGACGGCCTGGCGCCCAGTGCACTCTCCAGCTCCAACCCGCCTCTCCAGTCCTCCGCAGCCCACCTGTCTGCTACTGACAGTTCACCACCAGGATGGCCTGGCGCCCAGTGCACTCTCCAGCTCCAACCCGCCTCTCCAGTCCTCCGCAGCCCACCTGTCTGCTACTGACAGTTCACCGCCAGGATGGCCTGGCGCCCAGTGCACTCTCCAGCTATAACCCGCCTCTCCAGTCCTCCGCAGCCCACCTGTCTGCTACTGACAGTTCACTGCCAGGACGGCCTGGCGCCCAGTGCACTCTCCAGCTCCAACCCGCCTCTCCAGTCCTCCGCATCCCACCTGTCTGCTACTGACAGTTCACCGCCAGGATGGCCTGGCGCCCAGTGCACTCTCCAGCTCCAGCAGCAGTACTCCAGGATGTGCAGAGAACGAGGCTGGCTGCTACTCCAACAGGATGACCTGTTCCAAACTCTTCCACACACTCCCTCTCTCACGTGCTCACCTGTACACGTCACTCTTGGGCGTGGCAATGTAAGTCCGCGAATACTCAGGGTCACAATACCCAGGAGTGCCCATCAGCCTCGTTCTAGCCACATGCCGCCCAGGCCCGCCTTGATCACTCGTTTTCAGCAGCCCGAAATCAGCCACTTTGGCCTGCAGATCCGCTGCCAGCAGGATATTCTCCGATTTGATATCGCGGTGGATCACGGGCGGCCGGGCAAAGTCGTGCAGGTACCGCAGACCCTCTGCTGCTCCGACAGAAATAGTGACGCGCTCGTCAAAGGAAAGTGGGGGAGGGGGGACCTTCTTGGGAGCGTCTGGTGTGTGGAAAAGTGGAGGGAGAGGATGGGAGGGAGAGCTAGAGAGGGTAAGGTGGTGTGCAGGTACTGCAGGCCCTCAGCTGCTCCCACCGAAATGGTGGCGCGCTCGGCACACAGCGCGCTACAGCACACAGCTTGACACACAGCTTGACACACAACTCTCGGCCCATGACACTCACCTCCAGTAGGGGATGCTGGCACCATGCCGCGGTGGATGCGCGATGCGAGGGTGCCGTTGTGCATGAACTCATAAATGAGAATTCGCTCATCACAATCCGCCCAGAAGCCTATGAGTCGCACGAGATGCTGGTGGGCCATGCGACTCATGAATGACACCTGGGAGAGGGAGGAGGGGGGAGGGAAAAGGGAGGGAGAAGGGAGTAGGGAGAGGATGGGAAGGGAGAGAGGGAGAGGGAGTGGGGAGGAGGGGAAGGGAGCAGCACACAGGAGCAGGGTACGAAGTGATGAGAGGGTGGAGGAGGGAGGAGAGCATGCCGTTGTGCATGTACTCATAAATGAGAATTCGCTCATCACAGTCCGCCCAGAAGCCTATGAGTTGCACAAGGTGCTGGTGGGCCATGCGACTCATGAATGACACCTGCGTGCAGGGACGGTGAGGAGAGTGACAAGGAGTGGCAAGGAGTGGGAGGAATGGCAAGGAGTGGGAGGAATGGCAAGGAGTGGGAGGAATGGCAAGGAGTGGGAGGAATGGCAAGGAGTGGGAGGAATGGCAAGGAGTGGGAGGAATGGCAAGGAGTGACACTGAGGGACAAGGAGGGACAAGGAATGGCAAGGAGTGACAGCAATGGCACAGAAGCCTATGAGGCGCACGAGGTGCTGTTGAGCCATGCAGGCTGCAACCCAGGAACCCAACACAACCGTACCTCCTCAAACTCCTCCAGGTGACACCCCGAGACATTCCCTGCCCGCTTCACAGCCCACAGCTCGCCACCTTCACTCCCCCCACCGCGCCAACAACCCCCTTGAACACCGTGCCACACGCGCCCTCCCCTAGCTTCCTCTCAGGGCTCCATGAGTCTGTTGCTGCTAGCATGTCCTCTAGAGGAATCTGGCTTAGCCTTATGAAGCCCAAACCAACCCAGTTCAACCCAACCCAACCCAACCCCAACCCAGCCCAACCCAGCCCAACCCAACCCAGCCCAAACCAACTCACCTCCTTCTCAAACTCCTCCAAATCAGACCCCGATACATTCCCCGCCTGCTTCACCGCCCACAGCTCGCCACCTTCACTCCCAACAACCCCCTTGAACACCGTGCCATACGCGCCCTCCCCGAGCTTCCTCTCAGGGCTCCACGAGTCTGTTGCTGCCAGAATATCCTCCAGAGGAATATGACTGGCGAGCCTTAAGAAGCTCAACCCAACCCAACCCAACCCAGCCCAACCAACGCACCTCTTTCTCAAACTCCTCCAAATGAGAGCCTGACACATTGCCCGCCCGCTTCACAGCCCACAGCTCGCCACCTTCACTCCCCCCACCGCGCCCCACAACCCCCTTGAACACCGTGCCATACGCGCCCTCCCCGAGCTTCCTTTCAGGGCTCCACGAGTCTGTTGCTGCTAGGATATCCTCCAGGGGAATCTGCTTCGCCAGCCCGCCGCCTGCTGTGAGCGATTCTTGTACCGCATGGGACACAAACGGGGATAGTTCTGCCATGTCTTCCGCGCTTTTGGTTCTGTTGTGGCTGGGTTTCTTGGTCAATCCTTTCCCTCCTGCTGCTGCTGCAGCTGCAGCAGCACCAGTCGCTGCACCCACTTCCCCACCACCACCAACAGCACTGGCAGCATCAGCAGCAGCACCTGCAGCACCACCGCTAGCAGCAGCACTGCCACCTCCTGTGGTGAACACAGCAGCATTCCTCTTAGGTTCAAACACCACAGTCTTGACCAGCATCCCTTCGGTCCACCCCAGCCCTGCACCCACCAGCCGCCTCTTTACCTCCTCCCGGAACCCAGGCAGCACCACGCGCAGCAGCAGCGGGCGCTGTGACTCAAACAAACTGGACTCTAACGAGCGTGGCACACCCAGGTCAGTAAGGAGCATGCCAACAGGCACAACGGAGAGGACTTTGTGGATTAGCAGCTCATCAGGGTCGATCCCTAGCCACTCCGCCAGCCATTGGTAGTCCCGGATTCGCTCCAATAGAATTCTTGCTCCCAAACGAGGCCCCTTGGGTGTTTCTGCTGCAGCTGCTGAGGGTATTGTTGCTGCTGCTGTTGTTGGTGTCCCTGCCTTGCTGTCAGCTGTCAAGTTACTTGAGTCAGAGGATAAGTTAGGCGTTACAGCAACCGAGAAAGCTCGCTGATGCTGCTGCTGCTGGTGGTCAGAGAAAATCGAGTTAGCAGCTCTAGGTGATATTTGAGTGGAGTAAAGAACCACCTCCGACTGGGTTCGCTGATGTTGCTGCTGCTGCTGCTGAGGAAGCTGGTGCTGGTCAGAGAAGATCGAGTTAGCGGCTTCAGGTCTCTTTTTGGGCGTCAGCGCTGCTCCTGTGGCAGCAGAGGAGGCAGAATAAGCAGAGGGCGACTTTCCAGAGGGGGTCGTAAGGGGCTGCTTAGGGGGAAAGAGAGCCCTGAGATCCTGAAGCCCGTCATCCCATATGATACAGTCATCCTCGATATTGTCAAGTTGGTTAGTGTCAGCGTCATCGTCGTCATCGTCGTCGTAGTCATCGTCCTCCTGCTCCTCTTCCTCCTCCTCCCCCTCCTCTTTCCGCCCCTCCTTCTCCTCTTCTCCCTCGTCACTGCCTTCCTTTTTGCTGGGAAAAGCACCTGATTGATTGCAACCAGTTGGGACCTCAGATGTATCAAACTCAAATCCAGATCCCCTCCCCCTCGCTCCCACTCCCCTTCCTTCTCCCTCCTCTTTCCCCTCCCCACCCTCCTCTCTCCTCTCCGAATACCTCACCTCCTCCCGTCCATCCTTCAACACAGTGAAACTCGCTTCTGTTGCTCCCTCTATTGCCGCTTTCAGTGCCTTTCCCAGGATAGAGAAGCGGGCGAGGGAACGAGCATAAGTGACACCAAGACCGTACAGTGACCCCTTGCAGCTTAGGAACAAGCCCTGAACCTCGTCCCCGGCCTCCTCCAGCAGCTGCTCCAGAACCGTCAGATCGTCCTCATCCAACGGCGGAAGCGCTGCGTAGTCTTTTGCTGGCTGGTCCCTGAGATTGCCAGCAGCGGAAAGAAAGGACCAACCTGGAAGTTCTCCTGAAGCTTCCGTTGAAACCCCTGGAGCATCCTTAGAAACCCCTTCACCTGACACTTCCCCTGCTACACAGTGGTCTCTTTTCTGCTGCTGCTGCTGCTCCTTTTCCTCCTCCTCCTCTTCCTCCTCCTCCTGCTTGGGGAACAGCCTCCGGCAGCGAGCAACTTCCAAAGAGGCACACAATGCAAATACACGGATAGGAAACAGCGCCGCTCGTTGACTGCTGCTGACTCCCTGATTTCAGAGAGAGAGAGAGAGAGAGAGAGAGAGAGAGAGAGAGAGAGAGAGAGAGAGAGAGAGAGAGAGAGAGATGGAAAAAGATATTGTAAGAGAGGGGGGGGGGGGGATGAGGAGCAGGACGAGGAGGTTGGTGCGGTATACTTTTGGTCGATAAAAAAAGCAACAATATCGCGGCCCACTGGCTGACTCCCTGCTTTGAAAGCGAGGCACAGGGTGAGATTGTAAGAGCAGGGGAAATGAGCAGCGGGATGAGGAGGCTGGTGAGGTGATTGGCTAAGGAACGGAGGATTGACGCGGGAACAAATGGCGCGTGGTGTGTTCCCTCAGCCCGTACTCCCCCACTACTCCATCCCCCCACCCCATATACTGCCTCCTCATGTATCACCCTCTTCAATCTTATCCATTGCCACGTAGACGTCCCTTCATTGCAAAGCTCACTTCTTCCATCTTATCCATTGCCACGTAGACGCCCCTTGGTTACCAAGCTCACCTCTTCCATCTTATCCATTGCCACGTAGACGTCTTTCGCAAGGTCCTGCAGGGCCTCGTCCAGGGACCCCATGACGTCAGCAGCGGGCGGGTTACCATCCGCCAGCGCGGAGACGAACTGCGCGTTGTACATGAGCATCGCGTCCTGCACTGACGCGTACAGCGCTTCCCAGTGCTCCGCCTGGACGGGACTCTGCTCCGCTGGAGCTGAGGAGAGAGGGGAAGGGGAGCAGGATGGGGAGAGCACGGGAAAGGCAAAAGGGAAGGGGAATGGAGAGACAGAGCGAGAATGAACAAGGAAGTGAGTACGATTGGGTTATCTCGGGTGGGGGTCGGAAGGGCAAACACGAGCGCTGCGACGGGATGCGCATTGCTCCTCTTTTTTTTAATCGTGGAGAACGAGCCATTACAACAAGTACCTGCGACGTCGAGAGCCGATAACGGAGCTGTTTGAGCCGAAGGAAACCCCTTAACGGGCCCCGAGAATCCCCAGTCGCCGGCAGTCGGAGTACCCTCAAGAGCCGAGGACGGCTCCGGCATGACAAAAGACATGGTCGACCCTGACAACCCATTTTCGGTTTTATTATTTTCACCGAATCTTCTGCCGAAGCCGAAGCGACCGCCGAGTTGAGGGGGAGGCGAGACCGAGACGCTGTGGAAGGTCGACGGTACAGGAGCCACTAGGCTATGCCTCGCACGGTTTAATCGATCCTCTGAAACGCTGTCCGAACTTTCGTATTTCGACAGGTGGGCCTTGGGAACGGAACCTTCTGACAAGGCTCCATCTGGTAGTATGGCACAACCGATAACAGAGAAAGATATTGTTTAAGAAATGGTGAGTGGAAGCCATTGCAGCGAGTTGAGACGTTAAGACGTAAACGGTGAGAGAGAGTATAAACAGGAAAATGTGTTGAACATGAAGAAGTTTGTGGAAAGTAGTCAAGCGTGTGCCGCACCTGGAGTGTTCAACGTATTCCAAGGATCCAGCTCTTCCAAACACGCATTCAGGACGCTCAATATGCGATCACATTTCCACGTCGCTCGCGACGAGTGCTTGTCGGATGGCAGTCCCATTTCACGGTCCTTAAACGCATCTAAAGCGGAACCTAAGGCTCCAAAGACCAAGTCGACGAAGGCAGTCGGACATGTGATGTCGTTCGACTGAGGTGAACCAACTATCCCCAAGCACCGCTTGGGATTTCCGAACCCATCAGCAAGAATGTGAGCGAACGACATGGCGGAAAAAAAACTCCTGCCAAGCCAGAATATTGAGAGCCTAGCACCTAGAAACACATTCTGTCTGGTCCCTGCTAATGCAAGTTTACGAAGCGACTCGAGTAAAAAAGCATGGCTTTGGCAAACGAGTGAAATTGGGAAAGCAGAAATGAGGGCTGCTGGTTCGTTGCCCGTCAAGGCTCCTCCAGGTTCTTGGGAACCACGGAAGGATGTGGTGATATCGGAGGGACACAAAAACAAAAGTCGCCATAGTACAGTCCAGAAGTGTACTGTAACACCGATAATTGTAGCATACAGTATTCCTTCGTCACGGACGGACGTTCCGTGCTCAGAACCTTGCTCCTTTCTTCACGAACATTGCTGGAAGTGAATTCACGGTTGGGCGTATTCACCGTCGTGGGCTTTCTTCGCTATGAGCACAAACCTGAACGACTTTGATGTGCCTGCCGTGCCACAAAACTGTACTCTGGGCGGGATATTTCGAGGTTAGGGAGAGCAGGTTTCCTGCGTCAAATTCGGTTGCGGCGGTTGACAAAGAGCTATGGAGGAGCTGGTGGGGAGCTTGAACCTCTGGCACAAACCTGCTTTGGCTCGGCTTTCGGTCTGGAAACGGGGTGAATGGTGCGGCCAGCAGTACAGTATCTGGGCTCGGTAGAAATTCATGACCACTCCAGAGAGTTCCCTCCCCTTTCGAGTGAATCGAGGAGACTTCTTGGCAACAGAGTGACGTGTTTCAAGGCTACCCGAAGCATTTGGGGAACGCGTTTCAGGTCTGGATCAAACCTGCACCTGACGCCGAGCCTTCTAGTAGGTTCGTGAAGAACACTCGTCAACAACAGCGAAGGCGTCATTCCAAAACCGCTAGGGTTTCGTGTACATAACCTTCTCGGCTGCTCCTTTACTCCGGTTTGTCATGGTAGAGCACTAGTTCTTGCAGTTCCGTTGGTGTCTCGGGGGAGCATCCTTTCCCTGCTCCCTGCAGGTTTTCTGAAGGTAGGTCTAATCTATTGTTTAGCAGCTCCTAGAACGCTTTTACCCTCCGAGTAGTTTATGCAATTGCTTGACGAAGCTTAACTTGTATTGTTTAAAACAGATGGCGGTCTCTTTCGCTCGTGTCAACGGTGACGGTGAAGAATCATCAGGCGAGGACCATCCACTTTGAAGACGTCTTTCTATCGTCCTGGAAGATTGGTTTGTTTAAAATATATGTTTTTTCTACGTGGCTGCCTGAATTGTTGTACATGGTATATGGTCTCTCTTCGTAGGACCTTGTGCTTGTTGTCTTTGCACCTTGCCCTTATGGGTGCGCTTACGGGGCGGGTGCCGAGATTAATGGAATTATTTTCTGTGGGAGGGCTAAGCCCTCCTTGTTCGTGTTAGGTACGGTAGATCCGTGCCTGTGCCACCCGTTATCCCCCCCTCGTCCTTTTTGTGTGAGCCACCAAGCCATCGTGAACCAGTCACACGCAGCGTTGCGCGTTAGCAATTCGATGTGGCGAAAGTCCATCAGCCATTCTGATTAGTATGATTGCTGAGAGGTCCATCAAACGCACAACGATGCGTGAGAGGGCAGGTCCATCAGCCATTCTGAAGATGTCAATCAATTCTCGTCCGCACTTGAAAGCGGTTGAAGAAGCGCCATACGACTTCGAAGTCGCTCCTGTCAGATACTGAAGTTTCTACATTCAGACGCTATGAAGCTATCAATCTCTGCCCAAGACGGATGTTGGGTTCATTTTATTGTACCAATGCTGCCGGTGTATTGGCGAAAAGAGGATGAGCATGGTTGTATGTTTCCGTTCTCCATGCCATACGTCAAATGATTTATGGGAATATCGTAATCTAGTAATTCGGCCAAATGTAGGAAATGGCTAAACTTCCTGATGTGGTTCTTTTCCTGCAGGCTACGTGGCATGTTGGTTTGATCTACAGCATCTCATCTGCATTTAAGGTGGGCACTACAAATCTTACAATTTACCTGTAGTTACTACATGTTTCTTGCATTTATTGTTGCCATGATATGTCATTGCACATGTTGATTCATGATACCCAGTTGGTTCATGACATTGCTGCACTGCAGGTAGTGTCTGTCAATGCTATATTTGTACCCACGTGATCTGCTTATGCCCCTCCACCATCCCAGTCCGCCAATCCTGCTCATTGCTGCTTATTTGCAATCGGTTTCTGATTTGATTTGTAAGAAATGGTCATGCTGATAACCTTCATTTCCTCTTAGTGGCAGTAGTCCATCTCCCAGCAGTGACAGGAAGTTCTGTATGGGTAATGGAATGGAAGCATCAGGATACATTTGTTCGGAGTTGCAGCTTGCTTTGTAATGGTGTGTCGTAAGAAATGAGTGCAGTCTTCCTGGCGGTAGTTGTGCTGTGGACATCGAGAGGTAGGTACAGTGAAACTCGGATTTCAAGTTTGAACTAAAGAATGATTGGCTATGCCAAGAGCTGAGACAGCTGCCTGTCAAATCATGCTTGCAACCTTAGCCCCTCCCCTGCCAACTTCGGGCGATGTGAGCATGAATTGATTAGTAGTAATCAGCTTGTGTTGATTGAGATGGTAGGGTTGGCGTTCAGCATATCTAGCAGATAATTTTATAACGTTTTTTTAGGAAAATTCAATGACAGTTGTAGACTGTTTTAGATCCGTGGTGAGGGTGTAGCCCAGCTTGACATGAGTGATGGTCTGGACCTCGGTTCGCCATACAAGCCTGTTATGGCTGGATGGTTTGTTACGGAATGATCGGTCTGCATGAGTTTGGGGTTTTCGTGGTTTGCCAGTCCATGGGCCAACAAGGCAAAACGTCACCCAAATTAATTGGCAGGGCAACATGAAACTGATTTCTTGCGACGATGGAAATGTGAGATGAGTGACGATGTTTACATCTTGACGAAATACGACGTTTACGCATATTTTCGACACAATCAGGGGTGCGAGATCTCTGTATACATTTCGGGCAGCCCACATAAAGATGTCGAACCAGGTTCGCCCGCTTCAAACCTTACTGCAGCTCACCAGAATGTCCCGAGCCTCAAAAGCGGCTCGTCAAGCACGTTCGCCATGCCAAGCAACTCAGGCTCGTCAGCCAGTTCTTTCGAGGTCAGAGAGGTCCGCTCATGTCACAGCCGAGGGTTTCGTTCCGACGAGTCCGAGAGAAAGGTCTCCAGCACGGCAGGCAACAATTACTTATGGGAAGAGGTTGTCCTGGTCATTTTATCACCGGCAGCCCGGATCTCTGCCTTACCTAGGGTTTCAGGATAGCGACCAGTACTCAGAGCTCCAACAGCCGTGGCGTTCGTCGAATATCTGTATGATGGCTTTGGTGAGTATCTGAGTGTGAGTAGTTCTCCTCTTGATGGAAACCGGTGTCTATATTAGGGCTGTTATGTGTCAGTTGGTTGGCAGGCGCTTTTCCGGAGCAACAAGCAGCAGGGCGAGGACGAGCATCCATGGGGATCGTCAAATCTGAAGACATTTTTCAACCTTTTCTGTGACGTTTGGTTTGTGATTGTAGATATCCAATTGTCTATCTTCTCTGTATCTTGTACTTGTGCTTAGCTTAGGACCTTGTGGTTGTTGTCTTTGCACCTTGCCCTTATGGGTGCGCTTACGGGGCAGGTGCCGAGATCAATGAAAGTATTTTCTGTGGGAGGGCTAAGCCCTCCTTGTGCGTGTTTGGTGCGGTAGACCCGTGCCTTGCCGACTTGCTTCGTTGCCTTCGTCTCGTTCTATGCCTCTTTCACAACTTCCAAAGGAACGAGTGAGACGCGTAAATATACGGTCTACATGTGGTAGACGACCTGGTGGTCTCTTGAACGTGGCTATACGATACAGGAAGTCACTTTCTGACACATGGAGTCACCCTCGCGCCTGGAATGGAAACAGTGGATTTTCTACTGGCTGTTATTTCCTTTGTTGAACAATAAGTATTCTGCTCATGGTTATATGTTGTATATTCTGTTGTTTACAAGATGGTTCATGGGCTGCCTTGTGTTGCACTTGTTGTAGCTATTCCCTTGTTTCTGGTTTCACTTATCGTCTCTGTTGGGCGAAGGTGCAGGTCGAAGTAACCATGGGGTATTTATGTTGCTTCTAAAATTAAATCATTCGTACTCATCAGGGTGATTGCTTCAGTATAGTTGTGCTTCATTTTTTTAACAGAACAATGTTTCCTATGTTTATACCGCGTAATAATTTTGGTATTATCAAAATGCTTCGTCACTTCGGGGAAACAGCAAGAGTCTGCCCAACCCAAGCATACCGAAGTGAACCGACAAAATTTGTTTGCTGCCTTCAAGCTGTCCAGCCAACCCCGAACTTGGACGAGCAGCACTTTTTCCGCCTCAACCAACCAACGGTCCCCTGTCAGCACTGCCGACAGTCTTTCTCTGTGACCTACGTGGCGGAAACACAGCCAGCTCGAGTGTTTGATGTTCCGTAGGACAAGCTTCCGCGCAGCTGGGGGAAAAGCGTTGGGTACCCCCAAGGTGATGTGGAAAGATCCTTTGGGACTCGTCGGCAATGCTTGGCAGCTCTGAAGCTACCGTGTCATGTTGGTTCGTTGGGTGGGAGGGAGGAATCCAAGGGATGATTGGTGGTGCACTACAGTATAATTGGTTGGTTTCCCCATCGGCTCCCCGTATCCCACGATGATCTCCCCAACCCCCCACCGCCAAACCCCCTTCCCGTCCTCTGTTCCTCCCTTGTTCAGCCAGGTCCTACCTGGACTGTAAAGCGTACTGTACCTGTCTCCTCCGCCGAACCTAAATGTCGACTGAGCCGAACCTGCTGAACTTGACCCCGACTGACGTGAAGAAGGAACCTGAAAGTCATTTGGCAAAAAAACGCATTCTGGTCTCAGTTCAGCGAATGTCGTCACGGGCAAATGGAGCTGCGAAGCATATGGTTACCGTCGTGGTTCGGAACTGTGGTTGTCAATACAACCCATGTTTCACGTCATGGATTTGATCCCACAGACAAGTGGAATGGAACCAGCTCGGAAGGGAAAAGAGCTTTCGAGCGAGAATCAGGAGCAGCATTTGGGTGAGCATGGAGGTCAGCTGACATGGAGAGGAGATTATCCTTGTTGGTGGTCGAGAGACCAAGGGAGATTACTGACTGAGGGGTTTGGTTGTGACTATTGCTAGCTGTATCTTTCAGCGCCTTGTTGTTCTGGTTCTGTCCGTCTGTATACTACCACTACGCGTCTTCCACGTCATTCTGCTTAGTTTTCAAGTTTTATGAGCCTCGTTGTCACGGGAACGGGTTCTGACGTCAATAAATTAGGCGCTAACTCAGGTGATTCTCCATTATTCCTGGAAGCCCTGGCTCCCATTATTTAAACCTTCAGTTCTCCACTGCATTTTTACCTTCGTTACCTCCTAATATTTTTGCAACAATGGACGCCGATTTAGCCCCGGAAAGACTTACCATCCCTGACAGAGGCGACGACGAATATCCAACAGCCGTCGTGCAATGCTTCCCATGGCGGTCCCCGTACCCAATTTCCTCCTCACGTTTCAGCCCTCGCGATGATCCTACCTCCTCTCCCACAAGTCAGTATACTCGCGACGACTCCTCGCGCTTTCGTTCCGGTTTTCATCCGCCGAGTCCGCGGCTTGTGCCGGCTTGCCTGAATCCTCCGCGGGTGTTTTCGCACGGCGCGAGCGCCGGCGCGACGCAATTCAATCGCGTGCTCGAGGTTCTGGTTTGGCAGCGATGGACTCGTCGCAGGGCGACATGCGACTCTGTCGCAGAGCCGCGTAAGCGACACGGTGACGGTTTAACGGAGACGCTACAGTCAACGACGACGACAACGACGACAACGACCCGACGTGCGACGCGCGGTAATGTCGTCGGCGCGGACAGAAGGAGTGCGATAACCGGACGTGGTGCGTTTATCGTGCAAGACGGCAGCACGAGCACGAGCACAAGTGCAAGCAGCGGGGCCAGCAGCAGCAGCGCCAGCGGCACGAGCAACACCCCGAGCACGCAGCTTACCAATCGCCAGGATGATTATAACCATCATACCTCATTGCGGGAACCCATGGCAGACCTCCGCGCGTCCAAACACGAAACGGTGACGTGTGAGCGAGTCGTGCGGATTGTGACTCAGGCGGAGAACGCGGCAGCAGCGGCGCAAGCGCCGCATGTGACGCAGTGCAGCGCTCGAGCGGAAAACGCGCCGGTGTTCGAATCGAGTCAGGTGACTCAGTTACCCTTCAGCCAGCGCTCTAGTCAGTCGGAGCGCTTTCAATCGCTGAGGGTCAGTCTGACTGCGTCCGCGCACGTGGTTCTGCCAACCGCTGCCTCTGCCTGCGTCCCTTCCGCCGCCCCCGCGCCTGCGGCCGCGGCGGTCACGGCCGCGCCTGCCAGTTTCCTCTGCTTGTTAGAAAAACGACAAAAATGCCACAGCAAGCACTCGCCGTCTGTAGCGCCGCTACAGCCGCAGGCGGTACAGCCTGCCGGCTTGGTACGTGCGCCGGATTGCGCGCTAGCGGAGGACGCAGGGGAGCACGCGCACTCGGCGGAGGAGCTGGGGGAGCGCGCCCAACTGGCGGAGGGGCAGTTAGACCTGGCGGAACTGCAGGCGCGGGTGGTGGGGTCGCAGCTGCAGTTGCTGCGCGGAATGCTGGCGGAGCGGGAGGAGCAGGTCCGCGCGGTGATGGCGGAACTGGCGGGCATGCGCGCACGGGTGGTCCGCGCGCGCAACGTGGCCGAGCAATCCCCGCGCGGGATTTGCAGGAGCCGTAGCGCCGCGCAGGGCAGGTGCGCAGGCGGGAGCGCCGCGGACGCGGAAGAAACGACCGGCGCAGGGAAAACGGGGTTCGCCGCGGGAGGATCGCTGTGCGGGCGGAAAGAGGCAGCAGGGAATGCGGGAATTGCGGGAAATCGCGAAAATCAGGGAACGCGTAACTGCTACACGGGTAGGGCCTCATTCTCGGTTCCGGCGAGTCTGATGAGCAGCAGACGGGCAAGCACCGACAGACGGCCAGGGGAGGCGAGTCAGGCATTGTCGGAAACTCATGCCGCCGCGGCCGCCGCCAGCGCCGCCGCTGCTGTTGCCACCGGTGCTGGTGGCGGCGGTGAGGCTTCTGCTTGCGCATCCGAGTGTTTGGAAGCCGCGGCGGAGTTGCAGCAAGTGGAGATGTCTGTAGCGAGTACGGAGGCGTGGCTGTGGGAGGTAGAAGCAGCGGCGGCCGAGGCGCGAGACGTGTTCCTGCAAGCAGAGGAAGAGGCGGCGGCGGCGGCGGTGGGGGCGGCGGGGGCGGCGGGGGAAGGGGGAGCAGCAGCGGGAGGGGAGCAGGGCGGCAGGACGATTCACTCAGGAGGGTTTCGACATGAGCTTGCGCTTTCAGAAAAGGCTTTTACCGAGGAGCTCTATAGGCGGTTGGCCCAGCTGCAGGCGGATTTGATCGAGGCGGGAGAGGGAGAGCGAGTGCTGCAGGGGATCTTACAGGGGCTGGAGGGGTCGAAGGGGACTGTAGGGAAGCTGCTCTTAACGGGGATGGATGGGTGGGATGGATGGGGCGGAGGGGTTGGAGGGAGGGGAGGGTATGCAGGGGAGGGAGGGGATGGAAGGGGGGTAGTGGAGGTAAAGGAGGAAAAGGGCCTGAGTTTCTGGAATAGGATCAATGGAGACGCGATTCTGAAGGGAACCGTAGAAGAGATTGAAAAGGGCCGGCATGGGAAACAGAATAATATAATTTCTGATAGTTTGGGCCCAGATTGGGATGGCAGAAGTTGGGCTGACAGGGATTGCGCGAAGGATATTACGGGTTTATGGGGGTCGTGCGGAGCTAAGTCGACTCTTGTACAGTCACAGCAGCAACTTTTGTTGCAGCAAAAGAATCAGAAGGAGAAACAGGCTCAGCAGCAGCAGCAGCAGCAGCAACAGCAGCAGAAACAGCAGCAGCAGATTTCAAAGAAGCAGGTATGGGATGCAGGGGTGTATGCCAACTGTCAGGATTACGAGGAGGCGTTGATTCTGCAGCAGGCACTGGAGTATCTGAAGCAGCAGCAAATGCCAGCTGTCGTCTGCTGACAACGCAAGCGCCACGTGTCACTTGCTGAAAGCATGCAGGCAGGAGCTTCTGGGCGCAAACAAAAACAGCAGTTGAGGCTTGCTGTGATTCATGGGCACTGGCGGATCATGATTATGTATGGGTGGTTTTTTTAGAATCATGAATTATGATGATACAAACTTGATGCCACCTGCAGCTTGCTGTGGTTTATGGGCACTGGAGGGTCATGAGGTGGGAGGAGTACACTATGAGGAGGCTCTGATTCTGCAGCATAGGCAGATGCTCACACAATTGGAATGCTGGAAGAGGCAAATGCAACCTGGTGATTGCTAATTTGCTAAAGAAGTGTAGGTATGCAGCAGCTCACTATGTAGATAATATATGTTTACGTACTATTCCTGGCAGGGTTCAGATTTGTTACCAATGTTGTTACTCACGTTTGTAATCTCATCCCCGAAAACATGTAAGGTACTGTTAAAAGTATTTCCTCTACTAATCGACCAGAAAAACAAATTTAGGACTTGCATACTGTTTTTTGAATCCACAAACCACCATTGCCAAATGTCAACCTAATGAATTTTCCCAAGCACTCAAAGGGTGTTACCACAACACCATTACTTCCGTATCTTCTTTACAGCCCGTCACACCCGTCATCTCACCCATTCCCATCACCTTCCCCCTCCCCACCAGCCCTTGCCCTTGCCGGCAGCAGCAGCAGCCATAGCGTCGGCACCCACTACTCCTCTACCTCCCAATCACCTTCCCCATTCCATCACCTCCCGCCTCCCCACCACCCTTTCCCCTTGGGTGGATGCACACACAGCAGCTCCACCTCCCTCTCCCCATCGAGATCAACTTCCCCTTTCCCCACCAACCATCCCTGCCCCCCTCAATCACCTCCCCCCAATCACCTCCCACCTCCTCCCCACCAGCCCTTGCCCTTGCCAGCAGCAGCAGCAGCCATGGCATCAGAAGCGGCCTGCTGCCGCTGCAGCAGCTCCACCTCCCGCTCCAGATCCACCATGCCTGCCAGCCTCTGCCGGTACTCTGCCACCTCCACCTCCAGCCGGAAGCATCTTGCTTGTTCCGCTGCCAGTGTTGTCCGAGCAGTTGTCAGCTCCTGATAGGGTTCAGGTGGGGTGGGGTGGGGTGGGGTGGGGTGGGTGGGGGTGAAGAGAGCAGGAAAACAAAATGAGTGGAATGAGTAAAATTAGTGAAATGGGGCTTGAATGTGTGCAGAGGGGACAGCAGCAGGTCCACCTCCCGCTCCAGATCCGCCATGCCTGCCAGCCTCTGCCGATACTCTGCCACCTCCACCTCCAGCCGGAAGCATCTTGCTTGTTCCGCTGCCAGGGTGGTCCGGGCAGTAGTGAGTTCCTGATAGGGGTGGGGTGGGGTGGGGTGCGGTGGAACGGGTTTGAGGTGGGTTGGAAAGTTTGCCGGTACTCTGCCACTTCCACCTCCAGCCGGAAAGCTTGCTCTGCCGCTAGGGTGGTTCTGGCAGTCGAGAGTTCCTGGTAGGGTTGGGTTGGGAGTGGGTGGAGTGCGGTGGAATGGGTTGGGGTGGGGTGCTCTGTCTGTACTCAGCCAGCTCCACTTCCAGCCGGAAGCACCGCGCTTGTTCCGCTGCCAGGGTTGTTACTGCAGTAGTCAGTTCCTGGTTGGGGAAAGGGGTGGATGGATGTGGGCAGATGGAGGGGGGGAGGAGGGGGGGAGGCAGGGGGGGGAAGGTTGAATGCACACAGCAGCGCTAGCCTCTGCCGATACTCTGCCACCTCTACTTCCAGCCGGAAGCACTGCGCTTGCTCCGCTGCGAGCGTGGTCCTTGCCGTTGTCAATTCCTGGTGGAAGGTGGAATTACAGGGGTAGGGTAGGGGGCGTGTTTACTCTGCCACCTCCACCTCCAGCCGGAAGCACCACGCCTTCGCTGCTGCAAGCGTCGCTCCGGAAGTTAGCTCCTGATTGAGACGGGGACGGGCAGGCAGGGGCAAGGTTGGGGTGGGGGATGGGAAAGGGGAAGGGGGAAGGCAGTGGAGTTGAGGAGGGGAGGTTGATCGAAGATAGCACCTCCACCTGCCTCGACATGGATTCGTAGCAGAGGTTGGTGGTACATGAATTCGTCATGCCCGCCAGCCTCTGCCGGTAAAGGTGAGTTTTTGAGATAGCAGGTGGAGCTGTTAACTCAAAAGCTCACTTTTATCAGATAGCATCTCCACCTGCCTCGACATGGATTCATCATGCCCGCCAGCCTCTGCCAGTGCCCTGCCATGCCACCTTCCTACCTCCCACCTGTTCCATATCCATCAGGTCGTTCTACAGCGCAGCATAGTCCTTCTGCAGCGTCGCCATCCCCCTCTTGGACACCCCACCCCGTTCCACCACGTCCCACCACGTCCCACCACATCCCAACACGTCCCACCACGTCCCACCACATCCCAACACGTCCCACCACATCCCACCACATCCCACCACATCCCAACACGTCCCACCACGTCCCACCACATCCCAACACGTCCCACCACATCCCAGCACATCCTACCTGTTCCGTATCCGCCAGGGCGTTCTACAGAGCAGCATAGTCCTTCTGCAGCGTCGCCATCCCCCTCTTGGACACCCAGAATCTACCCTACAGGCTACATCTTCCCCACCTGCCCTACATCTCTCCCTGACATCAGACCTCCCCTACATCACACAGCACCTCTCATCACCGCATCCCACCTGTTCCATATCAGCCAGAGCGTTCTTGACCGCAGCATAGTCCTTTTGCAGTGTCGCCATCCCCCCATCCGCCCCCGACTTCTTGGCCAGCTCCGCCTCTAGCTCATGCACCTGTGGAATGAGGAAGGGTGGTAACACGAAAAAAATCACAAATGATATAATCACAAGCGAGACAATCACTATTCATACAATCACAATGTATAAGGTCATCTCCCCCCATCCGCCCCCGACTTCTTGGCCAGCTCCGCCTCTAGCTCGTGCACCTGTGGGGTGAGGACGGGTGGTGGTGGTGACATTAGGCTAATGTCATTAGCAAAGACACGATTGGCAGAGTCGGTAGTTATACAGCGACAAACAACGGGGGCATCGACGCCCATCCGCCCCCGACTTCTTGGTCAGCTCCGCCTCTAGCTCGCGCACCTGTGAGGTAGGGATGGGTGGTAACATGCATAAAATCACAATTGGTATAGTTACGACTGATACAGTCACTATTCGCATTTTTTACGGTCATCTCCCCCCATCCGCCCCCGACTTATTGGCCAGCTCCGCCTCTAGCTCATGCACCTGTAGGGTGGGGAAGGGTGGTCACCAAGGTAAAGACACACTTGATAAAAACACACGATACAGTCACTGTTCGTACAATCACAAACAATGGGGTCACCTTTCCCCATCCGCACCCGACTTCTTGGCACCTGTGGGTGACAAGGGGTGGTAACATTCGTAACGACTCGATTGATAAAGTCAGCCAATAGTAACATCTCATCCACAGGCCCTCATTTCTCTCACAGCACCAGGTACGGCATACCTACACCAGTAGGCCCTCCTCCCACTCCCAAGTTCTCACCTTTATTCTGCAATCGTTCAAGTCCTTTCTGATCTGCCCTGCTTCCGCCTGGGGGCTGGCAGAAGCAGCCTGGGCCGCCACCACCTTGGCCTGCCCCTCCGCCATCTCATCCTCTGCAGTCTTGACCCTCTCATGCTCATCCTCAGCCGGTCTTGTATGCAAGACCCCCTCTCCCCACTCACCCGCCGCATCCCTCACCCACCTTTATTCTGCAATCGTTCAGATCCTTCCTGATCTGCCCTGCTTCCGCCTGTGCACTGGCAGAAGCAGCCTGGGCCGCCACGACCTTGGCCTGCCCCTCCGCCATCTCATCCTCTGCTTGCTGCTTCGCCCCTTGAACCCCTGTCTCTTACCGTACCAGGTATGGCGTACCTTTATTCTGCACTCATTCAAATCCTTCCGGATCTGCCCTGCCTCTGCTTGCGCGCTAGCGGAAGCAGCCTGGGCCGCCACCACCTTGGCCTGCCCCTCCGCCATCTCATCCTCTGCTTGCTGCTTCGCCCCTTGAACCCCTGTCTCTTACCGTACCAGGTATGGCGTACCTTTATTCTGCACTCATTCAAATCCTTCCGGATCTGCCCTGCCTCTGCTTGCGCGCTAGCGGAAGCAGCCTGCGCCGCCACCACCTTGGCCTGCCCCTCCGCCATCTCATCCCCATCTCTCCGCTCACCCATACTCCTCACCCGCCTCCTCAGCTCACCTTTATTCTGCATTCATTCAAATCCTTTCTAATCTGCCCTGCTTCCGCCTGCGCGCTAGCAGAGGCAGCCTGCGCCGCCACCACCTTGGCCTGCCCCTCCGCCATCTCATCCTCTGCCTGCTGCTTCGCCTTGATGGCTGTTGCTAGCTGCTGCTTCAATATATCCACCTCCATCTGCGCCTGTGGGGTGGGAGAGGAGGGAACGGAGCAACAGGAGGAGACAGAGAGGGGGGGGAGAGGAGGGAGAGGAGGGAGAGGAGGGAGGGGCATGAGAAAGCACGGGTGCAGTGGGTGCGATGGGTGCCAGCGGCCCTGCTTGCGGCAGCCTGCGCCGCCACCACCTTGGCCTGCCCCTCCGCCATCTCATCCTCTGCCTGCTGCTTCGCCTTGATGGCCGTTGCCAGTTGCTGCTTCAATATATCCACCTCCATCTGCGCCTGGTGAGGGGGTGGGGGGAGGAAGAGGGGAGGGAGCACAGGAGGAACACAGGGGTTTGCCTGATGGCTGGAGGGGATTCGCCTTGATTGCCATCGCCAGTTGCTGCTTTAAAATATCCACCTCCATCTGCGCCTGAAGAGGGGGAAAGGGAGTGAGTAGAGGGGATTGAGGAGGAGGGTAGGTAACACCTCCATCTGTCTGCTTCGCCTTGATTGCCGTCGCCAGCTGCTGCTTTAATATATCCACCTCCATCTGCGCCTGACGAGGGGAGAGGGAGGGAGAGGGGTGTGTTGTGAGCACCGACCATGCACCCATACAACATGCATACATACCCATGCATGACTGGCCAAAGCACTGAACATCCATGCGTAGGCTTACCTTGGCAATGGCAGCCCATGCATCTGCCCGTGGTCAGTACGGGTGGCAGTGTGGGGGCGCGGAGCATGCATGTCGCGCGCGCTTACCTTGGCAATGGCAGCCCATGCATCTGCCCGTGGTCAGTATGGGCGGCGGTGTGGGGGCGGGGAGCATGCGTGTTGCACGGGCTTACCTTGGCAATGGCAGCCCATGCATCCTCCCGTGGTGAGTACGGGTGGCGGTGTGGGGGCGGGGAGCATGCGTGTTGCACGTGCTTACCTTGGCAATGGCAGCCCATGCATCCGCCCGTGCCTCTGCAGCAGTGTGGCTCGCTTCAGCCCGGGCCTTGGGGAGGAGAGAGGGGGGGGGGGGGGGGGGGGGAGGGGGATGGGGAAGGAGGAGGATTCTATCTTGGAGGCGCCTCAGGAATAGGCAGCCCATGCATCTGCACGCGCCTCTGCAGCAGTGTGGCTCGCTTCAGCCCGCGCCTGGGGGAGGAGAGGGGAGAGAGGGGAGAGGGGAGGAAGGGAGTCGGGGAGGGGGGACGGAGGAGGATTCTATCTGTAAGGGGCTTCAAGAATAGGCAGCCCATGCATCTGCACGCGCCTCTGCAGCAGTGTGGCTTGCTTCAGCCCGCGCCTGGGGGAGGAGAGGGGAGAGGGGGGAGGGGAGAGAGGGGAGAGGGGAGAGGAAGGGAGTCGGGGAGGGGGGACGGAGGAAGATTCTATCAGTAAGGGGCCTCAAGAGTAGACCGCCCATGCATCCGCCCGTGCCTCTGCAGCAGTGTGGCTTGCTTCAGCCCGCGCCTGGGGGAGAGAGGGGGAGGAGAATGTGGAAAAGGGAATGGAGTAATGCGAGAGGGAGCAGCAAGACAAGAGAGCACCTTCGCCTGCTTCAGCAATGTAAAAAGGGGAATCACAAAAAGGGGTAGCAAAATCACAAAAAGCAAACCTTTTCTCCGACTTAGAAGACTCACATTGAGCGCCACCTTCTCTGCTCTGGTGGCGGCTGCTTCAGCCTCCTCTAGCTGGGCCAGCAGCACCGCATCCCTCAACCGGTTTACTCCCAGCATGCTGCACAAACTACTGTGGTGAATTCCTAAGACTGACTCACATTCAGCGCCACCTTCTCTGCTCGGGTCGCAGCTGCTTCAGCCTCCTCCAGCTGCGCCAGCAGCACCGCATCCCTCGACTGGCTTACTCACGGAATGCTACACACAGATAACCGTGGTGCATTATAAGTGCCCATCATACTCACATTGAGCGCCACCTTCTCTGCTCTGGTCGCAGCTGCCTCTGCCTCCTCCAGCTGCGCCAGCAGCACCGCATCCCTCGACGTGGGGGACAGCTCCCCACACCCAACACCCAACTCCCCACACCCAACACCCAGCTGAGCCAACAGAACCGCAACCCTCGACTGGCTTCCTTCACTCATGGCATGCTGCACGAACCTACCACGGTTAGTTTTAAAGGCTCATACTCACATTGAGCGCCACCTTCTCTGCTCTGGTCGCGGCTGCTTCAGCCTCCTCCAGCTGCGCCAGCAGCACCGCATCCCTCGACGTGGGGGACAGCTCCCCTCCATCCTCCTCCACGCCCCCCACTGCTGCCGCTCCCGCTGGCAACGGCGGCCCATGCCCAGGTGCCGCAGCAGCAGCACCTGAATTTCCACCTGAGATTCCACCTGGAGGGGTGGCACCAATGATATTGGAAGCAGATCCTGCTCGGACTATCTGCTTGCCCCCACCAGCAGCAGCAGCAGGGGTTGCTCCAGTGGTGGGTGCGGGAGGGGGGAGAGCAGCAGGTGCGGAAGGGGTGGGGCCAAGAGCAGCAGCAGCACCGGAGGGTAGTGATGCCGAACCTGCTGCCGAACCTGCTGCCGGAGCTGAGGATGCAGTGGTGGAGTCAGCAGGTTGGGAAGTGCTGTTTTCAGATGCTGCTGAGGGGGGCGGTTGAGGGGCTGATGCAGCAGCAGCAGCAGCAGCGTTGGCTGTAGCAGCAGCAGCGGCACTATCTGTAGCAGCAGAGGCAGTTGTTGCGGCGGTTGTAGCGGCGGCGGTTGTAGCGGCAGCTGCAGCTTCTTCCTCCTCCTCTGCTGCTCTAAGCAGCGCAGCAGTGTCGGGCAGCAACAGGAATACCTCGTTGTTGTACCGCCCGTTATAGCCCCCGAACGCTACAAGCACAGGGCCGAGAGATGTTCCCACAGGTACCACCGACAAGCCCTGGGTGGGTGGGTGTTTAGTGGGGTTGAGAAGGGTGAGATAAGTTTCGGGGCAGGGGAAGATGGTACAGTAGAAGGGGCAGGAAAGAAGTGAATAAACAATCTTTTCCTTGACTCGATTTTGAAGCCAGCAAATTTACTGTGTAATAGACTGTAACAAAACTAACCCCTCCACACACCTCTGATGCCAAAGGTGGAGTGACAGGGTAACCATGGACCATGGTAACCACACAGTAGTAAATCATAACCTTACTATCTTTCCACTCACCTCTGATGCCAGAGGCGTTTTTTCAAGCGATGTGGTAACTAACCACCGACCACACCAGCGAGTCCAGCCCAGATCCAGCAGCATCGTCTCAGATACCCCCTTTCACTCACTGCTCGCTCCCCAACCCTTTCCACTCACTTCTGAAGCGAGCGGTGTCTTTTCCAGAGTTGTGGTAACCACCGACCACACCAGCGAGTCCAGCCCAGATCCAGCAGCATCGTCTCAGATACCCCCTTTCACTCACTGCTCGCTCCCCAACCCTTTCCACTCACTTCTGAAGCGAGCGGTGTCTTTTCCAGAGATGTGGTAACCACCGACCACACCAGCGAGTCCAGCCCAGATCCAGCAGCATCGTCTCAGATACCCCCTTTCACTCACTGCTCGCTCCCCAACCCTTTCCACTCACTTCTGAAGCGAGCGGTGTCTCTTCCAGAGATGTGGTAACCACCGACCACACCAGCGAGTCCAGCCCAGATCCAGCAGCATCGTCTCAGATACCCCCTTTCACTCACTGCTCGCTCCCCAACCCTTTCCACTCACTTCTGAAGCGAGCAGTGTCTCTTCCAGAGATGTGGTAACCACCGACCACACCAGCGAGTCGAGGAGGTCCAGCAGAGCAGAATCGTCTCAGACACGCCCCCCGCACTCACTGCTACTGCCCATTGCCTGTCTGTCCTACTCACACTTCTACTATCTCCTTTTCTCTGCACTCACTTCTGAAGCAAGCGGAGTCTTTTCCAAGGAAGTGGTAACCACAGACCACACCAGCGAGTCAAGATCCAGCAGCGTCGTCTCAGACACGCCCCTGTGGTTGTCCCCTCCTCCCATGATGAACCAGAGACCTCCCTGATTCTCTGACTTAACCACACTAGCATACCCTCGTTCTTGACTCACCTCTGAAGCCAGGGGTGTCTTTTCAGGGACGTGGTAACCACAGACCACACTAACGAGTCCAGGTCCGGCAGCATTGTCTCAGACACGCCCCCTCACTGCCACTGCTTTGCCTGTCTCACCCTCACCACTCACCTCTGACGCCAAAGGGGTCTTCTCGAGCGATGTGGTAACCACAGACCACACCAGCGAGTCCAGGTCCAGCAGCATCGTCTCAGAGACACCCCCCGCACTCACTGCTACTGCCCATTGCCTGCCTGTCTGTCCTACTCACACTTCTACTATCTCCTTTTCTCTCCACTCACTTCTGAAGCAAGCGGTGTTTTCTCAAGCGATGTGGTAACCACAGACCACACCAGCGAGTCCAGGTCCAGCAGCATTGTCTCAGACACGCCTCCCTTCACGCTTGCTCGCTCCCCACGCCCCTGCACTCACCTCTGACGCCAAAGGCGTTTTCTCAAGCGATGTGGTAACCACAGACCACACCAGCGAGTCCAAATCCAACAGCATCGTCTCGGAAACGCCTCCATGGTTGTCCCCTCCCCCCATGATGAACCAGAGGCTGCCAAACGCCACGCCCACCAGGCCTGCTCTGGGGGAAGGCACCTTGCCATAGGTCTCTGCTAGGGACCACTCGGCCTGAAAGGAAGAGGGGAGAAGGGGGAAGCGATGAGAGGAGAGGAGAGAAGGGTGGTGGGCGGAGAGGCAAGAGATTTCAGACAAGCATTGTCTCAGACACGCCCCTGTGGTTGCCGTCCCCCTCAACCCCCCCTCCCCCCATGATGAACCAGAGGCTGCCAAATGCCACGCCCACAAGGCCAGCACGGGGAGAGGGCACCTTGCCGTAGGTCTCTGCTAGGGACCACTCGGCCTGGAGGAGAGTTGGAGGAGAGGGTGGGCGGGTGCGGGTGCAGGAGGGGGTTGGGGGGTGGAGAGTTGAGAGTAAAGGAGAGTGGTTGTCCCCTTCCCCCATGATGAACCACAGGCTGCCAAACGCCACGCCCACCAGGCCAGCACGGGGAGAGGGCACCTTGCCGTAGGTCTCTGCTAGGGACCACTCGGCCTGGAGGAGAGTTGGAGGAGAGGGTGGGCGGGTGCGGGTGCAGGAGGGGGTTGGGGGGTGGAGAGTTGAGAGTAAAGGAGAGTGGTTGTCCCCTTCCCCCATGATGAACCACAGGCTGCCAAATGCCACGCCCACCAGGCCAGCACGGGGAGAGGGCACCTTGCCGTAGGTCTCTGCTAGGGACCACTCGGCCTGGAGGAGAGTTGGAGGAGAGGGTGGGCGGGTGCGGGTGCAGGAGGGGGTTGGGGGGTGGAGAGTTGAGAGTAAAGGAGAGTGGTTGTCCCCTTCCCCCATGATGAACCACAGGCTGCCAAACGCCACGCCCACCAGGCCAGCACGGGGAGAGGGCACCTTGCCGTAGGTCTCTGCTAGGGACCACTCGGCCTGGAGGAGAGTTGGAGGAGAGGGTGGGCAGGTGCGGGTGCAGGAGGGGGTTGGGGGGTGGAGAGTTGAGAGTAAAGGAGAGTGGTTGTCCCCTTCCCCCATGATGAACCAGAGGCTCCCAAATGCCACGCCCACCAGGCCAGCACGGGGAGAGGGCACCTTGCCGTAGGTCTCTGCTAGGGACCACTCGGCCTGGAGGAGAGTTGGAGGAGAGGGTGGGCGGGTGCGGGTGCAGGAGGGGGTTGGGGGGTGGAGAGTTGAGAGTAAAGGAGAGTGGTTGTCCCCTTCCCCCATGATGAACCACAGGCTGCCAAACGCCACGCCCACCAGGCCAGCACGGGGAGAGGGCACCTTGCCGTAGGTCTCTGCTAGGGACCACTCGGCCTGGAGGAGAGTTGGAGGAGAGGGTGGGCGGGTGCGGGTGCAGGAGGGGGTTGGGGGGTGGAGAGTTGAGAGTAAAGGAGAGTGGTTGTCCCCTTCCCCCATGATGAACCACAGGCTGCCAAATGCCACGCCCACCAGGCCAGCACGGGGAGAGGGCACCTTGCCGAAGGTCTCTGCTAGGGACCACTCGGCCTGGAGGAGAGTTGGAGGAGAGGGTGGGCGGGTGCGGGTGCAGGAGGGGGTTGGGGGGTGGAGAGTTGAGAGTAAAGGAGAGTGGTTGTCCCCTTCCCCCATGATGAACCACAGGCTGCCAAACGCCACGCCCACCAGGCCAGCACGGGGAGAGGGCACCTTGCCGTAGGTCTCTGCTAGGGACCACTCGGCCTGGAGGAGAGTTGGAGGAGAGGGTGGGCGGGTGCGGGTGCAGGAGGGGGTTGGGGGGTGGAGAGTTGAGAGTAAAGGAGAGTGGTTGTCCCCTTCCCCCATGATGAACCACAGGCTGCCAAACGCCACGCCCACCAGGCCAGCACGGGGAGAGGGCACCTTGCCGTAGGTCTCTGCTAGGGACCACTCGGCCTGGAGGAGAGTTGGAGGAGAGGGTGGGCAGGTGCGGGTGCAGGAGGGGGTTGGGGGGTGGAGAGTTGAGAGTAAAGGAGAGTGGTTGTCCCCTTCCCCCATGATGAACCAGAGGCTGCCAAATGCCACGCCCACCAGGCCAGCACGGGGAGAGGGCACCTTGCCGTAGGTCTCTGCTAGGGACCACTCGGCCTGGAGGAGAGTTGGAGGAGAGGGTGGGCGGGTGCGGGTGCAGGAGGGGGTTGGGGGGTGGAGAGTTGAGAGTAAAGGAGAGTGGTTGTCCCCTTCCCCCATGATGAACCACAGGCTGCCAAACGCCACGCCCACCAGGCCAGCACGGGGAGAGGGCACCTTGCCGTAGGTCTCTGCTAGGGACCACTCGGCCTGGAGGAGAGTTGGAGGAGAGGGTGGGCGGGTGCGGGTGCAGGAGGGGGTTGGGGGGTGGAGAGTTGAGAGTAAAGGAGAGTGGTTGTCCCCTCCCCCCATGATGAACCACAGGCTGCCAAACGCCACGCCCACAAGGCCAGCACGGGGAGAGGGCACCTTGCCGTAGGTCTCTGCTAGGGACCACTCGGCCTGGAGGAGAGTTGGAGGAGAGGGTGGGCGGGTGCGGGTGCAGGAGGGGGTTGGGGGGTGGAGAGTTGAGAGTAAAGGAGAGTGGTTGTCCCCTCCCCCCATGATGAACCACAGGCTGCCAAACGCCACGCCCACAAGGCCAGCACGGGGAGAGGGCACCTTGCCGTAGGTCTCTGCTAGGGACCACTCGGCCTGGAGGAGAGTTGGAGGAGAGGGTGGGCGGGTGCGGGTGCAGGAGGGGGTTGGGGGGTGGAGAGTTGAGAGTAAAGGAGAGTGGTTGTCCCCTCCCCCCATGATGAACCACAGGCTGCCAAAAGCCACGCCCACCAGCCCAGCACGGGGAGAGGGCACCTTGCCATACGTCTCTGCTAGGGACCACTCGGCCTGGATAAGAAGGGTGGGCGGGTGCAGGGTGTGTCGAGGAGAGGGGTGGTGAGCGGGGAAGTGAGAGTAAAGGAGTGTAGTTGTCCCCTCCACCCATGATGAACCAGAGGCTGCCAAACGCCACTCCCACCAGGCCTGCCCTTGGGGAGGGCACCTTGCCATACGTCTCTGCTAGGGATCACTCGGCCTGGGGAGACACAGGGAAGAGGAGAGGTGGAGAAGGGTTGGAGAAGGGACGAGGAGAGGGCAAGAGAATAAGTGCCCACCACGCCTGCTCTGGGGGAAGGCACCTTGCCATAGGTCTCTGCCAGGGACCACTCGGCCTGGGGCGGAGAGAGGAGCGGGAGGAAGTGGGGAAAGAGGAGATAAGGGTTGTTGGAGAAGGAACGAGAAGTCAGAACCACGAGGCCTCCTCCCCTTTGCGAGGGAACCTTGCCGTAGGTCTTAGCCAGGGACCACTCGGCCTGATTTGAGTGGAGGAGGGGAGAGAGGGGTTGAGGGGGGGGAGAGGGGTTGAGGGGGGAGAGAGGGGTTGAGGAGAGAGAAAGAGAGGCAAAAGATTTAACACTCGAGGCCAGCCCTGGGAGAAGGCACCTACAGTACATACCACACATACAGTAGCTCTTAGGCTCTTACCGCGTCTAGGTCCAGTCCAGCACATGCACGCCGTTGAAACACATGGAGTGGGAGTGAGGGAGTGGGGGGTTGCATATACATTCATACCCCTAGAGCAGCTCTTACCGCGTCCAGATCAAGCACATGCACGCCGTTGAAACACATGGAGTGGGAGCCGCCCCCAAAGATAGGCGGGGAGGGAACCAGATGGTCGGTACAGTGTGCCCGACTTATACCTTTTCACACCTCCTCCTTACCGCGTCCAGATCAAGCACATGCACGCCGTTGAAACACATGGAGTGGGAGCCGCCCCCAAAGATAGGCGGGGAGGGAACCAGATGGTCGGTACAGTGTGCCCGACTTATACCTTTTCACACCTCCTCCTTACCGCGTCCAGATCAAGCACATGCACGCCGTTGAAACACATGGAGTGGGAGCCGCCTCCAAAGATAGGCGGGGAGGGAACCAGATGGTCGGTACAGTGTGCCCGACTTATACCTTTTCACACCTCCTCCTTACCGCGTCCAGATCAAGCACATGCACGTCGTTGAAGCACATGGAGTGGGAGCCGCCGCCAAAGATGGTGAGGTAGTGCTCGTTGTACACTGTTGCCGTGTGGCCTGCTCTTGGCAGAGGGGGTGTTCCTCTGGGGAAGAGGCGAAGAAGGGGTTGGATTGCACCGGAAAGAGCATGAAAAGGAAGGGGAAAGAGACAGGAGGTCAGCTAGATGGTGAGGTAGTGCTCGTTGTATACCGTTGCTGTGTGGCCCGCCCTGGGCAGGGGGGGTGTTCCTCTGGAGTTAGAGAGGGGACAGAAAGGGGAAGGGAGAGGTGCGAGTGAGCTAGATGGTGAGGTAGTGCTTGTTGTACACTGTTGCCATGTGGCCCGCCCTGGGCAGAGGGGGTGTCCCACAAGAGCAAGGGAGGGCACAGCAAGGAGAAGGAAGTGATGTGATGTGCCTCACATCCTCCTCCCACTCACGTGCTCAAACTCTCTCTCTCCCACTCACGTGGTGTCGAGCTTGTCCCACACCAAGGCCGTGAGATCCAGGCTGTACACGCCTTTGAGCAGCCGCCTCTTGCTGCTTTCGCTGTCTCTACCAGACCAGCACTCTTACCACCACCACGCAATCGCCTGCAAGCACCACCCAGAAACCACATGCTCATATCCCCCCACCCACTCACGTGGTGTCCACACCACACCAAGGCCGTGAGATCGAGGCTGTACACGTCATTCAGCAGCCGCCTCTTGCTGTCCTCCCCTCCACCATTTACTCTTCTGACTGCGCGTATATACCAGCCAGCAATCTGCACCACAAGCCACTCACGTGGTGTCCAGCTTGTCCCACACGAACGTGGTGAGGTCCAGGCTGTACACGTCGTTGAGCAGCCGCCACTTGCTGTCCTCCCCCTCGTCAAGCACCCACCCCATCCTATTGCTGTAGTAATCACCTGTTCAACCCAACCTCCCACTCACGTGGTGTCGAGCTTGTCCCACACGAAAGTGGTGAGATCCAGGCTGTACACGTCGTTGAGCAGCCGCCTCTTGCTGTCCTCCCCCTCGTCAAGCACCCACCCCACCCTATTGCTGTAGTAATCACCTGTTCAACCCAACCTCCCACTCACGTGGTGTCGAGCTTGTCCCACACGAAAGTGGTGAGATCCAGGCTGTACACGTCGTTGAGCAGCCGCCTCTTGCTGTCCTCCCCCTCGTCAAGCACCCACCCCACCCTATTGCTGTAGTAATCACCTGTTCAACCCAACCTCCCACTCACGTGGTGTCGAGCTTGTCCCACACGAAAGTGGTGAGGTCAAGGCTATAAACGTCGTTGAGCAGCCGCCTCTTGCTGTCCTCCCCGCCAAACACCCACACAGTCGACCCCACCTTGGCCGTGCTGTGCCCTCCCCTTGCACACTGCAGGGGGCAATACAGGGCAACGGGAGGGAGTCAGTGGGGTCATGCGAGGTCAATGTGGGGTCAACCGGGGTCAGGGAACAGACTCGCCAAACACCCACACCGTCGACCCCACTTTAGCCGTGCTGTGCCCTCCCCTTGCACACTGCAGCAGATTGATGGGGTTAACAGGGGTTAACAGGGGTTGACAGGGGTCCAAGGGGACAAGAGAAAAGCACGCCAAACACCCACACCGTCGACCCCACTTTGGCTGTGCTGTGCCCTCCCCTTGCACACTGCAGACAACAGGGGTGTCAATGCCAGGATGGAAAAAGGAAAAGGGAATGAGAGAGCACAGGTCAGATAGGCGGGGCGGGCAGAGTATTTCATTTTCTACGTGGACAACAACGAAAAAAACAGGAGGATAAGTAAGCAACAAAAATGTACAACATAAAACAGACCAACCCACTTTTGAGACGTCTCAAAAGTCATAAAACAACCCAACCCACTACGACTGTGGCGTGGGGTGTGCAGTGCACTCACGGGTATTTGGCCGCGGGTCTTCATCACCCGCCACATCTTGGTGCTCACATCCAATGCCCGCACTGCCATGCCGTGACATGAAAGAAGAACCATACACAAACGGAACAGCTCAATAACTGGCTAGAAATAAAAACAAGGCTTTGGTTGTGTGTGTGTGTGGATGTGTGTGTGTGTGTGTCTGTGTGTGTGTTTTTTTTGTTTTTTGCCATGGCAAAAACGACTGGTACAGCAGGCTCAGTGTCACATAGAGTGCTTTTCAAGTACAAATCACAGGATTGTGCCCAGAACATAGTCAAACTTCACGTGTCATCGTTACTGCGGTGTCCTTGAAGAACCTTCCAAAGAACAGTGAAGCTTCTTCGTCTTGTGGTGACATAATCCAAACGGGGTGACACTGCGACCACTGCAACCCATCTCACCAATCTCAACCCATCTCAACCCATCTCAACCCATCTCAACCCATCTCACCAATCATCTTCTCTGCGCCATCCTTGAAGAACCCTCCTATGCACAGCAGAGTCACCTCGTCTAGAATGACCTGCATAGTGGAGGGATTTGGGACGTGCAAAGGGAGCGGAGAAGAAGCATCACTCAAGGGTGACTCTGAGTCAGTCACCTCAAGAACCCTCCTATGCACAGCAGAGTCACTTCGTCCGGAATGACCTGTACAGTGGGAGGAAACAGGGGAGGAAAGCTCCATTCTCAACCAGGCGAGAGAGGCAAGATCAAACACATGCATCTTGTCCATGTGTGTGTGCAGTGCAGGCACACAACAGTCACATGCACATAAAACACATGCACATAAAACACATGCACATAAAACACATGCACATAAAACACATGCACATAAAACACATGCACATAAAACACATGCACATAAAACACATGCACATAAAACACATGCACATAAAACACATGCACATAAAACACATGCACATAAAACACATGCACATAAAACACATGCACATAAAACACATGCACATAAAACACATGCACATAAAACACATGCACATAAAACACATGCACATAAAACACATGCACATAAAACACATGCACATAAAACACATGCACATAAAACACATGCACATAAAACACATGCACATAAAACACATGCACATAAAACACATGCACATAAAACACATGCACATAAAACACATGCACATAAAACACATGCACATAAAACACATGCACATAAAACACATGCACATAAAACACATGCACATAAAACACATGCACATAAAACACATGCACATAAAACACATGCACATAAAACACATGCACATAAAACACATGCACATAAAACACATGCACATAAAACACATGCACATAAAACACATGCACATAAAACACATGCACATAAAACACATGCACATAAAACACATGCACATAAAACACATGCACATAAAACACATGCACATAAAACACATGCACATAAAACACATGCACATACCCGCATACATGTACCAGGCCATGCCCAGTGCATGGGGGAAGGCCGTTGGCCGGGAAGGAGAGGTCCATTTTAGACTAGGAGAGCGATGCAAGGTCCAACACATGCAAGTCACTGTGTGCAGTGCAGTCAAATTACACAACACTCACATGCTCATAACACACACGCAGACGCCCACCCACATACACGTAGCAGGCTATGCCCAGCGCAAGGTGGAAGCGCATTGGCAGGCGAAGAGAGCTCCATCTTGGACCAGGCGAGGGAGGCGAGGTCCAACACATACATGCACGTCGCACACTACTCCATGTATGTTATACACACACACACGCACTCACCAAATTGTGCCCACTGCCCAGCGCAAGGGTGGAAGAGCGTTGGCAGGCGAAGAGAGCTCCATCTGGAACCAGGCGAGGGAGGCGAGGTCCAACACATGCACGTCACTGGTGTGTGCAGTGCAGTGCAGTCACATAAAATTCACATGCACACATGCTTTATGCACTCACGTAACAGTCACATGCACACATGCGCACGACATGCATGCACAAGCATGCAAAAGAATGCACACATGCTTTATGCACTCACCAGGCTGTGCCCAGCACAGGGGGGAAGGGCGTTTGCAGGCGAGGAGAGCTCCATTTTAGACCAGGCGAGAGAAGCGAGGTCCAGCACATGCACGTCACTGGTGAACCGAGCTCGGTTTCCGCCCACCACATACATCCTGCCATCCAGTATCTCCGCTGCATGCTGCACATAGGAGAGAGAAGAGAAGGGTGGGGGTGAGGGGGCACAGAGGGAAAAATTGAGTGCCCCCCTATCCCATGCACGTCACTGGTGAATCTGCCTCTGTTGCCCCCCACCACGTACATCCTGCCGTCCAGGATCTCTGCTGCATGCTGCACGCATGAAGAGGGGAGGTGGGGTTGGGACAGAGGGCAAGGAGGGTGAAATGCGGAAGGAGAGTGGCCCCCTATCACATGCACGTCACTGATGAACCTGGCTCTGTTGCCCCCCACCATGTACATCCTGCCGTCCAGGATCTCTGCTGCATGCTGCATACAAGAGGCGGGGAAAGGGGGAGGGGAGGGGAGGGGAGCGAAGAAGGGTTGATCGGTCGAAAAAGGGAAAGAGTCCCCCCCTATCACATGCACATCACTGACGAACCAGGCCTTGTTGCCGCCCATCCTACAACGTACATCCTCCCAGTGACGGGAGCAGCGACCCACTTGTTGATGCAGTCGTGAGAGCACAGCACTGCCATCACCCCAGCTAGCCCGTATCACACCCTCCACCTCCATGTATTGCTGTAAATGCCCTCCCCTCCCCTCCTCCCCTCCCTTCCCCTCCCCTCCCCTCCCCTTCCCTCCCCTCCCCTCCCCTCCCCTCCCCTCCCCTCCCCTCCCCTCCCCTCCCCTCCCCTCCCCTCCCCAACCCTCCCTTCCCTCCCCTCCCCTCCCCTCCCCTCCCCTCCCCTCCCTTCCCTCCCCTCCCTTCCCTCCCCTCCCCTCCCCTCCCCTCCTCACCTGGTATCTAGCCGAGGGTTTCCTCCCAGTGACGGGAGCAGCGACCCACTTGTTGATGCAGTCGTGAGAGCACAGCACTGCCATCACCCCCATGTCCTCCACCACAGGGGGAGAGGGCGGGGGGGGCAGGGCCAAGCCAGCAGCAGGCTAACAGCAGCAGCAGCAGCAGCAGCAGCAGCACCTTTTCCGCACCTGGTATCTGGCTGACGGTTTCCTCCCAGTGACGGGAGCAGCGACCCACTTGTTGATGCAGTCGTGAGAGCGCAGCATTGCCATCACCCCCATGTCTTCCACCACAGGGGGCCCCCGGGGGAAGGCAGCACCGTTCATTGCCGGGAAACCCTCTGCAGCGTAGGCGTCTGGGTAGCCTCTGCCATACCCCTCTGGTACTGCTGCTGCTGCATGCTGTGGTGCGGGAGGGGAGTGAAGAAGAGAGAATAAAGTGAAGGGCTAAGGCTAATCCACCACAGGGGGTTCCCGGGGGAAGGCAGCACCGTTCATTGCCGGGAAACCCTCTGCAGCGTAGGCGTCTGGATACCCCCTGCCATACCCCTCTGCTGCTGCCGCTGCTGCATGCTGTGGTGTGAGGGGAGGTGGGGTGTGAAGAAGCAAGGAGGGAGTGGGGGAGAGGATAACATGAAGGGCTAAGGCACCTCCACCACAGGGGGCCTCCGGGGGAAGGCAGCGCCGTTCATTGCCGGGAAACCCACCCCAGTGTAGCCCTCTGGGTAGCCCCTTCCATACCCCTCTGCTGCTGCTGCTGCTGCTGCTGCTGCTGCTGCTGCTGCTGCTGCTGCATGCTGTGTGGGTGGGGGTAGTTGCAGAGGCGGAGGGGCGGGGAACGAGGAAGATGGGGAGGAGAAATCAAGTGCAGGACAAGAGTTTCCAAAAGTTTCTCTACTCAGGTTCTCTCAGGAATAAACTGAGTGTGGTGGAACGAGTGTGGTGGGCGGAGTGTGGTGGAGCAAGTGTGGTGGGCGAGCAAACAAGGGCATAATGATGCACCAGGTGCAGTCAAGTCACCCCCAGAGTTAGGCAAAAAAAAAAAAAACGTGCATACCAGGTTAGTTGCTTCCATTAGTTGTGCGTTGGTCCACCAATTGTAATGAGGTTATTTTTGAGACGTCTCAAAAGTTAGGCAAAAAAAAAGTGCATACCGGGTCAGTTGCTTCCATTAGTTGTGCGTTGGTCCACCAATTTGGGTCCTCCTCCTGTCAATGCCACATGACAGAGAGACAGTTAGGGAGAAGAAGAAACAACACGTACAGGTATTGTGGCACAAGAAGCAACCTGATTAATGAGACGACTTTGGAGGCACATCATAAGACTTCTTGGCAAAGGCAGGGATGCAAAGAGAAAGAGAAACAAGCACCGCCGAGTGAGCTAAAGCAACAACACGGTCTTTTGAGATGTCTCAAAAGTCATCATAAGACTTCTTGGCAACAGGCAGGGATGCAAAGAGAAAGAGAAACAAGCACCGCCGAGTGAGCTAAAGCAACAACACGGTCTTTTGAGATGTCTCAAAAGTCATCATAAGACTTCTTGGCAACAGGCAGGGATGCAAAGAGAAAGAGAAACAAGCACCGCCGAGTGAGCTAAAGCAACAACACGGTCTTTTGAGATGTCTCAAAAGTCATCATAAGACTTCTTGGCAACAGGCAGGGATGCAAAGAGAAAGAGAAACAAGCACCGCCGAGTGAGCTAAAGCAACAACACGGTCTTTTGAGATGTCTCAAAAGTCATCATAAGACTTCTTGGCAACAGGCAGGGATGCAAAGAGAAAGAGAAACAAGCACCGCCGAGTGAGCTAAAGCAACAACACGGTCTTTTGAGATGTCTCAAAAGTCATCATAAGACTTCTTGGCAAAGGCAGGGATGCAAAGAGAAAGAGAAAAAAGCACCGAGAGAGCTAAAGCAACAACACGGTCTTTTGAGATGTCTCAAAAGTCATCATAAGACTTCTTGGCAACAGGCAGGGATGCAAAGAGAAAGAGAAACAAGCACCGCCGAGTGAGCTAAAGCAACAACACGGTCTTTTGAGATGTCTCAAAAGTCATCATAAGACTTCTTGGCAACAGGCAGGGATGCAAAGAGAAAGAGAAACAAGCACCGCCGAGTGAGCTAAAGCAACAACACGGTCTTTTGAGATGTCTCAAAAGTCATCATAAGACTTCTTGGCAACAGGCAGGGATGCAAAGAGAAAGAGAAACAAGCACCGCCGAGTGAGCTAAAGCAACAACACGGTCTTTTGAGATGTCTCAAAAGTCATCATAAGACTTCTTGGCAACAGGCAGGGATGCAAAGAGAAAGAGAAACAAGCACCGCCGAGTGAGCTAAAGCAACAACACGGTCTTTTGAGATGTCTCAAAAGTCATCATAAGACTTCTTGGCAACAGGCAGGGATGCAAAGAGAAAGAGAAACAAGCACCGCCGAGTGAGCTAAAGCAACAACACGGTCTTTTGAGATGTCTCAAAAGTCATCATAAGACTTCTTGGCAAAGGCAGGGATGCAAAGAGAAAGAGAAAAAAGCACCGAGAGAGCTAAAGCAACAACACGGTCTTTTGAGATGTCTCAAAAGTCATCATAAGACTTCTTGGCGAAGGCAGGGATGCAAAGAGAAAGAGAAAAAAGCACCGAGAGAGCTAAAGCAACAACACGGTCTTTTGAGATGTCTCAAAAGTCATCATAAGACTTCTTGGCAAAGGCAGGGATGCAAAGAGAAAGAGAAACAAGCACCGCCGAGAGAGCTAAAGCAACAACACGGTCTTTTGAGACGTCTCAAAAGTCATCATAAGACTTCTTGGCAACAGGCAGGGATGCAAAGAGAAAGAGAAACAAGCACCGCCGAGAGAGCTAAAGCAACAACACGGTCTTTTGAGATGTCTCAAAAGTCATCATAAGACTTCTTGGCAACAGGCAGGGATGCAAAGAGAAAGAGAAACAAGCACCGCCGAGTGAGCTAAAGCAACAACACGGTCTTTTGATATGTCTCAAAAGTCATCATAAGACTTCTTGGCAAAGGCAGGGATGCAAAGAGAAAGAGAAACAAGCACCGCCGAGAGAGCTAAAGCAACAACACGGTCTTTTGAGATGTCTCAAAAGTCATCATAAGACTTCTTGGCAACAGGCAGGGATGCAAAGAGAAAGAGAAACAAGCACCGCCGAGAGAGCTAAAGCAACAACACGGTCAACGTCGCAACGCTCACTCGCAACGACACCATTCACTCGAGACTTCAAGAAACAGGAACAGCACAAACAGCACTTTTGAGTCGACCCAACGGTCATCTCCCAAACTCTCAGCTTCAGGCTTCGTTCAAAGAGACCAGGAAAAAATGCGTACCTCCAGAGCACGCACAAACAGCCGCATGGCCTCTACTGGCGCCATCTTTCCCAGCTCTGTCCAACTGTAATGTGACATGCACGGGGCACGGGGAGCAGAATTGATCAGACAAGGAGGAGGTGGGGCGGAATCAAGGTGGGACGAGTTTTGACGCGCCTTCACAGCCGCATGGCCTCTACTGGCGTCATCTTTCCCAGCTCTGTCCAACTGTTATGTGACGCACAGGGCAAAGGGGGACAAGGGGGAAAATGCTATGGTCGACTCAAAAGCCACCTGCAGTGGCGTGGGTGGCACCATCTTCCTCAGCTCCGTCCATCCAAGTGCAGTGTGTATGAGCAGAGCAAGGGGGGAGAAGAAGGAAGTGAGAGAGGCACTGCCAATGACAAGACAGGACAAATGAGAGATAATGAAACGATACGACGGAAAGAGGAATTCAATGAGAACCATGGGGAGGAGGGAGAAGGAGGGAACGAGGGGGTTGGGTGGGGTGTGGGGTGGTACAGCATGCCATACGACTGAGTGATGGTGAGAGCGAGCACAATTTTCGTTTCCAGAAACCAGCAGGGGCATGCACTTTCCTCTCAACTGCCTCTTACAGAACCTCCCTGCAAGCAAAACCTCCCTGCCAGCCTCTCGCTATAATCACACCCACCTCTGCCATTTGGCGAGCTCTACAATGTTCCACGCCCATGGCTTGGGCTTGTTGCACGGCCAACGTCTATCTTTACCCGCCGGCCTAACCCTTTGCCTTTGCATTGCGTCAACCAGGATGGGATGGGAAGACCCACCTCTGCCATTTGGCGAGCTCCACGATGTTCCATGCCCATGGCTTGGGCTTGTTGCATGGTCCGTGTACTGCCTGCGAGACAAAAATGAAAGGCAGGGCAAACAAGGAGATTAACGTATTAGCGCGGGTGGCTGTAAGCGATCCAGGAGTCAAAACGACGGCCACAGCCTGGCATTGCAACATTGCACGGCCCATCTATCTTTGAGGCGCCTCAAAACTAGATTGCACGTCCTATCTATCTTTGAGGCGCCTCAAAACTAGATTGCACGTCCTATCTATCTTTGAGGCGCCTCATTGCAACATTGCACGGCCTATCTATCGTCTGCAGCAGCAGAGGGGGGGCAGGCAAGAGGCATACGATTGGCTGGTAGTGTATCATCATGCACCTTGAACATCGCAGATAGATAGAAACACACGAAGCATGATACACCCACCCCGCATCACCCACCCCGCATCACCCACCCCGCATCACCCACCCCGCATCACCCACCCCGCATCACCCACCCCGCATCACCCACCCCGCATCACCCACCCCGCATCACCCACCCCGCATCACCCACCCCGCATCACCCACCCCGCATCACCCACCCCGCATCACCCACCCCGCATCACCCACCCCGCATCACCCACCCCGCACTACGCACCACGCACCAAGCACCAAGCAACGCACCAAGCACCAAGCAACGCACCAAGCACCAAGCAACGCACCAAGCACCAAGCAACGCACCAAGCACCAAGCAACGCACCAAGCACCAAGCAACGCACCAAGCACCAAGCAACGCACCAAGCACCAAGCAACGCACCAAGCACCAAGCAACGCACCAAGCACCAAGCAACGCACCAAGCACCAAGCAACGCACCAAGCACCAAGCAACGCACCAAGCACCAAGCAACGCACCAAGCACCAAGCAACGCACCAAGCACCAAGCAACGCACCAAGCACCAAGCAACGCACCAAGCACCAAGCAACGCACCAAGCACCAAGCAACGCACCAAGCACCAAGCAACGCACCAAGCACCAAGCAACGCACCAAGCACCAAGCAACGCACCAAGCACCAAGCAACGCACCAAGCACCAAGCAACGCACCAAGCACCAAGCAACGCACCAAGCACCAAGCAACGCACCAAGCACCAAGCAACGCACCAAGCACCAAGCAACGCACCAAGCACCAAGCAACGCACCAAGCACCAAGCAACGCACCAAGCACCAAGCAACGCACCAAGCACCAAGCAACGCACCAAGCACCAAGCAACGCACCAAGCACCAAGCAACGCACCAAGCACCAAGCAACGCACCAAGCACCAAGCAACGCACCAAGCACCAAGCAACGCACCAAGCACCAAGCAACGCACCAAGCACCAAGCAACGCACCAAGCACCAAGCAACGAACCAAGCACCAAGCAACGCACCAAGCACCAAGCAACGCACCAAGCACCAAGCAACGCACCAAGCACCAAGCAACGCACCAAGCACCAAGCAACGCACCAAGCACCAAGCAACGCACCAAGCACCAAGCAACGCACCAAGCACCAAGCAACGCACCAAGCACCAAGCAACGCACCAAGCACCAAGCAACGCACCAAGCACCAAGCAACGCACCAAGCACCAAGCAACGCACCAAGCACCAAGCAACGCACCAAGCACCAAGCAACGCACCAAGCACCAAGCAACGCACCTGCTGGTAGAGCGAGTAGAGCGCGAGGTACGTGAGGTCGGAGCACTGAGTGGAATTACCCGCGCCCGTCCCCGTATTGTGGCGAACCACGACCCACGCATCACGCATCACGCATCACCCATCACCCATCACCCATCACGCATCACCCATCACCCATCACCCATCACCCATCACGCATCACCCATCACCCATCACACCTGCTGGTAGAGCGAGTAGAGTGCGAGGCACGTGAGGTCGGAGAGTACTGCGTGGAGTTAGCCGCGCCCTCGGGAATGTGCACCGTCGCTGGGATCGCCGCAACCATGATTGAGAACCAACGCCAATAGGGATTTCCCACCGTCCTTGGGATTGCCGCGAACCACGAGGCACGCAACCAGGGAACCCACCAGCCACGCAACCAGGAAATCCACGCAAAATGCACCACGCACCACCCAACACAAACCACACAACACACCTGCTGGTAGAGCGAGTAGAGCGCGAGGCACGTGAGGTCGGAGTACTGAGTAGAGTTACCCGCGCCCTCGGGAATGTCCACCGTCCCCGGGATCGCCGCGTACCGAGCCGCGATGTAGAACCTATCAGGGTACGGAGGCAGCGCTGCAGTCGGCGGCTTCGACATTGCTGTCCCGGTGCAAGTTATAAGATTCTGCCTTTAGAAACAGCGATTAATTTCTATTAAAAACTTAGTTGGAACGGCTGAGACGGAGAGAGAGCTAACAAGAGTCGGCTATTGTGGATGCAACCCTTCCAGGCGTGACGGCTTTAATCACAAGCACAGCTTTAAGCTCCTGTAGCTGCTGCTGATTGTACAGGGTAAGCTGTACGAACACCGCCTAAACGTCCCCGCACGCAACATCCGTTCTCTCTCACACCTAGTGCGAAACGACTCGGCTTCGCTTCCGTGTCAACTACAACTAGACACGCGCAATCCACACGCGGCTGGTGAGCACAACCCACTGCACGCGCTACCTTCCTAGTCGGTGGTTCGGAACTCCGAGCCTGACGGTGCTGCACACGCGGCTAGTAATCGCATCTGCTGCTCAGCGCATCTACTACCGCGTACGCAGCAGGCAATCGAATCAGCCAATCGGCTCGTGAGCTGACCCAGTGTGATTTGCTCGCCTCGGCTCTATTCCGCTCGGCAATCCCGAGAATACCTCCTGTAGAGTCTCGAGCGAGCCTTTTGGCTGATGCTGGTTTGCCTGACAGTGTGCGACCAGGCCTAGTGCTCACTACAATGCGGTTGGGTATGATAAACGTATTTTAAAGAACGGTCATTGATGGTTGAGTCCGGTTTTTTAAATGAATATAGCTCTTATGGCTCTGGCTGGTAGGTTGCTCAGCTGGGACCAGTCTCATCAGCTGGTGTCAGGTGGTGAAGGGGGAGGTGAGAGCGGTTGTCCCGAATCCTGATACTCGCTATAAATTATAATAGTTAGAATACACCAATAGCATAAATCAGTATGCTACGTACGTTTTATCATGCTACAAAATACTACTTTTCACTGCCTCACCAGTGACGGGTTCGGATATATCAAACAATCTCAATCTACTGCAGTTGTTTGGGGCCAAATGTAGGCGTGAAGGTTTCGATGAGTGCGGTGATTGGCGATATGCTCCACGACTCATTGTGCACTGCCACTAGGTTGTCATCGTCCAGCTCATATACAGTGGAACCTGCGTTAGTAGCACAACAAAGCAACGGTGGTACAGTGTAAATAATCAAACATCACAAAATCAGAAACATGTGAATTGTCCACTTCCATGACAAAATAAACATGGATCATACCTGTGAATGGCTCTACTCTGGGCTGCCAAGGGAACTTGAGGTACCTGCAGGGATTCGTGACATCCAAAGAAGAAGTAGTAGAACAAAGGGAAGACACCAGCAAGGGGGTGGGGTGGAGGATGTTGCGGGGTGAGGAGGGCGGTGAACAGGAGAGCAAGGAATGTGACAGGTGGAGAGTGGGTGCAAAGAGGAGGGAGAGGAGAAAGCAGGAAGAACGGTGTGTTTTTGGGCCTAAAGAATTTACAGTAACAGACATAACAAGGCATGAGACCATGCTACCCCCTAAAATTTACCCGCCAAGCCGCCACGTGGCAGTGACTGACTTGTCGGAGGTGACCGCGATGGAGAGAAGCTCCTGCTTAGAGAATGCCGGGTCGAAGAGAATGCTCACAGCAGCCAGGTAGCGCGCCAGTCCGGATGTGTCATTCGTCGGATCCTTGAACCTGCAATGGGGAGGCTTGTATGGAGTACAGATTTGTGGGAGGTGACTACTCCTGCTTGGAGAATGCGGGGTCAAAAAGCACACCCACAGCAGCCAGGTAGCGCGCCAGCCCAGAGGTGTCATTGGTTGGATCCTTGAACCTGCAATGGGGAGGCTTGTATGGAGTACAGCTTTGTATGAGGTGACTACTCTTGCTTGGAGAACGCCGGGTCGGAGAGCACACCCACAGCAGCAAGCAAGGTAGCGCGCCAGCCCAGAGGTGTCATTGGTTGGATCCTTGAACCTGCAACGGGGAGGCTTGTATGGAGGACAGATTTAGATTTTCATGAGTTTGCCTGGAAGCGATGTGGGGTGAGGCGCATGGTTTATGAGGAAGAAACACTAAAGTTGGATAAGGTTTCACATGCTGAAGTGGAGCGATTCGTTAGGAGCAGGGCATTTCATCCGTTATAGCACACTGCATCAATGAATATGGAAAGAGAGGGGTGCTATAAACGAAAGTAATGTTCGTCCAATTGGCATCATGCAGCTTTGCATTGTAATATCAGGCTGTTACAATGCGCATTCGTTTCAATCATATAATTTCCCTACGCAGCCATTCTGCCACCGTCAGTTCTGGGTAGATAGTACAGGTAATATAAGAAATCTGCGCACCTGCAGTCATCACGATAAATAGAGGCTGTGAGGTCCCCTGTAACGAAGTACTGGCCCTCGCTAATGTCACGTGCGATAATATCCTGCCATCAAAATCGTGCCAGCGATGTATTATCATGGTAAGCTCTTGCTGACCATGATGTTTCACTGAGAGAGGAGCACTGTTCACACTCCATTGACCACACATTTCGATCACTCGATCCGATCCGACGATCAATGCTAGTGGTAAGCTCATGCTGAGCAAGCTGTTTCACTGCGGGAGGAGCACTGTTGACACTCCATTGAATGCACACCTAGTTCACTCAATTCAATCATACGCGTTTCAGTCACACCTTCACTTGCTCGACAGAGAGACCTCGCTGTTTCCCGTCCCCCCCTGCTGTTGCGGCCGCTGCTCCTCTTTCGCCCGCGCATTGCGCCGCGATCACCGCTGACAGCCCGATTAAAGCCGCGCGCCGAGTTGTGACACTCGCAGTCTCAATGACGGCCCGAGAGGGACTGGCGCACGATATCTCATTCCCTGGTATCACTGGATCAAAGCTAGCGGGAGTTGCGGTGGAGGGAGTTTGCGCGCTGGAAGAATGGCTGCTAGAGGCGGTAATGGATGGTCGCGAGAAGGTGAGGCGCGACGAAAGGACGGAGCGCGGAAGTGTGACACGAGGTTCACAGGGGAATGGAGGAGACGGGAGAAGAGCGGCGGAATCAACGCGTAGAGAGGCCATTGGAGGAGATATGTAGCCAGTCTGTGTCAGTCTTCGTGCTGCGGAGAGGCTTGCCGGATGGAATCTATGAAGCAAAACGAAGCACTGGGAATGCCGAATGGATGGATGGATTGATGTCTGGCATCCTCGTTTTCGAGTTCTCTCATTTTTTGTCGAGTTAGTTTTATTTTGCTGTTGGCGATGAGATGCACCGCCCAATAACGTGCTGCCCTGCACATTCAGCCATTTTATATTTCCGAAGGTGACTCTGAATTCACCTCAACTTAAAAACGGCTTTCATGGTACGTGGCACGAATCTACATGTCAAAGATACGCGGACATGATTGTTTGATGAAGAAAATTCAGACAAAACAGCTTCACTTGACGTCGAGGCTGTAGCCGCATGAAGGTAATCTGGCAGTGCAAAAACGAAACAAGGAGCAAAAGGGTATTACACATTGCACATAAGGACATCCCATTTATCTATTCGATGCGCAATCCTATTCCCGTCTTTGCCCAATCCGCAATCTCATCATGCATCACTCTCCTCCCCAGCATGCTTGGCATTAGACAGTGGTCTAGTTACTCGTAATACTAGAGACCTCGGTTGCCATTTCGCCATGTCATCATGCCATGTTTACCCCTTCTCCCCTCACCCTTTCCTCCCCCCTCCTGTACCCCCGGCCCCTCCCCTTTCACGCGTTCAGCTCACCTGTGTATGCTTGATCCTTGAACACAAGCAGGCTGCGAGGGGGTAGAGCCACACTCTCCCCCTCAACACATCAGAACCAGGCAGCTCTAGAGCTGCTACTATTGGCTAAGGTAAGTACACGCTCTCACCACACCCTCTCACCTGTGTAAACTTGATCCTTGAACACAAGCAGGCTGCGAGGGGGCAGAGCCACACTCTCCCTCGTCACCACTGCATCGCCATACATACCCCACTCGCCTGCCTCTCCCCACACCCAGCTCACCTGTGTATGCTTGATCCTTGAACACGAGCAGGCTTCGAGGAGGCAGAGCCACACTCTCCCTCGTCACCACTGCATCGCCATACATACCCCACTCGCCTGCCTCTCCCCACACCCAGCTCACCTGTGTATGCTTGATCCTTGAACACGAGCAGGCTTCGAGGAGGCAGAGCCACACTCTCCCTCGTCACCACTGCATCGCCATACATACCCCACTCGCCTGCCTCTCCCCACACCCAGCTCACCTGTGTATGCTTGATCCTTGAACACGAGCAGGCTTCGAGGAGGCAGAGCCACACTCTCCCTCGTCACCACTGCATCGCCATACATACCCCACTCGCCTGCCTCTTCTCGTCCCATTTCATCCTTCCCATCTCCTGCCCTCACAGCTCCACCCTCTCTATCCACAGAGGCGCCCCCGCCCGCCTCTCTGCGTTCCTCCAGCAGCCTCTGGTGGGGAGAGAACGCCATGGTTCCAGGCAGGCCGAGAGAGAGTATGGCCACACAGGGGAAGTAGGCCGGGCCGTCCTGGTGTGGCTGGGGGAGGTGAGAAAGAGGGGGAGAGAGGGCAGCGGAGGGTGGGAGACCAGGAAGAGGGAAAAGGTGTGGAAATGCTTAGAGGGAAGCCGGAAGAGAGGAGGGGACGCAGGGGAAGCAGATTGAAGAGTCCATCTTGAGTATTGACCAATGACCAGCACATGCATGATAACGAAGGGGATGATATGGTACTCACACCACTGGCACTCCACTCACACCACTGGCACTCCACTCACCATCATGCCCTGGCCCGCCTGGTACTCGTTCACGAGCACGAGGTTGATGGCTGAGAGGGGGGAGAATCACTTTCAGAGCACACTACTGGCCAGAAATGAGGAAGTAGGCTTATTGAACCACTCCACTCACCATGATGCCCTGTCCCACCCACCTGGTACTCTTTCACGAGCACGTGGTTGACGGGGGAGGGGGACGATAGGATACTCACTCCTCTCACATCCCTAGCACTCCACTCACACTCTTGTCACTCCACTCACCATGATGCCCTGCCCTTCTTGATACTCATTCACGAGCACGTGGTTGATGGGGGAGGGGAAGACGCTGCTGAGGTCAGCTGAGAGGCGAGATGTGAAGCTCTGCAGCCATTGTGGCACTGATTGTGATAAGGCATTGGGAGGTGGGAGAGGATGCGGGGATGGCCGGGTTGATAGGGCAGGGATGGCGGGCTGATAGGGCAGGGATGGCGGGCTGATAGGGCAGGGATGGCGGGCTGATAGGGCATGCAGGGACGATATGTGAAGTGCTGCAGCCATTGTGGCACAGACTGAGACAAGACATAGGTAGCGCACGCAAGGTTGCCTACTTTTGAGGCGCCTCAAAAGGGGACGAGATGTGAAGTGCTGCAGCCATTGTGGCACAGACCCAGATTGAGACAAGACATAGGTAGCGCACGAAAGGTTGACTGGATGTGAGATGGGAGGTAAGTTGTGAGCTGGATGGAAAAGGAAGAACGATACGAAGAATGACAAGGTCATATTCACACCCACCCAGTCGCAATCACAACCACCCAGTTATTACTATCACACACACCCAGTTATAATCACACTCACCCAGTTATAATCACACTCACACGGTTGAGCTATGAGCCCCTTATCATGCACCATGCCGCCTGCAGACATAAGGACACATGGAGAGAGATAATGGACTTAAGTTAACCCTACTAAGGAGTTTTCTCTTAAGACTATGGAAAAAGAAACTCAACAACCCTGCAGCAGACACAAGTCGGCAAGTATTCATCCCATGCCCTTTTTCCCTTACACCCACCCAACCCATTCCTAGCCGCTCACCCCAGTTCTGCAATCTTCTGCCAGTGACATTCTTCCACTTCGTGACTGGTGCTGACGCAACCTGATGGCCGGGATGACGTGGCGGAACGCCAGTGTCAGCGTGTAAACACGAAAGTGAAAGACAGCAGACGTAAAATTGCAATTGTGAATCTGCTCACCTGTGACATCAGCAGTTGCTCTTCCTGCTTCGTAAGGTACTCCGGGACCACGTATACGGAGGACACTCGACCTACGCGAAACGGCTCCAAGACTTGGCACCGAATCTGCTGCCGAACCAGCTCTGACTGCTGATTCAGCCTCGGCGAATCTGTTGCGTCATCCGAACGTAACCGAGCGGAGCAAGATATCTCATCCATTCAAACCAGTAATGAATGAAACGCTTCGACAGCAAAAAGCGAACCCAGAATAGGAGGCTCGCGATTACGAGATTCCTAACGCGATGTACTGGAAAGCGATTGGTAGTGACAGAAGCGGGGAATAGAAAATAATTTCAGGGAGTGTCGGAATCCTGATCACCCTGAAATTCTGAATATTTTATGTGTACGCGACATGAAACACCTTCGATAAACGTGTAGCAAGAGCGAAAGGGCCATAACATTTTCCAGTCGTATTCGTCTACGGTTTCAAACTAACCTATCTCCTAGAATACATTTTCTCTTCCTTCATGCACGCCACTCCTTAGCAGCATGTAGGTTGATATGAGAATACCAGTTAGGGTAACGACGGATCCATCTACTAGATGTAAAATCATTGTAATGCACATGCCAATGGCTCATAACACCAGTGCAATGTGCACAAGGAAAATGGTTCCCAAACAAACATGGCTGAGGTCATCTATCGATAGAATCCCTCGACCCAAATTTCACTTTGGTATATCACTACCTCGTTAGAAGCCCTAGTCTTGGAACATGAGAGCAACGCCCACCATGGTAAGCCAAACCGAGAAGGCCACCCAGAAATAAGGGCTCTTCTCCCACCTGGGCGGCTTAAACGACATGAGGTCATCCATATAGTCCCTCGACCCAGAGTTTTTCAGCTTCTTGATGCGCTTGGGCCGTCTCTCCGTCACCATCTGACTCCACGTGCGCCCAGAACTGGTGGAAGTTTGGGAGGGGATGGGGGGTGGGATTGGCACTTGTCACGAAAGACATATGAACATGAGGTCATCCATATAGTCCCTCGACCCAGAGTTTTTCAGCTTCTTGATGCGCTTGGGCCGTCTCTCAGTCACCATCTGACTCCACGTGCGCCCAGAGCTGGGGAAACAAGAGGTGGGGGGAGGAGTGTTGGGAGGGGGGCGGGGAACTTTTTTGTGTGGAGAAATGTGAGCAGACCTTGGGTTGTCTCTCAGTCACCATCTGACTCCACGTGCGCCCAGAGCTGGGGAAACAAGAGGTGGGGGGAGGAGTGTTGGGAGGGGGGCGGGGAACTTTTTTGTGAAGAAGTGTGAGCAGAGCTTGGGTTGTCTCTCAGTCACCATCTGAATCCACGTGCGCCCAGAGCTGGGGAAACAAGAGGTGGGGGGAGGAGTGTTGGGAGGGGGGCGGGGAACTTTTTTGTGAAGAAGTGTGAGCAGAGCTTGGGTTGTCTCTCAGTCACCATCTGAATCCACGTGCGCCCAGAGCTGGGGAAACAAGAGGTGGGGGGAGGAGTGTTGGGAGGGGGGCGGGGAACTTTTTTGTGAAGAAGTGTGAGCAGAGCTTGGGTTGTCTCTCAGTCACCATCTGAATCCACGTGCGCCCAGAGCTGGGGAAACAAGAGGTGGGGAGAGGAGTGTTGGGAGGGGGGCGGGGAACTTTTTTGTGAAGAAGTGTGAGCAGAGCTTGGGTTGTCTCTCAGTCACCATCTGAATCCACGTGCGCCCAGAGCTGGGGAAACAAGAGGTGGGGGGAGGAGTGTTGGGAGGGGGGCGGGGAACTTTTTTGTGAAGAAGTGTGAGCAGAGCTTGGGTTGTCTCTCAGTCACCATCTGAATCCACGTGCGCCCAGAGCTGGGGAAACAAGAGGTGGGGGGAGGAGTGTTGGGAGGGGGGCGGGGAACTTTTTTGTGAAGAAGTGTGAGCAGAGCTTGGGTTGTCTCTCAGTCACCATCTGAATCCACGTGCGCCCAGAGCTGGGGAAACAAGAGGTGGGGGGAGGAGTGTTGGGAGGGGGGCGGGGAACTTTTTTGTGAAGAAGTGTGAGCAGAGCTTGGGTTGTCTCTCAGTCACCATCTGAATCCACGTGCGCCCAGAGCTGGGGAAACAAGAGGTGGGGGGAGGAGTGTTGGGAGGGGGGCGGGGAACTTTTTTGTGAAGAAGTGTGAGCAGAGCTTGGGTTGTCTCTCAGTCACCATCTGACTCCACGTGCGCCCAGAGCTGGGAGAGAGAGGTGGGAGAAGGTGGTTTGGGGATGGGGAATTCGTGGGTTGAAGCTTTCAGTTCATCCATGGGTTGAACGTCGACCGTCTCTCAGTCACCATCTGACTCCCACGTGCGCCCAGAGCTGGTGGGGAGAGGGCAGTGGAGGGTTTGGAGGGGAGGGCAGGAGAAGAAATTGTAAGCGGAAGAGTGTAGGTAGGGCTTGGCCCGTCTCTCTGTCACCATCTGACTCCCCGTGCGCCCAGAGCTGGGGGGGAGAGGTTAGGGTGGGGGGGGTGGCAGGGTTGGGGAGGGAAAGGAGGCAGTCAGAAGCTGGGTTGGCACTTGTAAGAGGAGAGGTGTAGGCAGAGGGCGTGAGGTGCAGAGGGTTTGAATGTGGTCATCCAGATAGTCTCTTAGCTACCCACTACTAACACTTGCTCTTACTTTCACTCGGCCCCCGCACTTCTCTCACTTCCACCAGATCCGCACCTGCTGTTGTCCTTGTCCAAAATGGGCACTTCCTGGATCTCATGGGGAGACAGCTTCAGCTTAGGCGCCTCTGCAATAGCGCATGTTAGCAGCCTGCTTGCCTATTCCCCCCCCACCCACCCACCCACCCCACGCTTCCTCACTCCATCCTACCCCCACCTGTTGTTGTCCTCGAGAATGGGCACTTTCAGGATCTCATACGGAGACAGCTTCAGCTTGGGCGCCTCTGCGATGCACTGCATGTCTGCAGGCCGCTTGCAACCCACTCAACTCACCCCCAATCTACTCTTTCTCTCTCCCTCACTCAACCGCCACTCTGCGCACTCTTCCTCCCTTCCTCCTGCCTGCGTATTCCATTCTTCCTCGCCTGTTGTTATCCTTGTCCAATATGGGCACTTTCAGAATCTCAAGACACCCAATCCCTACCTTTTCTCCGTCGCTCTACACCTCAAACCCCACCTGCACCTCCTCTCTCCTTCATTCACCCCTCACCTGTTGTTGTCCTTGTCGAGAATCGGCACTTTGAGGATCTCATCGGGGGACAGCTTCAGCTTGGGCGCCTCTGCTATGTAGCGCATGTTGGCAGCCTGCTTGCCTACTCACCCTCCACCCACCCACCCCACGATTCCTCTTACCGCCCTCTACCCACCTTTTGTTGTCCTTGTCGAGAATCGGCACTTTGAGGATCTCATCGGGGGACAGCTTCAGCTTGGGCGCCTCTGCGATGCACTGCATGTCTGCAGGCCGCTTGCAACCCACTCAACTCACCCCCAATCTACTCTTTCTCTCTCCCTCACTCAACCGCCACTCTGCGCACTCTTCCTCCCTTCCTCCTGCCTGCGTATTCCATTCTTCCTCGCCTGTTGTTATCCTTGTCCAATATGGGCACTTTCAGAATCTCAAGACACCCAATCCCTACCTTTTCTCCGTCGCTCTACACCTCAAACCCCACCTGCACCTCCTCTCTCCTTCATTCACCCCTCACCTGTTGTTGTCCTTGTCGAGAATCGGCACTTTGAGGATCTCATCGGGGGACAGCTTCAGCTTGGGCGCCTCTGCTATGTAGCGCATGTTGGCAGCCTGCTTGCCTACTCACCCTCCACCCACCCACCCCACGATTCCTCTTACCGCCCTCTACCCACCTTTTGTTGTCCTTGTCGAGAATCGGCACTTTGAGGATCTCATCGGGGGACAGCTTCAGCTTGGGCGCCTCTGCTATGTAGCGCATGTTGGCAGCCTGCTTGCCTACTCACCCTCCACCCACCCACCCCACGATTCCTCTTACCGCCCTCTACCCACCTTTTGTTGTCCTTGTCGAGAATCGGCACTTTGAGGATCTCATCGGGGGACAGCTTCAGCTTGGGCGCCTCTGCTATGTAGCGCATGTTGGCAGCCTGCTTGCCTACTCACCCTCCACCCACCCACCCCACGATTCCTCTTACCGCCCTCTACCCACCTTTTGTTGTCCTTGTCGAGAATCGGCACTTTGAGGATCTCATCGGGGGACAGCTTCAGCTTGGGCGCCTCTGCTATGTAGCGCATGTTGGCAGCCTGCGCGCGGATGGCGGGCATGGGGTGGTTGCTCTCCAGCTTGCGGTAGAGCGCCAAGCATTCAGGCCGCTGCCCGTTGGCATCGTAGGCCATGGCGAGCCAGAGCTGGATCTGGATGGAATCAGCAGGGCAGAAGGGTGGACAAGAGGCGGGGAAGGAGGAGGGGAGGGGGGCATTGGATTCGACTGAGAAGGCACCAGGTATGGGGTGGTTGCTCTCCAGCTTGCGATACAGCGCCAGGCACTCTGGGCGCTGCCCATTGGCGTCATAAGCCATTGCCAGCCAGAGTTGGATCTGGATAAGGGGAGCAGGGAGGAGTGGGGGAGAAGGAGGCGGGCATGGGGTGGTTGCTCTCCAGCTTGCGATACAGCGCTAGACACTCTGGCCTCTGCCCGTTGCCATCATACGCCATTGCGAGCCAGAGTTGAATCTGAGGGAGCGGGAGGGGGGATGGGGAACGGGGGCAGGGGGAGGGTGGCTCTGCCCGTTGGCGTCAACGGGCAGCCAGAGTTGGATCTGCACGGGGAGGGGGAGAAGGGATGGGGAGGGTGGGGGAGACGGTGATAAGGCGTGTTAGAAACAGGGAACTTTTGAGTAGACTCACAGGCACTCTGGCCTGTGCAATGTGCGCTGCAGAAGGGAGCACACAGCCTACCTCGCCTGCGAGCTTCGATGTGAACTCCACGTTTCCCAGCGCCTGCTTGAGGATCGATCGCCACGCTCTTGTCCAGTTCCTGGAGCGGGCCAGGCAATATGCATTTAACACAAACAGGAACTGACCAACCTCTCCTGCGAGCTTCGATGTGAACTCCACGTTTCCCAGCGCCTGCTTGAGGATCGATCGCCACGCTCTTGTCCAGTTCCTGGAGCGGGCCAGGCAATATGCATTTAACACAAACAGGAACTGACCAACCTCTCCTGCGAGCTTCGATGTGAACTCCACGTTTCCCAGCGCCTGTTCGAGGATTGCCACGCTCTTGTCGTACACGCCGCGCCCGTACGCCTGCTGTCCGAACGCGAACAGCTCCGCCGCCTCGCGCCGCTTCTCCGCCTGCTCCTGCGCCCGCTTCGCCAGCAGCTCCCGCAACTTCTCCGCCTTCCGCTCCGCGCGCTGCTCCGCGGTCAACCCGTCTTCCGCAACCTCCGCCGATCCTCCCGCTCCGCCCGCTCCTCCCCCTCCTCCTGCAGCAGCAGCGGCGGCAGAAGCGGCAGCGGCTCGTCTTGCTTCTTCTTCGGCCTCGTCTAGCGCTTTCTCCAGAGCCTTGCGCTCTCTAAGAATGGCTTTAAGCTCCTCGATTTCGTCCATTTTCTGTTGACCCTCCTCGCCTTCCCAGAAGCTTCCTTCAGTTTCATCGTCCTCCTGGTTTCCTTTCGAATCTCGTCGATTAGCTCGAGCAGTCACGCGGCGCGATCCTGTTGTTCCTCTACCGTCCGGATATCGTAGTTTATCATTTCTATTAGAACAAACTCCTGGTTGTGAAGGAGCTAATAAAGTCTTGCAGCGTGCAGGGAGGAATGCCGGAACTGACGAGGGATTCGCGAGAATTGAGGAGGATTGTAACGAGAATGTAGGACTCGGTTTCACTGTAAGATGGGAGAATGCTGTGACAGTCGCCATTGCGGAAACAGCACTATAAAGGGGATGAAATGCGACCAAACCGCTAGGCTCGACGAAGGCAGACAAAACAATTAGCCCGACTTAGGTGCCGCGAATCAAGTGCCTGATTTCACAGATTTGCATCCAAAAAGTCGTCGCCATTCACGCATTCAGCACAGCCAGCTGGACTTGCTACTAACCACTGGTGCTACACTTGAATATCCATTTTTCCAAGACTGGACACTAAAACTTGTCAGAGCAGAGCTACTAAATTCCTCGTCCAATGGCGGTACTATGGAAGGCTACTAAGTTTACCAGGTGTAGGAGGTAGGTCTGAATTGCGGTGTGGAGTGGAGAGCATTGCGGATTCAAGTATCTGTTCTGCCACCTTTCCAGCTCCATCAATCGCAGCAGTTCCCGCTTTTGTTTTGTGCCCTCGAGAGCCACGAACTTTTTCCGCGTGGCGGGATTCAGAAGTGATCATTGCTTTGTGGCCCTTGATTGTGTACACGCTAACGTTTCACTCAGCTGTGTAAGAAATCGATTCCGACTGTACAATCCTCATATTCGATACTGTAAAAGTGCGTGCACGATTGGACCTCAGAAATCACCAACCCATCGATGGCTACCTCTTTCCATGTACAATCACTTTCTTTCGGGTCAAAACTGGCAACCTTGTCGTGGACATAAGTTAGAGTAGCAGGTCGTTATTTTCTCCCGAGGCGGTTATTTTCGGTTCGTTCTATTCGTTACCACAACCACCACCACATCTTAGGAGCCAGCCAGTTCCCGTAATTCCGCGGCCATAGGGACGCCCCGCGGCTTGGGAGTTACTGCAACTTCCAGCTCCAAAATCTCGACGCAGAGATTCGATTCGAGGAAGAATAGGAGACAGTACGTACTGTGCAATGCGCAGTACAGTTCTCGCTTGCCTTGAGGTGAACTTCTGCAGACAGTCGAGTCAACTGCTGTAGTCGCAACTACTGCCAAACTTAGCGACGCAGGCGGCTTGTGGTATGACGTATTATTATCATCATTGCTGCTACGTCGTCGAGGCAAGAAACGTACTTTCCTTTCGCAGTTAGAGTCGTCCACCCACTTCGCCACAGCTTCCGCCAACCATGGAATCATGTGCGGCTGGGCACGCAGTCGTACTAGTGGCATGCCATCATATGATGTGCCTGTCCTGGGGAATCCGAGTTGGAAACATTGGATGTGTACTATCAGCGGCACTGAAGGGATGACGTAGGCGGTGTTGTTCCCGCACTGCACAATGGAGGTGCGAAGGGTCGCTGTTTGTGATTACAACGGGGGCTGACCAGGAAGCGAAAGGGAGGTAGTATGTTGGGGCGAGGCAGTTACACTTCCACTGGCAGTAAGAGACATTCTTCTCTATCCACAACCAGGGAGCTCCGCATACTTAAGGTTCTTTTCAGCCTTGAGTTGATGAAAAACGTTTTACAGTTGAGTTAGGGAACTAGAGCTCCGAGAGTGTGCATGTAGTACATACTAGCGTCGTCTTTTCATGAACCGCGCAGGTCTTCCAACCAAGTACTAGTTCCAGGCACTCTGCAGCAACGCGAAGCTTTGAACACTTAGTTGAAGGGCCATAACAACGTGGAGCTTTGAACAGCATGGGCGAAATGATACCAACCTTGACAAGTCCATTCTTTCCCCGTTGTATCGCCAAACAATGGATAATCGTCCTCCTCATGCTTCTCAATTGCACCCAACGGGGCGAAGGTGGCAAACCAGCTCCCAAACCGGCCATGGGTCCAGGAAGGAGAGAGCTGAATGGCATTTCCAATGTCATTGTGGGTGCTAGGAAGTTCACGATCTTTATGATCCACTTCAAACGAACAGGTAAACAAAATCTTGAATTACTCACTGCTAAGCTTCACGCAGCATCATGTGTGCATGTTTGAACAAGTGGTTTGGTTGAAACCTGATTGTCCATCACCTTGCTTATGCTGGCGTTCGTATTCGTACCTCTTCAGGACTTGACCCGATGATTGCAAGGTATGCGGATCGACAGCCTATCACCTTCCTGCTACCTCCAGACGCCGCGTTTAACGCTCTCCCGGCTAACATCCGCAGCCAACTAACGGGCGCGAAGCTAGTGAAGCTGATTCAGTTCCACATGCTTCTGGAGAAGTGGACGTTTGCCTTCTTCAGCGAGCGAACTTTAAATTCTAGGCTCCGCTCGTTCCGTACGGTTCTTGGGCTTTACATGTTTTTTCTCCCGCCGCAACCGGGAAGCAATGCGGTGACTGTGAATTCTGGTAGGTCCTTGCATGTTGGCACTCCAGGCCAGGTGATTGGTGGTGACATTGGGGGAAGGGATAGATATCTTCGATTTATAGCGCAGAGATTAAATAGGATCATTATTCCTCCGGGGGTGTTAGAAATTAAGAGATTCCGGCGTTATTTGTCCACCGTTCAGAAATTTCATCAGGGCCATGGTCAAGAACGTCACTTGCTTCACCGCTGATTTGGACTGTTGCGAACCAGACAAAATTGCACGAAACAAAATGACAGGCGGCGAGCTACCAGAAGGCTGACGACTATGCCAGGCTACTCCACGCGAGTAACTCCTAATAGTAGTAGCAAGGTTCACCGTCCATGATGAACTAAATCTGCCGCCATGATGTGAAAGAAGCCAGCTGAGGAAAAGAACGATCCTTGTGCTCTTAGGTTGCGATTCCAGTCAAATGTGCCACATCGAGCAACATTCCCAACGGAGGCTCACTCATACCGCATTTTCCCTCAAATGGAAATACATGTTTCCCACTCGATCCTCTCTTGACGTTCTAACGGGGCTTCTTGTGGTGGATCTTAGAAGTGTAAGGGAGGTGTTCCTAGTGCGAAAAGAACACGGTACGTAACCAGCCCCAACGCGGTTGGCTATGACGACCTCTCGCTGTCGCATGGCCAACTTCAAACGAAGATTCCTGATGGAGGAAAAGCGCAAGCAAATTGGGACCACCATCCAACCAGCGCCCAGCCAAAGCCCGCAATTGGTCAGCTCCCCCGATAACCAATCGTCCCATCGCCAGCACAGCCGTCCGATTCGCTGACCTCGAACTTTTCCCACAGGCCAGGACATGAAGAGCCGTGGATGCGAGCATGAGTCACCCGTTGACACGTCATGCCTGTCATCCTGTTCTCTGATTTCTAGTCCTGGCCAGGAATTGAACCAGACTACGGGACTGACGACAAGGCGGGTTATGGGAATGAGGAAGAGCACATGAATATTTTGAGGATTCCTTTCATTCCTCTTCCTCTTTCAGCTTGAATCTCCTCCGTTCGCCTTTGGTTGGAGGAGCATAACTTTCCAGCCACTCCCACCTTCCTGACGCACATTTATTTTTGACTGTGTTGCTCTACTAGCCGAGCAAAACGTGTGCACCACAGGAGAGTGGACGTGTGCTTCCTTCTAGGCTCGTTATACTTCAATATTGGGCGTAAGCGCGGGACCAAGCTGTAGGCCAGTTGCGAGATCAGGCCGTCTCGATTTCTTTCTCGCATTTATTATAATACCCATAAATTCCCAATGGCCACCTTAGCTGCTGTCCCGACCCTGCTGCCAGTCAAATCTCTACGCACAGTCTCTCGTTGCTCAGTGTCTGCGTGCTCAACCTCCAATGCCAGAGCGCCAGCTGGCAACGTCCAACAAAAGCCTTGTTCCCCCTTCAAGTCTTTGGAAAGCAGCATTGCACGAGCCCAGACGATTATACCTTTTGGCGGACCTAATTCACGAAGCAGAAATGTTTCCGTGCAAAGCTCCTACCGAATATCGGGAGGGAGAACAGAATGTGGCTCGTCCATTGAAGATGTTCGGCTGACTGAGAAAGGGAAGCGAGCAGCATCGACCGGCAGCCGTTCCCAACAGAGATTCCCGCAATGGCCGTCAATTCCATCTGGTCTTTTCCCATCAGCTTTAGTTCAGTCGCATTCCCTGGTCGCGTCTGCCTCCCTTGCAGCAGCAGTAGGTGCATTGTCTCTTTCCTTGCTAGGCCTTGCCTCGCCAGAAACCGCTGCAGCAGCAGCGACAGCTGACGTCATCGCCGCTTCCGCTGCCGTCCCAGCTGACGTCGGCAGCATCTTGGATCTCGCCGAATTCCAGGCTGGATTCGCTTCGGTGAGTGCAGCCAGATTTCACAACAATCATGAACAGTTTTCCGATGGAGTAACAAGAGAGGGAGAATAAAAAAGGATGTGTACAATTCCTCTCGCCTTTTGTTTCTGATGGCTTCTTCCACTCATTTTGCCTCCATTTGCGGACCGTCCTTCTAATTGTTCTGGGGGTTCTGTCCGTCTGGGTTACCCTGTCCGTCATTGTGCTATCAGGCCTTCCTCCTGGTCCTCTTCTCTGAAATCGGTGACAAGACGTTCTTCATCGCGGTAAGATGGCGACCAGAATTTCAGCCAGGCTATCTGTCAACCGCCCCTACGAATAACCACCATTTCGAGACCTCGCTTTGCCAACCCGAATGGGCAAACAGAATGAACTCGCAAGAATGTGCGGTTTCAACTGTCCATTTCCCCCACTGTGTTCCCCTTCAGGCAGTGCTGGCCACAAGGCGTCCCAATCTGGAGGTCTTCGCAGGCACCTTTGGCGCCCTCGCGTGAGTGTGGTGTAATGTAGTTGGGTGTAGTGTAGTGTAGTGTCTTTGTTTCTTTGTGGACTCAACATGCAACTCGCAGGCACCTTTGGTGCCCTCGCGTGAGTACAGTGAGTGTATCTTTGTTGACTTGGCACCTTTGGTTCCTGCGAGTCATGACTCAGCGTCATGACTGTCCTGTCTATGGCGCTGGGCCGAAACTTCCATTAGCAGACGAGCTCCTTCTCCGTAATCCTCACGTCTCCCCCTTTTCTCCCCTTTCTCCTTGCTTCTCTCATCCCTCCTACTCGCTATTCCCCCCTGTGCCCCTCTCAGCGTCATGACTGTCCTGTCGGTGGCTCTGGGTCGAATCTTCCATTACGCAGACGAGCTCCTTCCTGCGTAAGGTTCTCCTGTCCGCTCTATCTCAGTTGTTGTTACATACTTTCACAATATTGTAGCATCCATCACAACACATCCATTCAACAAAACGCTCGATTGATGTCACTCGATTGCTCGATAGCTATATGCCATGTCACCCAGTTCCTTTCTTATAATCACAAAGACACTCTGTGTTTCCTTGTTCCCTGCTGCAGCTTCGGCTCATTTGACTTCCCTCTGGATGATGTCGCCTCTGTGGTTCTCCTGGTAATCCTCTCCCTGCAGTGCTGCTCACGAGTATTCTGCTACTTTGTTCTGCATCTTGGGTCGATTCTAAGAACTCCTTGACCCGTTTGATTTTCCTCGGATACATGGCACCTCCATGGATCACCTGATAAACCTCTGAGGCTGCTCTGATGGGACAATGATTTGATCCCTTCTCCCCTCCCTTCCATCCCTTGTCCCTCTCCCTCCTTCCCCCCCTTCCTCCCCTCCCCTCCTCCCCTTCCCGCCCCCCTCGCCTCCCTACTTTTCCACAGCTCTTTTTCGGCCTCTCCACTTTGAGGGACGCAGCAGGCATGGACTCCAAGGCGGAGGAGGAGCAGCAGGAGGTGAGAAACGGTGCAGATGGGTGAGAAATGGTGATGAGACGAAAAGGATTGGTGATAAGGCGAGAAAGAATGGTGATAATGCACGGAAGGAATGGTGGTAAGACGGGAAGGATTGCTGATTATACAGGAAGGAGTGGTGATAAGACAGGAACAAATGGTGATTACACAGGAAAGAATGGTGGTAAGATGGGCTGAACGCAGCAGAGTTACAGTAGGGGGCATCTCCGTGGCACTGTGCTACACTGCTAACCGTACTCACGTGTAATGAGGTTATTTTTGAGACGTCTCAAGAGTTACAGTAGGGGGCATCTCCCTGGCACTGTGCTACATTTCTAACCGTACTCCATTCCTCTCCACTGCTCCGTTGCTCTGACCTCCTCATCCCCCCATCCCACCAGGCGGAGAAGGCAGTGGCAGGGCTGAACGCAGCAGAGGGCACAGAGGGCGGCATCTCCCTGGCAGTGTGCTCGGCACGCTTCTAAACCGCACTCCACTCTTCTCCACTGCTCGCATTCCCCCATCCCACCAGGCGGAGAAGGCAGTAGCAGGGCTGAACGCAGCAGAGGGCACAGAGGGCGGCATCTCCCTGGCAGTGCTGGCTTCGGTGTTTGCTCTGGTGTTCACAGCCGAGTGGGGCGACAAATCATTCTTCTCCACCATCGGTGAGCCTACTTGCCCGTTCACACAGGAGAATTGGGGGGGACGGGGGGGGGGGGGGGGGGGAGGGGGAAGTGGGGGATGGGGAGGAGGGCAGCTTGCATCTCTCTGGCAGTGCTGGCATCGGTGTTTGCTCTGGTGTTCACAGCCGAGTGGGGCGACAAATCATTCTTCTCCACCATTGGTGAGCCTACTTGCCCGTTCACACAGGAAAATTGGGGGGGACAGGGGGGGGGGGGAGGAAGTGGGGGATGAGGGGGGATGGGGAGGAGGGCAGCTTGCATCTCTCTGGCAGTGCTGGCGTCGGTGTTCGCTCTGGTGTTCACAGCTGATTGGGGTGACAAATCTTTCTTTTCCACTATCAGTGAGCTGACTTCCCTATTCAGACTTTCATCTATAAACGAGCCCACTACGCATGTCAACCCATGCTTCCCTCCCCATCACCGCAATCTCCTTTCTTCCATGCCTCGCCAATTTCCCCTCCCTGCCTCTCCTCATGCCCCTCCCTCCCTACCCCTTCCCATACCCCACCCTCCCTCCTTCCCTGCCCAACTCTACCGCCCCTTGTTTCCCTTCCGCACTCAACCACCTCTGCCGCTCCTCTCCTCATACCCTTCCCTGCCTCCTCCCTTCCCCCTCTCTGCACCTCTCCCCATCAGCCCTGGCGGCAGCATCATCCCCAGCAGGAGTGGTCACTGGAGCCGTGGCGGCTCATGGGGTGGCGACAGTGGTGAGTTGCTTTGCTGTTGCCGTTCTTTTAGAGAGGAAAGAATTGAGCAAGAATACAATAGAATGTAAACACACACACACGCACACACACACACACACACACACACACACATACACTCACACACACACAGAGGATGGTCTCGGGAGCAGTGGCAGCTCAAGGGGTGGGCATGAATCCTCATGCCAATCGATACCTTTATTTTATTTTATTGTTTAACACCATTTTTCCTCTCTCACTTTCCATTCCCCTCCATTCCCATCCATTTCCCTCCAATCATTCCTCTTACGCTACACTAACTCCTTAACTTGCACATCACACCCCCCCCACAACCTGCCGCTCCCCCCTGTGCTCCTTGTGCAGATGGCAGTGCTGGGCGGGTCAATCCTTTCGAAATACAATTTCGAGGCGCCTCTAACACCACCACCTGCCGCTCCCCCCTGTGCTCCTTGTGCAGATGGCAGTGCTGGGCGGGTCATTCCTCTCTAAATACATCTCTGAGAAGGTAAGTGTGCTCGTCGTGGTAGCAGGTATGCGAACGGCTTTGGGACTTCAACATGCAATGGGAGGTACATGAAATACCATCAAAGGCACTCTCGCCTTGTCCCTGGGCAACCAAACCAGCTGGAATCATGCTCCCAGTGCTTGTCTACCCTTTTCTTTTGTGCTTCCTCTGCGTGCCGACACCTCATGCTTCCCAACAGACCGCTGCCTACGTGGGAGGCACTCTCTTCCTCGTCTTTGCAGCCAAACCAGCTGGATTGTTAATCTCAGTAATCAAATGACCCTTCCCTTTGTGTCGTCTCCCCATTCGTACCATGATTATGCTCAAACAGACTGTGGCCTACGTTGGAGGCACTCTCTTCCTCGTCTTTGCAGCAGCAACGCTGGCTGAAATCGTCGCCAACAGCGCTGCTGCTTGACAGGTGGGCAAGGGAAGGCGTAGGGGATAGGTGAAGAAGGATCAGGAGTATACACACCTCTTTTGTGTCCCTGTGTTGCTACTGCACTGACAAATATCGTATTCAATGCTTCTCGTGTTTCAACAAGGCACGAGGATTGAGTTGCGTGAGGGGCATGGAGGGGCATGGAAGGGCAAGTGAATCATGATGTGATGTGACCTGGCACTGCAAAACTGACCGTGTGAATGTATGCTGTGCAGGTTCCTGCTCTCCCGAGTTGCGTGCACTGTGCAACCAGAACGGGGTTTTGCGACTGCAATTACCGTATTGTGTTTTGTTGTGCACATCAACGTAACGGGGTTTTGTTACCAGCATTGGCCAATCCCTGGCTGGTTGCATTTTGCCAGCGCAATTTGCAATTGTTGCTCCGACAAGTTGTTCACACGGAAGGTTCAGTGAAGTCCCTCCAGAGTTATAACACAATGCCAGCAGCATCATGGCACGGCGCTAGCAGAATAGTAGCGCAATGCTAATAGAATTATAGCACAATCAAAGCACACTATTAGTTCGGTTCTTACCCGTGCGAGAGGTAATGCAGGAGAAGATTACAGTACGGTACTAGCACATGCCTTGGCTATAAGCAAGAGAGCTGCGACAAGGTGTCTATTGTCAAAATGTTATTTGCTGCGTAAGCTGTAGTGTTGTACTCAACAGAGAGTACAACCCTTTTAGGGTTTCCTATATGTACTCCACCTGCCTGCTAGTACAATCCTCTTCTTCCATTCCTTCTTCACTTCTACTTTCAACATGGTATCAGAGCAGGTTGACCCTCCCTGGTCGATCCTGTTGGGCCCACCAATCACTTCCGCTGACTTCCTGCCAGTCGCGCTCCCCGGGAGCGTGGCGATTTCCTACTTGTCGCGCGCCCCGGGCGCGCGACGTTTTCTGCTCGCCGTGCGCCCCGGGCGCGCAACGGTTTTCTGCCTGCCGCGCGCTCTGGGCGAGCGACGGTTTCCTTCCCGTCGCGCGCCCCGGGCGTGCGGCGGATTCCCGCACGTCACGCGCCCCGGGCGCGCGACAGAACCTGCTCGTCGCGCGCCCCTGGCGCGCGACGGATCCTGCCCGTCGCACGCCTCGGGCGCGCGTCGGTTTCCTGCCCGACGAGCGCCCCGAGCGTGCGGCGGTTTTCAGCCCGCGCACTGCCCCTGCAGCCCGCGAGCCGCCCCTGCAGCCCGCAAGCCGCCCCTGCAGCCCGCGCGCCTGCCCCTTGCAGCCCGCGCACTGCCCCCGCAGCCCGCGAGCCGCCCCTGCAGCCCGTGCGCTGCCCCTGCAGCCCGCGAGCCGCCTCTGCAGCCCGCGAGCCGCCTCTGCAGCCCGCGCGCCTGCCCCTGCAGCCGCGGGGCAGCTCCTACCCCGCCCCCCCACCCCCCCCCTTCTCCTTCATCTCCCTGCTGCGCGTGCAGCCGTGGGGGGGAGGGTATGGGGGTGGCGGGCGTGAGTGATCAGCTGCGCTCCTCCTCCTCTCTCTCCCACTACTGCAGCTGCCGCTGAGGGGGGGGAGGGTGTGGGGGAGACGAGGGAGTGGCGCTAGGGATGCCGAGGGGTGTGAAAGGGGGTTCGTGACAATGCGAGGAGGTTGAAGGCGGGTGGCCGCCGTGAAGTCCGCAGCTCAAGTCGCCTGTGAGATCGTTGCGCCAGTGGACCGTGAGTCGGTTCCTCTTGCCGGCGAGCAGAGCCAGTTACTCCAGTTGCCCGTGTGCCACTTGCTCCAGTTGACCGTGGGTCAGTTGCTCTTGCCGGCGAGCAGAGCCAGTTATTCCGGTTTGCGCCGTGTGCCAGCAGCTTCCGTGGCCGCCCACCTCCTCCTCTCCTCTCATGGTCCCTCCTCCTCCTCACTTGCCCTCTAATTCTGCCACTAGCCTTTGCCTGTGAACTGGTCCTGCGACTGCTTGTTGTGTTGGCTATCCCCCACTTCGCCTATGGGGGTGTGTCAAAATGTTATTTGCTGTGTAGGCTATAGTGGGGTACTCAGCAGAGAGTACAACCCTTTTAGGGTTTCCTATATGTACTCCACCTGCCTGCTAGTACAATCCTCTTCTTCCATTCCTTCTTCCCTTCTACTTTCAACATCTAACAGCAAGAGTGTCATCCGGAAGGCAAAATTTAACAGCAGGATAGTTATGCGTGTCAGAACAGGATTGATTGACTAAAGCAGGATGAGGTGTACAAGTAGCAACCCTAACAAAGGGTTGTACCCCATAGGGAGTAACCCACTACAGCCTAACATCACTAACATGATATAAACATGTTTTGACACACCCCCATAGGCAAAGTGGGGGACAACAAGGGGTCACAAGACCAGTCAAGAGAAGAAGAAAAGCAAAGCAAAGCTCAAGGTGGATCTCAAGATCACCACGCATTCTTAGCACAAGCAAGCGGCCACAAGGCCAGTTCACATGCAGAGTTTATAATAGCAAGAGCAGTACACTGATCACAACCTAGCAAGTGTAAACATGCAGGTATACTCATATATATCTGTGTACAACAAGAGCAAGATCAAGAGACAAGCAAGTGAGTCAGAGTGGGCACAAGCCCAAGAGCAGTGCAGAAACGCTGATGATCACTAGACCCAAGGGCCTTGGTGAAGACATCAGCAGTGTTGGCCCGTGTGGCCACGTAAGCAAGACGAAGCTGACCATGCTGCTGCAGCTCTCGCGTGAGGAAGTAACGGAGAGCAATGTGCTTCGTTCTGTGCTCCAGTCTCTGGTCCTGACACAAGGCAATCATGGCCTTGATGTCGACGTACAGAACTGGAAGAGAACGATGCCGCTCACCCAAGTCAGTCAGCAGGTAGGTCAACCAGCGGAGCTCCTGTGCAGCCATAGCCCCTGCGTAGATCTCGGCCTCACAGCTGGAACTAAGTACAGAAGAAGAGCGAGTGGACCTCCACGAGACAGAACCAGCTCCGAGACTGAAACTGTACCCCTGTGTTGACCGGTGATTCGTTTGGTCGTCAGCCCAAGAAGCGTCTGAGTGACCGGTGAGAACAACTGAACCCCGTCCTCCAAGCACGAGCCCCATGCCCAATGTGCTGCACAAGTAACGCAATACCCTCTTTGCAGCATCCCAGTGCATCTTTCGATGTCTACCGGGAGCCACGTAGTGAGCCAGGAGGCTGAGAGGGTACGCGAGGTCAGGTCGTGTGCACGTCATCAGGTACATGAGGCAACCCACAAGCTCTGGGTACGGACCACTCAGCTCTACGGACTCGTCCGAAGGTGGAGCTGAGAGCGAGTGGCCGGTAGACAGAGGAGTGGGCTGTGGCGAGGACCACGTGAAGTCAAAGCGCTGAAGGACCTTCTGCACCATGTGTGACTGAGTGAGGGTGATGGTGCGGCGTGCTCTGTCCCGGGTGATCTGCAAGCCAAGATAGCTCCGCAGTTCACCCAGGTCAGTGCAAGTGTGTCTCTCCTACAGCTCCACCTTCACCAAGGCCAGAGCCTCAGTGTCAGCAGTAGCAAAAACCAAGTCGTCAACATACACGAGAACGTAGAACGGCGGCCGAGAAGTGTCTGTGCGCAGAAACAACGAAGGGTCAGCAGTCGAGGGAGCGAAGCCAAGAGCTGTGTTGCGAAGCGAAGTGTAGTCCTCAGTGTGTCGTGCCACTCCCGGGGCGCCTGTCACAGGCCGTAGACTGGTCGCCAAAGACTCCACTGGGTACCCTCAGGAAACGACCCACTGAAGCCACGTGGACGGCGCAACCAGATAGCCTCGTGAAGGCTGTCCTGCAAGAAGGCTGTCGAGAAGTCGAGGGAGTGAGCTCGTAGTCGCGCTATGCTGCAACGTGCAGTAGCACCCGAAGAGTGGTCATCTTCGGGGTGGGGGAGAAGGTCTGAAAGAAGTCAACCCCCTCATGCTAACTGAAGACTCGTGCAACGTAACGCGCCTTGAAGGCAGGCGGAGAACCCAGCGGCCGCTTCACCTTGAAAATCCACATGCCATCGACTATGTTCGCCCCAGGTGGGGGAACCTCGTCGACGTAAGTGCTTGTGGACTTCCAGGAAGCCATCTCAGCGTCCATGGCTATCTGCCACTGAGAGGAGTATGGACCCGTGATCGCCTCTGCGTAATTGCGTCGGGTCGGGATGTCCAGTGCATCCGGGTCTCCCTCAGGGCAAAGTAGCGTGGACGCGAGATGAGGTGCAGCGGCCGCAAGGCACTCCAGCTCAAACTGCCTGTCCTCAAGAACGTCACAGCCAAGGGCAAGCTCACCTCCGACGGACGGAGGACAGGAAGAGTCAAAAAAAGACTCGCAACGTAGTCAAGGCGGCACAAAGCAGCAAAGTCAACAAGCTCAGCAACTAAGGCAGACGTAGCAGCAGACTCAAAGGAAGGGTAAGTCACAACTGTGGCAAGGAGACGAGTGACAGTCGGACTGGCAGCACGGACAAGGTCTGACTCAGGGTCAGGAACATGAGGAAGAGAAGACACAGGAGGAGACGGCAGGACAACATGTTGTGGAACAGAGGAAGGACGAAGTGCCATACGGTGAGTGCCTGGCACAGCTGGAGCACGAGGACGGACAACACGACGACCGCGAACAGGAGTGGAAGCACGAGTCTCAGGCTCACGACGCGCAGTCAGGGACGCATTGACCTCAGTGTGAGGAGAAGGAGCAGGCAGCGGGGAGCCAGGCAGTAGCTATGGCTGAGACTAGTCAGTCGGTGGGAACAGTCACGGAGGAGTAGTACCAGGAACCGGGAACTCAGTAGCAGCAGGCGGGAGACTTAGAAGGTGACGAAGCGCAGACGGCTGCGGCTGAGTAGTCGCACCCCTAGAACCTCCCGCTCCAGTAGCAATAGCACCCCCAGAACCAGTGCCACCAGCTCCAGTAGCAACAGCACCCCCAGAACCAATGCCCCCAGCTCCACCACCGGGACTGCCCCAACGAACAGCCCACTCGCGAAGCTGCAGCGGCAAGAGCGACTCCTGTCAACTAGCACCACTAACTCCAGTACCTCCAACAGCACCTCCAGTAGTACCTCCTGTAGTACCTCCAGTGTCAGCACCTCCAGTACCTCCAACAGCACCTCCAGTAGTACCTCCAGTAGTACCTCCAGTGTCAGCACCTCCAGCACCTCCAGCATTACCTGCACCTCCAGCACCTCCAGCAGCGCCTGTGCCTCCAGTACCAGGAACACCAGCACCAGCACCTCCAGGGCTAGCACCTCCAGAACCTGAACCTTCGGCACCTCCAGCAGCACCTGTGCCTCCAGTACCAGGAACACCAGCACTAGCACCTCCAGGGCTAGCACCTCCAGAACCTGCAGCTCCATCACGTCCAGCGCCACCACCAGGACTGCCCCAACGGACAGCCCACTCGCGAAGCTGCTCCGGCGAGAGAGACGCCTGGCGACGTGCGCCAGGACTACCCGCAGCAGCACCCACAGCAGCAGCACCTCCAGTACCTCCAGCTCGAGGAGAGCGAGCACGGCTAGCTCCACCACCAGGGATGCCCCACTGTACAGCCCACTCGCGAAGCCGCTCCGGCGAGAGAGTCGTCCGCCGACGTGCACTAGTGCCACCAGTACAAGCAACCACCGGACCACCGGTAGCAGAACCTCCAGCTTCAGCAGTGCCAGCACCTCCAGCAGCAGCAGTCCCAGCACCTCCAGCTCTAAGACGGCTAGCTCCACCACCAGGGCTGCCCCATTGGACAGCCCACTCGCGCAGCCGCTCCGGCGAGAGAGCCTCCTGCCGACTCCTAGCAGGACCACCAGCACCAGTACCTCCAGTACCTCCTATACCCAGAGGACACTCAGCACCCCCAGAACCAGCACCCCCAGTGGTACCACCTCCTGCAGCACCAGAGTCCACAGCGACATGTTGCAGTGGCGGTGAAGACGGTCGAGGCGGAAACCCAGGAGGGACAGCCAAGCGTGCAGAGTGGCGAGGGGTCACTGTGGCAACAGGAGTCGGGTCACCCCCCTCAGCTGGGCCAGAGGTGTCTAAAGAGACCTCCAAAGGCTCAACCAAGGGGGGTGGGTCTACCTGAGACACACCTGAGGGAGCGGGACTGTGAGGAGGGAGGGGGGCTACCAGGGGGGGGTCGTCCACCAGGGTGAGAGGCGGGAGGGGTACCGGGGAACTGCGGTGGGGGTGAAGACGGTAGAAGCAGACGGACTCGTCAAAGGTGACGTCGCGGGAGGACAGCACACGACGAGAGCACGGGTGGTAAAACTATCAGGGCGGTGCATCGGTGGGAAAGCCAAGGAACACGCACCGAAGAGTGCGTGGAGAGAGCTTGCCCGCAGGCAAGTCGCGGACAAGAGAGAGGGAACCCCAGACCCGAAACGCCGACGCATCACCAACCTCGCCCGTCCACCGCAAAGTGGGGGAGGTCTCCGGGTGGGAGACATGGGGCCAGAGGTTGAGCTGCTCAGCGGCGTATCGGACCGCAAACGGCCACAGAATATGGGGAGCAGCCGCATGGATCATGGAGGTGCGAGCAACCTCCATGACAAGACCAATGCGGCGCTCGGCAATCCCATTCTGCTGAGGAGAGGCCGGAAGCGTGTACGACTGGACGATGCCCTTAGCACCACAGAAGTCCTCAAGGAGGTGGGAGTAAAACTCACCACCTCGGTCAGAGTGCAGCCGCAGGACAGGGAGGTCCTGATGGAACCGAGCGCGAAGCTGGAGACGGACAGCGCGGATCCAGCGGATCAAGACACCGCGGACATCCGCCTTGCTCTGCAAGGGGAAGACCGTGGTGTAGCGCGTGTAGTCGTCGACAACCAGCAAAAAGTAGCGCTCGCCACCCTGTCCAGTGACGCGGGCGGGGCCCCACACGTCCATGTGCAGGGTCTGCAAAGGAGCAGCGGTAGGAGGAAACGAGGAGTGAGGAGCGGCGCGCTGCCGCCCCTCGACGCAGGGAAGGCAGGGCGGTGCAAGCGACCTCGGGAGCGGGGGCAGGGACCTGGGGAGACCAGACACAAGGAGACGGGAGTGCATGCCACGCAGGCGTGGCAAGGAGGGGTGGCGAAGACGGTGGTGCCAGAGGAGAGTCTGGTGCGTGAGGAGACGACACGAACAAGACGAGAAGACCTCAACCGACGCAGCTACCTGACCTGACTCAGCTACCAGTGCAGACTCAGTGGTCAGTGTGTACATGCCAGACTCAGGCCTCCGAGTGAACGTGGCGAGGTGCTCACCAGTGCGTGAGTCTGTACAGATCGCCACTAGCTCGCCTCCAGGCTGGGTGATAGGGACCCACTGGTCCTGGAGGACAGAGGTAGCCACCAAGTTCTTAGCGAACGAGGGGAGGTGGAGACCTGTAAGGAGGCCGGAAGGGGCCGTCGGACAAGGGAGAACAGTGGCGCCACGCGCGACTACCAGGCCCCCCAGAGGGGTCGGCCAGTGTGACAGGGACAGGGACTGTGAGCGGTGTGACTGTGGTGCTGTCGCGGAAGAAGCAACGAGACGCGCCTGAGTCGAGAGAAAAATTGTGCAAGGCCTCCTCAGGCTCTGCACCTGTGCTAGCTGAGTCAAAAGCACCAAAACTAGCAGCCTCTACGCCACCAGGTGCCTCTCCACCCCCAGCACTAGTACCCCAAGCTCCGCCATCAGGGCTGCCCCACCGGACAGCCCACTCACGAAGCTGCTGCGGGGAGAGAGTCTCCGGCGGACACTACTGCCGCTGCTGTCCACCCCCAGAACCTCCGCGTCTACCAGCTGCACTACCAGCAGAAGTAGACTCACAGGGACCTCCAGTAGTAGCACACCAGGCTCCGCCATCGGGGCTGCCCCACCGGACAGCCCTCTTGCGAAGCTGCTGCGACGAGAGCGGCTCCCGCCGACGAGTACGAGGACCGCCAGCACCAGCACCTCCAGCCCTAGCACGGCTAGCTCCGCTACCGGGGCTGCCCCACCAGATAGCCCACTCGCGAAGCTGCTGCGGCGAGAGAGACTCCTGCACACTCGGCTGCCGCTGACGTAGGACAGTGGTAGTGGCCATGGCAGGCAGTGGCAGCTTGTAGCAGCAGCTGCGTAGCAGCAGTAGCATAGGCGGTAGTAGCAGCGTAGCAGCACTCGGGTGGCAGCAGCAGGCGTTAGCACCTAGGGCGGCAGCAGCAGGCGGCATCACCTAGGGCAGTAGCAGGCAGAAGCTCCTAGGACAGCAGCACCTAGGGTTTTTTTTTTTTTTTTTTTTTTTTTTTTTTTTTTTTTTTTTTTTTTTAGGGTTTAGCATGGCGCGCTTGGCGCTGGGCAGCAGGGCGCGCGGGCGCGCTGGGAAGCGGGGCGCGCTGGCGCGCTGGGAAGCGGGGCGCGCTGGCGCGCTGGGCAGCGGGGCGCGCTGGCGCGCTGGGCAGCGGGGCGCGCTGGCGCGCTGGGCAGCGGGGCGCGCTGGCGCGCTGGGCAGCGGGGCGCGCTGGCGCGCTGGGCAGCGGGGCGCGCTGGCGCGCTGGGCAGCGGGGCGCGCTGGCACGTTGGGCAGCGGGGCGCGCTGGCGCGCTGGGCAGCGGGGCGCGCTGGCGCGCTGGGCAGCGGGGCGCGCATGCTCGTTGGGCAGCGGGGCGCGCTGGCGCGCTGGGCAGCGGGGCGCGCTGGCGCGCTGGGCGCGCTGTTCAGCGGGGCGCGCTGGCGTGGTGGGCAGCAGGGCGCGCTGGCGCTGTGGGCAGCAGGGTGCGCGTGCAGAGCGCGCGGGCAGGCAGGGCGGCGCAGCTGCAGGCAGAGCGCGCGCGGGCAGGGCGGCGCTCAGGCAGGGCAGCAGGGCGCTCAGTAGCAGGGCAGCTGGGCACGCGCGGGCAGGGCAGTAAGGCGCGCGCTGGCGCTAGGCAGCAGGGCAAGAAAAAAAAAGTTTCAAGTCCGGGCAGGGCGGAACGTTCGGTGGGCCCTAAGGAACGTACCTACTCTAACACCATGTCAGAATATGGAAACAGGAATGATTGACTAAAGCATGATGAGTGGTACAAGTAGCAACCCTATTAAAGGGTTGTACCCCATAGGGAGTAACCCACTACAGACTAACATCACTAACATGATATGAACATGTTTTGACAATGCGAAAGGCAAAGGCTAACAGCAAGAGAGTCATCCGGAAGGCAAAATCTAAAAGCAGGATAGTTATGCGAAAGGCAAAGGCTAACATCACGAGTCATGCAAAAGGCATAGGCTAACAACACGAGTCATGCAAAAGGTGTCAAGAGGCGAACTTAACTTAGTAGGAACTTAGTTCGTAGGTTAAGGAAGCATGGCTAGGAAGGACGAGAGTCGAGAGTAGCAAGAGGGAGGGGAACGAGAGTTGGCCAAAGAGGTTCAATAAGGAGAAACAGTACAGGGATATAGGCAACGAAAAGGAGGTACACCACCTACAGCAAATGATGACATACACTACAGTCTACACTGCAGACAGTTATACAGAATATAGATAAATATATTCCAACACACCCCCTAACTGCCTGCAGCGGAAAACCAAGTGCAGCAACACCCCCGGCAGGGGTACATCAAGGCAGAGAGCAGCGGAAGAAGGAGAGGGCAAATGTGGAGGAGGAGGGACCATGAGAGGAGAGGAGGTGGCGGGCGGCGGCTGAAGCTGCTGGCACACGGGCAACTGGAGCAACTGGCACACGGGCAACTGGAGCAACTGACACACTGACAACTGGAGTAACGGGCTCCGCGGCTAGACGAGCGGCTGGAGCAACTGACTCACGGGCGACTGGAGCAACGGGCTCACGGGCGACTGGAGCAACAGACTCATGGGAGGCAGGAGCTGCTGGCTTCACGGCGGCCACCCCCCTTCAAACCCCCCCCCCTCCCCAAACCTCCCCCCCACAGCGGCAGAAGTGGCAGAGAGAGACAGGACAGTAAGGGCAGGCATGACAGGCAGGGCAGACAGGGCATGGGCAGCTCAGAGCAGGGGCGGCTCAGGGCAGGGGTGGCTGGAAACGGAGAGGAGAGAAGGGGGAGGAGGCGGCTGGTGTTGCAGATCCCCTCCTGCCCCCCCCTCACCCTCCACTATCCCCACTCACCCCCCCCTCACCCTCCACTATCCCCACTCACCCCCCCCTCACCCTCCATTACCCTCCCCCCCCCCCACACCAGGAGGAAGAGAGAGGAGGCGAGCTGGCGCTATCTGGTCACCCCCGCCACCCCTGCACCCTCCCCCCCACCCCACTGCAGTGGGAGCAGCGGGGGGGGGGGAGAGAGGAGAGGTGGAGGGACGGCTGCTGCCGTGTCACCCCCGCCACCCCCACACCCTCCCCCCACCCCCTTCACGGCTGCACGAGCAGCAGGGAGAGGGAGAAGGCGGACGGCGGCGGCAGGAGCTGCGTCACCCACGCGCCACCCCCACATCCCCCCCCCTCCCCCCCTTTCGTCGTTGTTAGCCTCTGCCTTTCGTCGTTGTTAGCCTCTGCCTTTCGCCGCTGTTAGCCTCTGCCTTTCGCCGCTGCGGAGCCTCTGCCTTTCGCCGCTGCGGAGCCTCTGCCTTTTCGCCGCTGCGGAGCCTCTGCCTTTCGCCGCTGCGGAGCCTCTGCCTTTCGCCGCTGCGGAGCCTCTGCCTTTCGCCGCTGCGGAGCCTCTGCCTTTCGCCGCTGCGGAGCCTCTGCCTTTCATCAATGTTGTTATTTCAAAGTCAAAAGCTGACAGCAAAAAAACCAAGCACATGGCAAGAGCTCACAGCTAACAACCTCAAGGCTGAGGAGGTTACAAAAGAAGTGCCCCGAGTGAGGATCGAACTCACGACCTTAGGATGGCTCCGCCCAGCAGAGTGGGAGTCGGAATGCTATGAGACCTACGCGCTACCGACTGCGCCATCGAGGCTTGTGTTAGTTGTCAGCCTAATTATTTGGGACCCTTGCATTTGTTGTTTTCCTTGCTATTGATTCGTGCATTCCTAGGCGGCCGTCAATTGCAATCGCACCTGCTGCGAGTCTGCGACCCCCCCCATTTGTCGCATAGGGGGCACCCACCGAATCGCAACCCACAGCAGTCCGACTCGTATGACGGTGCCGTCCAAAATGCTCCTAACCTCCGTCACTCGTTTCCTTCCATTTCCAGCCGCCACTGCATGCTTGACGGAGAGCTTCAAACAAGCGGTGGCAAGGGAAGGGAGAGAGAGAGAGAGTGCAGCAGAGTGAATATTCCGCTGGGAGCCTGAGAGTCTGGGTCTGGGTGGGGCACGCTCTCTGGTCTGGGGCTGGGGCACGCAGTCATTGGTGGTCGTCGCTTCACCTCACCAGCACCTTCTCAACACGCGCCACACGAGCCGAACCAGACCAGAGCAGACCAGACTACAGAAGACACTCCCATTCCAATCTTGCATCTCCTCTCCTCTAGAAGTCTTCCAAGAGGCGAACCGTCAGTCATTCTCACTCCGTTCTCCACGCATCTTTCTTTGATTCTTGGAACCTCCCAGAAACTTATCGTCGCGACTCGCGAGGTCTTTAGCGAAGACAAGACCTGAGCGCAAACGCGTCATTTGTTACCGCAGTAACTGTTCGGCGTGGTTAGCGCGTCGATCTAAACGCTCACTGCTTTATAAACGCTGAAAAATAATATTAGCTTTGAGACGACTCAAACCAGACCCTCTCTTGCCTCGCATTTCACCAACCCCAAACCGGTTCTTGGGACGACTCGCCACGCATTTCACCAAGAAAACGTAGACTGACGGTGGTCGGCCGGTCGACAGCCTTCGTCCAGCCTTCGTCCAGTCGCTACTCGTCTAACCTCCTAGTCAGGTTGACGGAACCAGATCTTCCTAGAGGTAGGACCTTCAAGAAAGTTCCTTGCCGCAAGTGACGCCGTGAGCGACGCCGCTAGCGTCGCCCCTGTGTCGCCCAAGTAGATACAGTAGTAGCGGCAGAGACCTTCTTGTGTGTCGCACAGAACTACTCAGAAGCACCGCTCGTCGCGAGCAACCGTACGTCAAGTATGGCTCCTGAGAACCGCGGTTCGCCGGCCGCTGCCCGCGTTTCGCGCCGTACCTTCCGGCCACCACGGGCTGGACGAGGCTCCGCGCGTCACCCACAACAGCCGCGCAACGGTCCCGTGACACCCGCCGCTAATGCTTCCCCCGAAACGCGAGTTTCCGCACCCGCAATAGTCTCCGCTCCTGCGACTCGTACTCCCAGCCGGAACGGAACGCTTCTTGCCGTTTGCGGAGCCAAACCGCGGCGAGATCTAAGCATGCCAACTGTCGGGCTCGCCGCATCTCACGGCGGTTCTGCCGGTAGCACTTCGGATCTAGTTGCGCGACCGCTGCAGCGCCCGCTTCGGAGCTTTAAGTTCCCTGCGATTCTCGCTTCCGTCTCCGCCTCGCACGCGCCGCCTCCGGGCCTCGGCCTCGCGCCGAGGTTCGGCCCGAGCCTGCTGCCGAGCCAGCCGGATTCGGACGATATCTTTCCGTTATCGTCAAGCCCGGAGGACCTTCAGCGCGCTGTGATTGGCTGGCTGGAAGAGAAGGCGTCGCGCGTGCGTAACTTGCGCAACGGGCAGCTTGGCATGCGGACGACTATCGCGGAAGCCAGCGGACCGGCGCAGGTCACTGCGCGCGCGGGCCCGCTTGCGCTTGAGGCGCAACTTATCGGCGCAGTATCGTCCGCCCATGCGCATCTCAGCCGCGCGCAGACTTCGGCGGGGGATGGCGCAAACCGCGCGCTAGCAGCTCTTACTCGCCGACTCGATGGTGCAGTGACAATGGCGCGCGGGAAATTGGCGCAAACCGCAGGGATTGGCGCGGGGATTGGCGCGCCCTTGCTCAGTTCGGTGGCTGGGGTTGGCGCGCGGATAGCGGTCGCGAAAGAGCGCGTGGGGAACGCGAAGGCAGAAGCGGAGGCGCGGATGCTGTCTTTTCGGCGGTTTGGGGAATTCTGGTGTCGAATCGTTCATATATACGGCAGCTATAAGGTGAATACACTAACCATTACGCATATACATACCCTCATCAAGGCTAAACTTTCTTAAAGGGCTGCGCATAATTTCACATCATGCGCGAGGAGATTACAGAAGCCAAAAAGAGTACAATCGCATTGTGAGCCGTCTAAAAAAAAAGGGGGTAGCGAATTCTCACTTGCCATCTCCTCACCTGCTCCCCACACCCCATCCACTCCTTCTCCCTCCACAGGTTTGCCAACTCCACACATCCCTCGCTCTCCCCCTACCAGGCAACCGCCGCCTCTCCTTACTCACAGACGCAGAGAAGCAAGCAGCATGGGAGAGGCAGCACGAGCGGGCAGCCGACATGCTCCACTCCCCTCAACCATCCCCCGGTTTCCCCACTACCCCTTCCCCTCCTTTCCTTCCCCACAGGTCTGCCAGTTGCACACGTCCCTCGCCCTCCCCCTCCCAGGCAACCGCCGCCTCTCCTTACTCACAGACGCACAGAAGCAAGCAGCATGGGAGAGGCAGCACGAGCGGGCAGCGGACCTGCTCCACTCCCTCTGCACTGAAATGCGCGGGTTCTTCCTTAAAGCGGGGCAGTTCTTAGCGAAGCCTGACGTGTCGCCTCCCGCATGGGTGGCGAAGCTGGCCTCGCTGCACGATGCTGCTCCTGCTGACCCGTTTTCGGTGGTGTGTGTGACGATAGAGGGGGAGATGGAGGCGGTGACTGGGAGGAAGGGGGTGCGGTGGACCGAGGTGTTTGCGAGGATTGATGAGGAGCCGCTGGGTTCTGCTTCTATTGCCCAGGTATGTTACAGTGTTACAGCATAGTACAGTTCTATAATGCTATGATGTTATAGAGCTACCCAATTCCATGTTCTGTCAATGTTACAGCGTGACAAGGTTGTACAGTTTCATGTTATGTGCTGTTAGTGAGTGTTGTTTCTGCCCACACCCTCTCCCGTTTCTCTCTCCCCCATCCCACAGGTGAACAGGGCGTGGTTGCACGATGGCAGGAGGGTGGCACTGAAAGTGCAGCATAGGGGGGCACAGCCCCTCATGCTCACAGATCTCACCAACCTCTCAAGGCGCTCATTTCCCCTCCTTCCCATCCCCATCATCCACCCCTCCCCCTGTCCCCCTTGCCTTACTCAGGTGCACAGGGCGTGGTTGCACGATGGCAGGAAGGTGGCACTAAAGGTGCAGCACAGGGGGGCGCAGCCTCTCATGCTCACAGACCTTTTCCCCACCGTCTCTCACCTCCTTCGCAGGTGCACAGGGCGTGGCTACACGATGGGAGGAAGGTGGCACTGAAGGTGCAGCACAGGGGAGCGCAGCCTCTGATGCTCACAGACCTCGCCAACCTCAAAGCGTTCGGGGCTTTCTTGCAGAAGACAGAGCTGAAGAACATGGACATTGTCTCAGCTTTAGTGGAGCTGGAGAAACAGGTGAGGCTTGAACGTGTGCTCTAGTATGCGCCAGTGCTACCTTGGTGCCTTTAGCAGACAGAGCTGAAGAGCATGGACATTGTCTCAGCTTTAGTGGAGCTGGAGAAACAGGTGAGGCTTGGTTGTTCTTGGAATTCAGGTGAGGGCGGTGGGAAAACACAAACTCTTGAGTGTAGCCATGCAGGTAGGCTCGTTCAGTGCGTTCGGTGGGTTTTTTTCAGAGGACAGAATTGAGGCCCATGGACATTGTGTCGACTCTGCTGGACCTGGAAAAACAGGGGTGGTAAGGTGGTGAGGATGGTGAGGGGGGAACGAGGGCTGAAAATGTACTCTGTTTTTTCCCAACCTTTCCCCCTTCCCTGCAGGTTCGTTTGGAGTTTGACTTCCGGATAGAAGCAGCAGCCATGGAGAGGGTTCACCTGGCGCTGAGAAGCGGTGGGAAGAATGATGAGTGAACGCGGTGGGGCAATTGATGAAAGAGATGCTCACATGCACATGATGGCTTATCATGTATCCTCCTGTGCTCAACTTTCCCCCTGACCTGCAGGTGCGTCTGGAGTTTGACTTTCGGATAGAAGCAGAGGCAATGGAGCGGGTTCACCTGGCGCTGAGAGGCGGTGGGAAGGGTGGAGAGACGGTGAGAAGAAAATCAACGGCAGCAGCAGGAGGAGCAGGAGGAACAGAAGACGGAGCAGTCAAGAGCAGAGGTGGTGCTAAGCAGAGGAGGAGAGGTTCGAAACAGCAGCAGTCGGAACGCAGCAGTCACGTCAACTCTTCCTTTTCACCATCCACCTCCTCCTCTTCCACCTCCTCCTCTTCCTCCTCACCAGTCGTGGTGCCTCGCCCTGTTTCCGGCCTCGTGAGCCGGCAGCTGCTGGTGATGGATCTCATCGACGGGTCGCCGCTGCTCAGAGTAGCAGAGCAGATGGGAAGCAAAGCCGACGGATTCTTTGCTACAAGGATGAAACGGTGAGTACCTGGCGATCAGTGGTGGTGTGATGAGATGAGTACCTAGTTGCCTGCCAGTGGTGGTGCCGCGCCCCATCCCCGGCCTCGTGAGCCGGCAGCTGCTGGTGATGGATCTCATCGACGGCTCTCCCCTCCTCAGAGTAGCGGAGCAGATGGGAAGCAGGGCGGATGGATTCTTCGCCACAAGAATGAAACGGTGCGTACCTAGTTGATTTCCAGTGGTGCGTACCTGGTTGATTTCCAGTGGTGCGTACCTGGTTGATTTCCAGTGGTGCGTACCTGGTTGATTTCCAGTGGTGCGTACCTGGTTGATTTCCAGTGGTGCGTACCTGGTTGCTTTCCAGTGGTGCGTACCTGGTTGATTTCCAGTGGTGCGTACCTAGTTGAT